TTAGTAATTTTAGAACATAAACAATAATTATTAATATACAAACTTTGTCAAAACCATGAGAGTAAATCGAGTGTTATCAAGGGTACTTTTTTGTAGTAAATGAGTACCCAATCCAAATTTTATACTCAAACCCTTTTTTTGCCATTGGCGTAGAATTTTTAAAGGTACAATTATTTAAAAAATCAAATTCTACGCCTATGTATTATTATCGGACAAAATTTTATACGATGAAAAACATAAACATACTTTTTTCATATCTTCTCCAACACCTCTAATCAAGACTTTTAACAAAAATACTCGATTGTTGCCATTTACGATTTTTTGAGGAATATTAATTATTTGCCTGCAATACGTACAGGGGCGGTTTCTCCATTGGTTCATTTGTGCAGTGAACACCCAGTTAAATTTCATAAAAACACATTATTTTAAAATTACATAAATAACATAAAAATATAAATTTAATTTTAATATTTTTATTTTCATACGTGTTAATCTATATTTTTTGGTACATCATTGCCCTCTGGCTGATCGCGTCTCTGTGGTATACTGTGTCTGTGGCGCATTATGATGAATGAGCCTAACATGAGTGAGACGATTTGATGAATGCATAAAGTTAAAAAGAGAAAACAACACGCCAAAATATCCTTCAAACGTCAAAAGAACTCATTAATTGGCGCGCCGCTCACAAACTAGGTTGCCAAACCAGTGTTGCCAGTCTAGTACAATTCACAATTGTACTAGATGTAGTACATTTTGCTTGAGGCAGTGTTCACGTGTAAAATATATATATAAATATATTGTGTTCCTTGTTTGGGTTCGTTATCTATAAAAACCCTCTTTTTTCCTGTCCAATAAATTAGATGTCACTGCAAATAGAATTCGAAAAATCTGGTACATAACAAAAACATATTCTGGCAACATTGTACCAAATCAAACAAACTGTCATTCCGTCTACCTGTGGATCGTTTATATCGTGCGAATTTAGAGATGAGTAGTAATCCGTAAATGTACCTACTTAACACTTACAGATTTGCTAATATCCATCTCTAAATTCCAGTGTGACACCGGCACCACTTGGAACTTTAGAGACGTTGTAACCGAACTTTGATTTTAGTTCAAGGACGACTTACCCAACTCCGACTCAGCTGAGTTCTGTTTATAAATATGAACCTGAATATATTTGTATCCTTGTTTACCGATATATAAAAGAAGAAAGTGAGAATACACTCAGTAAGACACGAGATCCCTTTACAAATTATACTTTTTATGGATTTTTGTGTTTCGTGAACCGAATTTTCGTTGTTTTGAGGTTGGCTGTACTGGTCTTAGGTTCTGTGTGAATTTTCTAGTGTTTATGTACGATGGAATCGTATTTGGTAAAATTTATAAAAACAAATAGACATAATTTCGAAAATCGAGTGCTTACAAAAAAGAATGGCCCACCTCAATCGGAGAAATAAGAAATAGAAAGTTTAAACATCCTTTTAAGATTGAACAATATAAAAAAACTTCGTGGTTATGCGGGTGTGATAAACAACATGCTTTGTTTTGTTTTCCTTGTTTAGTTTTTGCAAACAATGAAAATACTAAATCAGAAAAGACAAAAACGGGTGTTAGGGAATTATCTCATATTAGGTAAGCATGATTTTGCATTATTTCTATAATTTAAACTTGATGTTTTTTTCTTACACTGTATTAATCGAGGAATTAACATTTTAAATTATAACGAGCCACCACTACCTTTAATTAAAAAAATTTAATTAAATATGGGGGATTTAAGGGGGGTTGAAATTAAAATTAAAAACAAAAAATCAAAAATGAAAAGCGATATCAACATTTTTAGTAAAAATCAAGCCCTATAAGGAAATGAGGTATTGATTTTGAAAACAATCTGGTAGAAAATGGGTAGTTAATGGAGTCTGTTAAACTGCGAAAAGTATCATTTAGAATGCCTGGCATTATATATCTTTATTATAGTTTGTATTTGTGTAATAGTATGTATTGTGATGGGACTGATCTCATAAAATAAACATTTAAAACATTTTAGTTTTTATTTTATTTAAAAGTTATTATTTTAAAAGGTATTTAAAAAATATATTTTTTATTTGACATGTGTGACAAAATGTGAAAATGATTAAATTTACAATAAAAACTGAAAAATGGTAGGTAAAGTTTCATATAATATTTTTTACACAAAAATCAATGTCAAGCTTTCTACATAACCTTATATATATATATTTAAAAATAATCTCAAATTATGAAGAAAAGTCAGTTAACTAATAATGTTTATAGGTGGTTTTCAATGAATTAAAAACAAAACAAATATCACACTAACTAAAATTTTCATTTATTAATAGTTATAGTGCTTGAAAATAGTATGATGTTGATAATAACTACATTTAATACAAACTCAAATAATATTAAAAACAGCGATATTGGCTCTTTTACAAAGTTTTGGGCCGAACTTACAAAAATGATCAAATTATTGGAAAAAGTGAACACCCAATTCAAATTACCACGAGCCGCCACTGAATACGTAGGTATATAAAAACATTTATTGTTGGTTTCCATAGTTTCATCTAAATAAAAATATTGTCAAATTTTAACACCTAATCTCTTGTTAACGATTGAAAGTGTTCTATCTGACTCAATAATTAAAAAAACAAATGCGTGGTTTATTAATATGGCTGTACAATATACCAATGCAGAATATACCGATACCGATATGTTACTGACATTAGGATTTTGTGAAATGCTCGAGAGAGTGTCAGGGTTAGAGGTGGCCAAATATCGATAGTTTTATATATATATAACCTATAAAATGTATATTTTGATGACTAATTTCGATGTCTTTGTTTTTCTGTGCTTGGAAATTCATTAAAAATATAAAATGGTAATATTTTAATTTAGAAAAACGGGTTATATATAGGGGGTGTTAAAAAAGACTAAAATATTTACAGAGGTAACAGTGTGGACAAAAATTCTTAATAAAGATGAGTCCGCAAAGTAACGGTTTTGAAGATGTGGAAGATTATTTTTCTTTTATGTACTTCCTTTTTTATTTCTTATCATGGTTGACTGATGTTTTTTGAAATTGTCACGAGGAACTGCAGCAAAGAATTAATAAAAAATCCCGACAAATTCGAGCTAATAATAGTTTGAATATCCTTCAATATCCTATTTTACACCTTTTATATTAAAGTTGAAAACATTGGATTAAAAAGTGCAATTTTTAGTTGTTTTTATTTATTTTTTATATACCCTGGAAAAGTGAAAGCCCCCATTTTTTAATAATAAACTTTATAAATTTGAATATTTTCTTCTTGTTTGTCATATTTATAGGTTAATTATATTATCGATAGTAGTTTCCAAATCGTCGTGTACCTAGCCACCCAACTTTTGCTGCTGTTGAGAGACGTCTTCGGGAGACCGGTTCCTTTGCTCCCAACACTGTTGATTATGGAAAAGAACGTTTTGTAAGGATTTCTGAAGTGGAAGAAGACATTTTAGAACGTGTTGAAGAAGATTCAGAATTAAGCATCAGACGAATTTAGCGAAAACCATGAGAGTAATCGAGTCTTATCAAGAGTACCTTTTTTAAAGTAAATGAGTTGCGCAATCTAAATTTCATACTCAAACTCCTTTTCTTCCATTGGCGTAGAATTTTTAAAGGTGCAATTATTTAAAAAATCAAGTTCTACGCCTATGTATTATTATCGGACAAAATTTAAATACCATTTTTTTGCCACATAAAACTCTACCAATATACCAAATTTCAGCAAAATCGCAGATGCCGTTTTAAATTTATATGGGAAAAACGATTTAAAAATTGTAACTTCAAGGCCCTCTGGAGCCCAAACGAAGCAACTTTGTACTAAGGTAATTTTACTTAAATCGACTTATTTTGGTCTAAGAAATATGTGGTATGTTTTTGTAAAGACCTTTTACAGACACCCTGTATATTTGAAAACAATCTAACCTCATCTCTACTAAATATTACCAGTTTATCAAGAATCCTGCTTTGTTTATCTGTATCTGTAGCTTCTGGTGCAACAGCCAAATCCAGAAAAAACTTATTTAATTTTTGGATAATTGAATGTTTTATTTGTTTCTGTTTGGTTTGTTTTTTCGTTTGTAAGAATAAAATATTGGTTTTTAAAATATCTGTTGTTTCATTAAAAAATTAAAATAAAATATGGTTTGGCAATTCGCTCAAATGTTAAACGACTACAAGAATATTACAGCAAACCAGGAAATTTAAAAAAACATATGTAACAGCTTGAAGTTGTTATTCTTCAAAATATTATTTATATAAGTACCACATATATTCAAAGGGCGTCAAAATATTTCTGGCATTCGGGGGGGTTTTGGGTTAAATATAAAAATAGATATATTGAGTGAGTGAGACAAAGAACAACTGAAGATTGTCTGACTAAAAATTAGACAAAACATGTTTAGGTAAAATGTTACTGGACTCCAAAATAAAGTTCAAAATTCAAAAATTAATGGCTATAATTTTTTTATTACACAGAATAATTTTACTAAATTTAGCAAACGTTTTTGGTGTCATTAGATATACCTATCATTAATAAAAACTAATAAAAATTAATAAAAATGAATACAAAATAAATTAAAATGTATTTAAATGAATAAAAATGGATAAAAATGAGTAAAAATGAATAAATATAAAAATAAATAAATAAAAATTAATGAAAATCAATAAAACTAATAAAAATTAATAAAAAAGGAAGTCATGTATATTAATAACACGACTACATGCGAGCAAAATCGCGAGCATGTCCATTTTCTTTAAAGCAGTTAGTAAACCCTATTTTTTGACTTAATACCTTTTGCTTGTAATTTCACGAAATTAAAAATAACTAAATTAAAAGCCCCATTCGGAACTGCATGGAAATTTGAACTTATTCTAACTTATATACTATTTAATCACAAATTTTCAACACTCAATGCGAGTACTTACTATAAAAATAATATTGCAACAACCAGCACTTCTTTTTAAACTATATACAAAAACGAAATTGTACCATTTCTTCCGTTCTACAACTGCGTATTCCAATCTCCTTCCATACGCCACATACTGAACGCTCTCGAAAGTTTTTCGTGTGCTGTATACGAACAAACGTTTCCCAAAATGTCACTTTCACCGGGATTTTCAGGAGAAGAAGTAGATAAAACATGGTAAAGAAAGTCTATATATCTAGCTGCTAATTTTAAAGTTTGGATTTTGGAAAGTTTGTCCGACGGTAGAGTGGGTATGCTTTTTCTTAAACTAGCAAAAGCCTCATTTAAACTTTGCGTCCTTTGTCTCTCTCGTACATTCGCCATAACTCTTTGTGTCTGCAGATCTTCAAAACTTTGCGGTGATTTTCGTTTGATTTTATTCTTGTTGAAGGAATTTTCATCGTCGGCGGACATATTCCGTCGTTTCCTGCCTAAAGCTCTGGTTTTTAGAACAGGAGTTTCGTCTGTATCCGTGGGTTCTACTTTGATAAACGGCGAATCCATGTATTCGAAATGCTGCGATCTGATTGGCTCGTGATGATAACAAGGTCGCTCTTCGTAATATCTACTTTCATGCAACTGTTGTTGATTGTAGAATATGTTAAAAGCATTGTTATCCGAGTTCGGTAGAGTCGTCGGAAGATATTTTTCGTTCGAATTGGTCAAATCCATTAATCTAGTTTGTTCATATTCTTCATAACCAGGAGATGAATTCGGAGTTAATTGACCGTACACAGGAGAAGAACACTCACTTCGGGATTCAAACATTTTTCTCGAAAAATCACTCTCTACAATAACTGTTTATAATAAGATGAGATACGCTACTGCGGGATTTCGGATATTCCTCTAAAATCTTAAGATAGATCAAATTTACTATCAACCAATAGGAGAGAAGTAACGTCCCTACTATTAAAGATGAGTCCCTGTCTGGCTCTGTCGCTCTCAAAAGAGTCCTGTTTTCTGTCTCGCTCGTTAAGTTGTATGAAGGATCATCCCAGTGGTGTTTCGTTTTCATTTACCATCTCTCTTTATTTCATTGATGGTTTCGGAGTCTAGACATTTGAATTTACTCAGCAAGAGTTCTTTTAATTAGTGCGCGTTTTAAAATAACCGCGTGAAATAGGGAAATTAATAAAATGTATTTATAAATGCCTGGTTTTCAATTAATAAAGATGAAAGATATTTTCTGATAGTTTAATATTGTTATTCAAAAAATAATTTCTATTATACAGGGTGTCTGTAAAAGGTCTTTACAAAAACATACCACATATTCCTTAGACCAAAATAAGTCGATTTAAGTAAAATTACCTTAGTACAAAGTTGCTTCGTTTGGGCTTCAGAGGGCCTTGAAGTTACAATTTTTAAATCGTTTTTCCCATATAAATTTAAAACGGCATAAGCGATTTTGCTGAAATTTGGTATATTGGTAGAGTTTTATGTGGCAAAAAAAATGGTATTAAAATTTTGTCCGATAATAATACATAGGCGTAGAACTTGATTTTTTAAATAATTGCATCTTTAAAATTCTACGCCAATAAAAGAAAAGGAGTTTGAGTATGAAATTTAGATTGCGCAACTTATTTACTTTAAAAAAGGTACTCTTGATAAGACTCGATTACTCTCATGGTTTTGACGAAATTTGCATTTTAGTAATTTTAGAACATAAACAATAATTATTAAAATACAAACTTTGCCAAAACCATGAGAGTAAATCGAGTGTTATTAAGGGTACTTTTTTTGTAATGAATGAGTACCCAATCCAAATTTCATACTCAAACCCCTTTTCTGCCATTGGCGTAGAATTTTTAAAGGTGCAATTAATTAAAAAATCAAGTTCTACGCTTATGTATTATTATCGGATAAAATTTTATACGATGAAAAACATAAAAATGTACTTTTTTCATATCTTCTTCAACACTTCTAATCGAGACTTTTAACAAAAATACTCGATTCTTGCCATGTACGATTTTTTGAGGAATATTAATTATTTGCCTGCAATACGTATACAAAAACATTTATTGTTGGTTTCCATAGGTTCATCTAAACAAAAATATTGTCAAGTTTTAACACCTAATCTCTTGTTAACGATTAAAAGTGTTCTATCTGACTCAATAATTAAAAAAAAACAAATGCGTGGTTTATTAATATGGCTGTACAATATACCAATGCCGAATATACCGATATGTTACTGACATTAGGATTTTGTGAAGGAAATGCTCGAGAGAGTGTCAGGGTGTACTCTGAAAGGTTTCCAAATCGTCGTGTACAGCCACCCAACTTTTGCTGCTGTTGAGAGACGTCTTCGGGAGATCGGTTCCTTTGCTCCCAACACTGTTGATAATGGAAGAGAACGTTTTGTAAGGATTCCTGAAGTTGAAGAAGACATTTTAGAACGTGTTGAAGAAGATCCAGAATTAAACACCAGTACAAGAATTATTAGTCCATGATCCTCAAAATCGTTTGGGTTTTTGTCGATTTGTTAATATGCAAAGAAGAAGAGATCCAAACTTTGTCAAGAAGGTTCTCTTTACCCATGAAGCGGGTTTTACAAGAAGAGGTATAACTAATACCCATAATGAACATGTTTATGCCGTTGAAAATCCGCATACAATAAAGGTAAACCATTTTCAGCACGAATTCAAAATTAATGTGTGGGCTGGAATAACTGGTAATTTCATTGTTGGTCCTGTCATACTTCCACGAAGATTAACTGGAGAAAATTATTTGGATTTTCTACAAAATACGTTGCCAGAATTGTTAGAAGATTTACCTCTCCAACTTTAGAGAGATATGTGGTTTATGCAAGATGGAGCTCCAACCACATTTTTCTTTAAACGTTAGAAACTACTTGAATGAACAATATCCACACAAATGGATAGGCAGGGGTACAGTTCATCAAATTTCTAGAGGTGTTCGGCGCCCAGACAGAGAACGCGCTACGTGTGACTAAGATAGCTATTGTACAGTCTGCTAAACAAGTTATTATAAATAGTTTTTAATATTTTTAGGTAATTAAATTTTAAAAGTGTGGAATAGTTTAGGGATTAAATTGGTCTGATTGGACTTTCTTAGAACGTTTTTAAAAGCAGCTAAAGATAGTATGTAGAATTGAAAATAATTATTATGCCATAAAAGGTGTTTTGGAATTCCTTCAACCTTTTGAAATTGAGTCAGAAAATATAAATTTTATAGGATAGCGGAAAATACCTATAATTTTTTTGTAGGCCTTTGTAAATCGTGGAAATAGTTTATATTTTATTTCTACCTTATTAAGGACAATGGTACCTATTATTAATAACGGTTGTTTCTGAAACATTACTAAAATTTTCAAAATTTTGTTTTTCTACAAAATAATAAACTATACTATTTAGAAAAAAATTTATTTCTCTTATAATTTTATAAAAAATAACAGGGGAATATTTACATTTCTTGATCTATTAAACAAAACGATAAATTATCTCGACGAATGACACCATGTTCTAGTACGGAAGCTAGGCTTTACATTTTTGTTGGTGGTTTCATGGGTTTCATATCAATTTTTTGTAATTGTAGTTTACACGTACATATACCTCTTAACACTTGTTTGCTTTATTAAAAAAGTGTGTTGTTGTGATTTACGTTGAAATAAGTCAAAAACAACTTGAAACCCCATATAAAATCAAAAAGGAGAAACGGAAAAAAATTGAGCCTGTAAATGAACACAACTCAGAAACAAAAATAGCTATCTAATAATAAAAAAATAAAATTTGATTCTTGTGCAGCTTCATCTATATCATTAACTGTTTTTGGTTTTTTAATGGTTTTTCTTGGTGATGAAAATTCCGATATCTCACGGTTATCGATTCTTTTTTTCTCTCCAGAAATGCGGACGACAGTGTTTTTAGATACTCATGTGGCTGCAGCAACACGATCATTTACATTTTTAAATGGTATTGAAGGTGAATTAAAGTTTCCTTCTCTTCTCATAAACTCTATAACATTGGCTATTATTTCGCGAGATTGACTGTTAATCACGCGGCCTCTTAATTTGCTATTAAACTCCATACTTAGGTTCTATTAAACTGTAATGAGCAAAAAACACAAACGAAAATAAAAGAAATGTTTTAGCGAAATTTACATCTGACATTTACGTCTGAATGAAATAGTGAAATACTTGATGCGCAGAGTGTACTTTCATTGCATAAATCCGTCGGGATGCCTGTCAGTAGTGCTTTCTCTGTCTAGCCGTCGAAAGCCTCTAGAAATTTGATGAACTGTAATGACGCACCTGTAAACTGGCCACCACGTTCCCCAGACCTAACAGCGATGGATAACATTCGCGGTACATTCATAAACAACAAAATCAGGGTCTTCATCACTGTAATCTCCAAATAGTGAGTCCTCACTTTCACTATTGGATTGAGTATACTTTCGTTTTTTAGCTTCTCTTGTTATCGGCCGTCTCAAAAGTGTGTTTGGAACTTTATTATTGTTTTTTTTAACAATTAGAGGAATATTATCATCAGAGCCACATTAGCTTAAAGGAGATTTTGATAAGCCAACTTCCTTCTGGCTATTATCATCAAAGCTGTTGTACTGTGCATCACTATCATCATCATTTTCTGTAACAACTAGGTATTATTTCATAGTAGAATTTTCCACCATAGTCCATTTTTACTTTTTTATTTTTTTCAAAACGGTTTGATCCATCAATAAGAGACAATTCTTTAATTGCAACATTTTCTGTTCCATTTCCCATTTAATTAAAACATCCATGATTAATTATTTGTTTCAGATAATTAATTAATAATCTCGTCTTTATGAATTTGAATGTGTGGTTCCCCTATACGTACCTACAGTATTTTTAAATTTTTCCGTGACAAATGAAACTCTGCAATGTTTTCAAAACCAATATTTTGAAGAAAAAAGTCGTAGAGGAGTTAAAACTTTTTTTATTTATTTTTTTTTTTGTATTAAATTGAGATATGCCCTTATGTGACGCAGATATTAAATTTGGTTGATGTTTTCTCAAAAGGGCCTATCTTGAGTTGAGCCCTTTTGTAAAAATAATAATTCGTCTCGACTGAGATATGCCGAAACACACTTTTCCCCATAACTTTGTTAATTTTTATCGTAGAGATATGCCGTTTTGAGAGAAGAAAATATTTAACTCACCAAAGGGAATTTTCTTATTATTTAATAGGAATCAAATATCTAGGAGCGAAACCCTTGCATACTCTGCTCGAAAGCCAAGTAAATACTCCTCCTAAATTTAAAAAAAATCAAAATTAAATTGTAAAAATGGATATTATCTATCTCCCAAAATAACACTAAGTATTAAAACTTAATTGAACTCCTCTTTTAACCGAAATACATTTTCGTCCTAAAATGCATTCAGTCGTTATGAGATGAGCGAGCGCTTATACCCGTTTGAAGTTCTGGTGAAGACAGATAATAGTAGTTCTATGTCTGTGCTCATAAACTTGGCAGAGACGAGGAAGATATAAATCGACCCAGTGACTTTAACAGTGCTGCAACTTTAGAACTGATAGTTATTATGTAGTCCATAAAGCGAGCCTCTGTGAATTCCGTCAAAAATTACATAAAAACTGCCTTTATCGGATAAATAATGCCTGCGATTGAGTGGTCGTTTACATTCAATTGACTGTTATTGCAGCGTAAATGGGTGTTTAACACGTTCATTGCCGACTACGTCTATAGGTGTACTGAACTGATTCAGAGAGTGACCGACTACACCTATGAATACAATTTATTAAAGTTTAAATTGCCAGCACGGATTAGAAGAGCATGCTGTGTTTTAGGCTAGTGTATTGTTTGTTGCCAGAAAAAAATATTTTAACTAATGTCAAGAGTGGGAGTTTTGTTTACATTATGAAATGTCAGTAACCTTAGATTTCTAGATGATCATAAACTTACAAAAATTGAAAATGCGAAGAAAGAATAGTATAGAGTAAATAAAGGTCCAAAAGTTACCAAAAAGCTATATCTTTTCTTATTTATCCATAAACGTAGGAACTTGACGCATGTTTTGCATTCCTTTTGCGGAATCCATTTCTTCATTTCGAGCGAGTGCCCAAAGTAATTTTTGTAAGACTCATTTACGAACTTAGTCACATTTAAACGATATTGTTTAAATACATACTCTTCTTGACGATACCATATCAAATTACAGGCTCCATGACAAAACAGTGCAGGAGAAAATGGTGCAAGACAAAATAGCGCAAAGACAAAATAGCGCTGGACAAAATAACGCAGGACAAAATGGCGCAAGGACGAAATAGCGCAAGGACAAAATAGCGCAGAACAAAATAGCGTATAACAAAATAAAAACAGGCGTTTTTAGAAGCTGCTGATTCGTTATTTGCCAACTTTAGAAATAAAGACGAGATAGTTTCAGCTATAAAATCTATGCAACTTTTTGCTAATACAGTGATGAGACGTGTAGAAGTAATGAGCAATGATATTTTTTTACAGTTAAGAACTGACTTAGATAACTGTGTATATTTTTCACTTCAACTGGATGAATCAACAGATGTCGTTGACACTGCCCAGATGGCCGTGTTCGTCAGGATGGTTTTTAGTTATTTTACAATTAAAGAAGATCTTTTGAAGTTTATTTCACTGAAAGGACACACTACTGGACAGGAGTTGTTTTCTCATTTAAAAAATATTATTTCTTCCGAGAAAATTCCAATATTGAAAATGGTAGGCTTGACAACCGATGGCGCTCCAGCTATGGTGGGTTGTGATAAGGGTCTGGTGGCGTTATGTCGTAAAGATGAAACTTTTCCGCAATTTCTCTGTTACCACTGCATTATCCATCAGCAAGCATTATGTGGAAATTTCCTGAAACTAAACAACGTTATGAAACTGGTGGTAAAAATTGTGAACAAGATTAGAGCTCAAGCGTTACAAAGAAGATTATTCAAAACCTTGGCCGATGAAGTTGACTGTCAATACGGGGACGTACTCCTTCACTCTGAAGTCCGATGGTTAAGTAGAGGACGGGTGCTGAAACGTTTTAATGATGTCCTATCTGGCATAGTTCAATTTTTCAAACAACGCGATGAACCGACTCCGGAACTAGAACATTCAATCTGGCTTAGAGATTTTGATTTTCTCGTGGACATTACAGAGAAATTAAATTAATTTGCAGCTTCAGGGGAGAGACAAAGAACTAGCAGAAATGATTTCTGATATAAAAGCATTTATCAAAAAGCTGGAGTTTTGGGAACAAAAGCTAATTAACAGCGATGCCAAGCATTTTCCTATTCTTTCAGAAAAAATATCTCAAAATCCATTAGAACCCTATGACAGCAAATATCATGTAGAAATAGTTTCTACCCTGAAGAATAACTTCAAAAATCGTTTTAAGGATTTCAACGAAATAGCTTTAGTAGCGCAGTTTGTTGTTTCACCTTTTATGGAAATTGATATCCAACAGTTTGCAACTTGTGTTATGCAGAACTTTGGCGAAGACATCGCTGCAACAGAAATGGAAATAATTGAGTTTCAAAATGATTTAGCCTTAAAATCGTTAGTCTCAAGTACCAAATGTATCTGGCCTATTGTAAGTAAAGACAAATATTCAGTTCTATGCCGTGTTGCCTTGAAAGTGAAAGCATTATTCAGTTCAACCTATTTGTGTGAATCTTCTTTTTCCAATATGAAGTTTATTAAGAACAAATATCGCAATGGACTTACAGATGAACATTTGGATAATTGTATTCGAATGGCTGTATCAAATTATACTGCAAACATTAAAAAAATTATCGATGAGTCTGAGTGTCAGCCTTCTCATTGAACGTGCTTTTTTATTTTTTAATGTTTATGTTCATGATAGTGCGTTACTTTTTGTTGTTATTATTAACTATTTTTAGATCTTACGTGACATGCCGTTGTGGCTGAATAAAAGTTTGTGTTTATTTTTTAAACACCTTCGTTTGGTAGGTAGGAATGTAGCTATGAACAAGTACGTACTAGTAATATTAGTTATTTTGTTATTAGTTTATTATTAGTACCTATGTATTATGTATTACCAGTTAAATAGTAAAATAAATACATATAATGATACATTAACTGTGAATTATTTCATTTACGTTGCGTTACGTGGCTTCCGTGTGAGTAGCTCGCTGTTTATTCCAAAATTAACAAAGTAGCTCAACACATTGAGAGGTTGGCGACCACTGCTCTAGAATATAGAATGATACAATAAAAATTAAATAACATCCATAATTATAAAACAGAAAACTAATTTATTTTTATTTTCTTTTCGAAAAATTTGGTTAGAATTTTCTTCCTTTTCTATTTTATCTATTTATGAACCAGCAGTTTTAAAAGCGTTCCAACTCATTTTCGATTCCAAAACCATTCAGAGATGCGCTTGCGCAGTACATCGTTCATAAACTGATGTTGGTATGATACAAGAACGGTACCAAACCGCAAGTTGGAACAAACCTAATGTAAACTTAAGATATCCAAACAGTACCACTACCCAGATTCAATCTTATCATGTTTCACCGTTGTTTTACTTACAATGCTGTAAACTTTTACAATACTGTTCCATTGTAAATAAAAACGCATTCTTTGACACATCTTAAAAAACCTTAAAATTGAGTTTATTAGCTAACCAATGAGGGCATTGTATTATGATTACTACCTTATACTTTTTTTTTATTGCCATTTCTTATATTCATTTTTATAATTTTTTTTTTATTAAATTGCTATTGTTATATATAAAATCAGTTGTGTAAATCAATTTTTAAGTTTTCTAAATGTTATTTTGTTTGTAAACAAATTACTTACTGTTTAGAGATTAAGTGGAGTAGCTTAGCAAGACTTCTCCTCTATATATTTTCATGTATTATATATTACAATGAAAAATAAAGACATTTTATTATTATTATTTTGCGTACGTTTACCAAACAAAAGTGTTTGGTTGAAACATAAAGTTTGAGCAAAAAAATAGGTAAATATTTAAATTAGAAAATATTTATTAAGTTCATCAAACTCTTCATTCCGTGAGATCAAAAATATCATATACATCCGCAACCAATTTTTTTTTATAAACTCTTTATTTTTGTCACTTTTAATTTTAATTCTGCGGCCAACTTTGAATCGTCTTTCCAGTTAAATTTATTCTTTCCTGTCGGCAGTGAAACTCAAGCGTAAAAACTGTCATCGTTTTCTTTAGAAAAGAGTGAGTGTTTTTTTGTTACTGTGCACTAATTTTCCGAATTTTTATATATACAAAGTGGTCCAATTTCAAAAACAAGTATTAGAAATTAAAAATTTAAAAAACCGACTTCAAAAACGTGCAGATGCCATCACCACATCTTAACCAAATTTATATGGGACCACCCCTGAGGTACCCTCTTACTAAAAAAAAAAGAATCATATAAATCGGACAAGGTGGTAAAAAATTATTGCTGAACATACATAAAAAAAAATATTGCGACGAATTGAGAACCTCCTCCATTTTTGAAGTCAGAAATCATTTAAAAAAGTTATCTTTTGTAAAATTTATTGATGAAAACATACTCTACACGGACTGGCCCGCGCCGTACGTGAGGGCAAAGTCGTGTGGTGCACAACATTGTCAAAACAAAATTTATAATGCTAAAAAAACAGTAAAGAATTACTAGCTATTAAATTGTTTTTTATTTGGAACACTAAAAAGGCTCATAAATGTTAAAAAAATATATATTTCAGTCTGCTTTTTCTATTTAATGTTAGTTTAAAATATGTTAAAGCAAAATTTACTCCATTCCACTCTCCTGTATCGCCTCAGCTTCTTCCATAACATTTTTTTCTTCATCATCCTTACATTTAGGTATCCTTACTACTCGCGGTCCCAAACTTTTATCAACTTTAGGATACCTTCCAATATGCGTCAAATTTAATAAAGCTCTCGGCTGGTCTAGAGGGCCATCAATGATATTTCTTTTTATTTTCAAAGTTTCTGGGTAGCCAAATTTCATGAGGGAATAATAGTTTGCTTTGTAAGTGTTTGCTGGATAATGTACCGCTTGTATTTTTCCATCTAGGATATATGTTTTAACATCGATGTATTCTTGTTCAATTACACCAGATCGAATCATTCTAGCTAGTCTCTGAAATAAAATAATGTTATAGATAGATGCCTATCTAGTTTTATAAAGAAATAATAGTGCGAGGACTAGTAATCGCTAGACATATGTTATAGTAAGAAGGTAAAGGTTTTTCATGCTTGTATACACTATAGTGTTCAGGTATCGGAAAAATATCCATGCGATTGTGAAGAAAATTCACCGATAAGATCGAAAAAATTAGGATAGAGTAAACTTTCTCTTGTGGACCGGGCGACATCCTCAAGTACACAGCCTTAGCTTTGCACACAAGGCACTGCAGAGCTGGAGGATCACTTCCCTCGTACTCATGGTAAGAGTAAAGAAAATATGGGAAAAACCAAAACAAAAACACCCAATGAGAGGAACTCGAACGACTTAGGTTCCTTGAACATTACAGAGAGATTGCAATAATATTGAATTCTAAAATGTCGAAGGAATGAGAAACTGCGTCAGCAGAAGACTCTGATACCTCAGAAAAGAGACGATATGATCTGTAAAAACAGAGAACTCTACTCTATCAAATCTTCTGGCAGGGCAAACGACTACACAAAAAAGAAACCTTCAGAAGAGGTAAAGAAGAAGCTTTTGAAAGAAAGGGAAGAAAATGACTGAAGGAACTTGAACGGTGGAGAAGAAGAAATCAGCAATACAACCCAAAAGGAACGAGGAGAGTAAGGATATAAACAGAGACCCGATCTGAGTTGCAGTCTCCTCGCAAGATGGTACTAAAAGAGCCAGGAATGCTTTGGCATCGACTGGCACATACACTAAACACACAGAGAGGACTGCAACTGGCTGTCATTGACAGAAGACATTTGGATTATATACTGGACTGGGGTAATCTGGATGACCTGCGCTAATCAAAAAACAGCGGACCGACTGATAGAAACGGCTCTCTCATAAAACTCTGGGGGAGGCGGATTTAACCGTGGTCAAATCCAAGAACACTCAGAGTACTGATCTTCATTTCAAACCTGAACGAAGCAGACAGAGCCAGTAATTCTTGAGCTTCAAAATCATGAGCTGAACATTGAAAAGCAAGGACAACTTCCGGCCAATGGGTCCAAGGTATCGTCATTTTGACAGTTCAGGTAGTTGAGTATAACGGACCTTAGATATGGGAAAAGGGGAAAAAAGGAAAAAGTTAGATGCTGGAGAGGATACTAGAGTTTGAGAAAGAGACAATTGAGGAGGTAACAGGTGGTAAGCACAGCGAGAGAATATACCAGAGAAAATGAAGATAAAATGATGAGTATGTTGGTTATAATGATGAAGGAGATTAGGTAAAATAAGGAGGATTTAAGTAACGATTTAGATAGGGAAAAGTAACAAAAGATGGATATGTTAATAGAAGAGGTTAGTAGTAAGGTAGAAGGCTAGACAATACTAAAACTGAGCTAAGGTAGGAGATAGGATCGTTAAAAGTTGAAACAGATAAGAAGTTGGAACATAATAAGAAAGATATTAGAATAATAAGATCAGGAAATTTGCAGGGATGGAGGTTAATGGTAATTTAGTAAAGGTGCAGGAAACGCTAGTTTTGTTTAATAAAATGTCAGAGAAAAGAGTTTAGGGTTTAGAAAATATGATTCAAGGAGTAGAAAATACAGGTATAGTAAAAAGTGTAGACGTTTTTCAAGGGGGAAGGATAGAGAAAAGGTTTGATGGGAATATATTCAAAATTCACCCTAAAGTATTTGTGAAAATTGTAAGAAATAGAGCAAGAAATCTTAATATTGTTGAGGACACAAAGGAATATATCAGGGAAGCTTCTAGTAGGGAGAGGAAATTTATATCGTATGAGGATTTTGAAAAGAGATTTTTAGATTGTTATTGGGGGGAAGTTGTGCAATGAAACGTCAGGGAAAATTTACATTTTGAAAAGTTTGATGATAGGAAGAATATAGTCAGTATGTTTTACAATTATTTAGTAATGCACAGTATTTGGATCCTCCAATGAAAGAGGAGGATATCATTCGTTATATTGCGCGACATTTCAAGTTTGAAATGACAAAACATATTTAAATAATCTTAATATTACACAGTGGCGGATCGTAGATGTTAGTAGCAGATGTAAAAGATAAAGAAACGGAAATTATATTATCATTTTAGAAATAGAGATTTGAATGGTTAGAAGATTTCTTATTTTACCATCTTTTTAATTATTAACATTATTTTAGATAATTGAAACACATTCTCAAGGAAGTATCTATCCTGGTGCTCGAGCTAGTCATCATAACACATAGTACAAATAGTACCCATAGTACACCAGCAGTTTACCCCTCATTGCTACAAATATTGCGGTAATAATTTTACTTTTCTTATAATGTGTTTTTCATATGGGTTATTCAATTAATCTAATAAAAATTACTTAAATAATTTTACCTCACACGCCATTTCTTCCCATCTATTACCCCAGAGGAAGCAAATTCTCATCATGGGAGTTTTCTTTAAGCTATCAAGTATATCTGTTAATCCTTGATCGTTTATACGATTGCTACTCATGTCTAGAAATCTTAATTTAGAAAAAGGCAAACCAAAACTCATTGCCCTAAAAAATATGTTCATAGTATATACATTTGGAAGTTGTACTAAATTACTTTTAATTTATTATAATTATTGATCTTATCATGGCGCAGTCAGTAGGATATAAAACCCAAGAACGAGATTATGGGACAAAATAGGAACTGTAACTGAAGTCTGAAAATTCAGGAAATATGTTATCAAATTAACCAGTGGAAGAATGTTAATAAGAAATAGAAAATTTTTATTAATAATTTCAGGGGAAGGGGTCGGTATGCAATAGGCAAAAGGGGAAGATGATGTAAGTGATCACCCTGTTTAATAAATGATAGGTACAATTTATTATATTTCTATCAAAATAAGTACAAAGAGTATAAGTCAGATTTTCTTGATTTCGGGTTTTTTTTTACTATAGTTCATGTTTATCATCTAAATATATGCCCTAAAAGTACAAGTCAATGCTGAGTATTTTTTACTAACGGTTTAGCATTGAACCTTTCAGTACAAGTTAAGTTCCATAATATCTGGTTTGTATAAGGAGTATAAGTCAAGTTATACTGTTAGGACCCATGTTTCTCACTGTTGGTTAGGTTGTACTATTGAGACATTTTTTATGTTATCAGTCTAAGCTTTTATTATTATCAGTCTTGTCTTGTCACTCTTAGGAATGTGAGCTCTACTTATTTAGTTTGATTTTTTCTCACCTAAAGTTCAAGTAGGTAATAGTGTTTCCAGTGAATTGTTGTATTATTATTTTTCGTGGTTAAGAGCAGGCAAGATGGCTTCTTTGAGCAGAGGCAAAAAAATGGTGGTTGGTAGTCAGAGGAGTGTTCTTCATTCCAGCTTGGAACCTGCCCCCCTACCTTGAAAGGTCAAACTTTTAATCGACTGAAGAAAGTGGACATATTTTTTGAGTGCCTCGTTTTATGAGACCGGTAGAAGTCTTGAATTAAAAAAATGACCATAAATATGTTTGGAAAAAAATTGGAAACTAAATATTTTACATAACGAGACAAAAAAAAATTGACCAGTGCTATTTATTCTAAAAATACAACCAAAATTGGAAAATGTAAGCCTACAAACGTAGACAATCTGGAACATAAATAAAATACAGTATTGAACTGTATAAAAACCAGACTAAATTAATAGCAAATAAAAATATGCTGTTTTTATAAAGATAAAAGTAAAAATATTCTTGCCTTGCTCCTACAGGTCCTATGCAATTACCAGCTAAGTTTAATCCTTTTAAATTCGGTCTGTCTCTCAACCAAGTTGCTATTAATTCTGTACCATAATCACTGATATTATTGTATCCAATATCAAGCACTTCTATACTTCTGTTCGCCTTTAATCCATTCAACAAAATTTCTACGTCATGTCCATCGAATTCTAATTTCTGAATGTGGATTTCTACGAATTTGCTATTTAACTAAATAACACGCAAAATGAATTATAAATTAACGGTATAACATAGATTTTAATTAAAATTACTTGATAATAGAGGTCACCAGGATGATTCTAAATATATCATATTTAAAGGGATTTGTAATCTTTATAGCCAAGGTACAGGGTTAATTAATTTCATTCATTTCTTCCTATAGGCTATTTTTATGTATGAGAGAGTAATAATAATAATAATAATAATAATAATAATAATAAATTTATTGATATTGATATAGGTATACAATAAAATAATAACAATTGTATTAGTTTAACACCAAACAAGGGCGGACACCAGCCTAAGCAACTTAATGCTTGTTTTGCGATGCCAGTCCTGTTTAGTGCTTTACAAAATATTATACTTGTTTTAATATCATGAACTAGATTTAAATATTAAAATAATAACAGAGATAGCTGAAACAGTTCTAATTAATACTAAAGAAAAATAATTAAATATGAAGAAAGAAAGTAATGTGGAATGTAATGTAGGAAATGGAAAATTAAATCAACGGTTTATATATTGTTTAATTGTTAATTTACTGAAGTATTTTTTTTTATATTATATTTAGTTTATCGGGGTGATTTATTAAGAAATTTTTAACGTCTATTTTATAGATTTTAAATTTTTTTATTTGTTTTAGGTTAGCGGGTAAGAGATTATATAATTTTGGACCATGGTAAAAGTATGAATTTTGGGTAATTGATTTTTTAAAGGCTTCAGTTCTTATATTCAAGTTTGTTGCGGATCTAGTTTTTGTATAATATTGGGGTGTTTTATCTTGTTCATTAAATATTCGTAGTAAGCATTGGTAGATGTAGTGATTTTGTATATTAAAAAGTTCTGTTTCTTTATATAGTAGTGTAGTTGAGAACATTTTGTTTTTTTGAAAAATTATCTTTATTAGGAGGTTTTGTGCTACTTGTAATGTGTTTAGTGTTGTTTTATATGCTCCACCCCAAATAGTTATGCAGTATTTTATTATAGACTCTGCTAATGATGTATATAATATAACTAGATTTTTTTTGAAAGAATTTATCTAAGTTGATAAAATTTATGCATTAATACTCTTATTCTTTTTGCTACATATGTAATATGTTCCGTCCATTTTAGGTGCTGATCTACGATCACTCCGAGATATTTAATTGATGTAGTTTTCTCCAAATTTTCACAATCGCATGTGTTATTATGTTGAGGACATGTTGGGCAGTGTAATTTTATATTTATATTATTTGGCTGATCTACTATTGTTGGTGAAAAAGTAATATATTTAGTTTTTTTAATATTTAGAGTTAATAAATTATGGTTGAGCCATATATGTAACCTATTTAGTTCTCTTTCTGCAGTTTGTGTTACATTTTCCCAATTTTCCCCAGAAAATATTATAGCTTTATCATCGGCATAGCACACTAGTTGTCCTTTGAAGTTTGAAATTTGCGTGATACTATTCATATATATTACGAATAAAATCGGCCCTAACACTGTTCCTTGAGGAACACCTGTTTCTACTTTCTTGTCAGTACTAAATGAGTTTCCAATTTTTACTCTTTGGGTTCTGTCCGACAAGTAGTTTTCTAATAATTGAAGGGCTATTCCTCTAATGCCATATTCCCTTAATTTATTAATTAATATTGAGTGTTCCACGGTATCAAAAGCCTTGGCAAGATCCAAAAAAACTGCTAAGCATTTTGATGAATCATCCAAGTTCTTCATTGTTGTTTTTGGGAGGTCAATTATAGCATTTTCCATATTTGAATTTTTGATAAAGCCAAATTGCCTATTTGTTATAATATTGTGTTTATTAAAAAATGAAAGAAGTCTAGTTTTTAGCGATTGCTCAAAAATCTTCGCAAAATTATTAATAATATATATTGGTCTATAGTTATTTAAATTCGTAGGGTTCCCCGCTTTAAAGATTGGAGTTATATTTGATTCTTTCCATTGTTTTGGTATTTTTCCAATAGCCAAACATTGATTTATTATGTGAGATAGAGGCTGACAAATATATACATGAATAGTTTTTATTATTTTTGTAGATAGATTATCTGGACCTGGTGAACAATTGTTCTTTAGATTTGAAATGTATGTAATTAATTCGTTATTAGTTACGGGTTTAAGATATATCGAATGGATTAGGTGAGTATTATTTAAAAAATTCTGTGGTAGATTTTTTTTTATTTTATTTGCCATTTTTCTACCCAAGGTTGCAAAGAAATTATTGAATTCATCTGCTTTTTCTTTATTGTTTGTAATTATTTTTCCTTCAACATTAGTTATATTACAGTATTCAATGGTTTTGCTGTATTCCTTACCTGTTATATTATTTATAATCTCCCACACTTTCTTGCTGTTTTTTCCAGCTTCATTTATTTTATTTCTGTAATAATCATTTTCAGCATTTCTAATGCAAAACTTAGTACGGTCATTTTAAATATTTTTACAGAATAATCTAAATATTTCCTAAAATTGTAATAAATGTACCTGAGCTATTACAAGTTTTGGGTCTTTTATTGGTCCTTTATAAACATAAGCTGTACAGAACAATAGAAAAAGGTTTGGACAGGCCAAAAGCCCTGTGTATTAAAGATTACATAGACGTATCTTAAGATTGTTTTCAATAAGTACCTATTTGCCAATTTTGTTTTATTTTAATTCCAAGAATTTCTTACAGTAATCGAATTTAAAGTAGATAAATACCTTCCCAACAAATTTCACCGAAAATGCGATTATAGGTTTTCCATTTAGTAAGGAGGTCCAAGTTGTGTATTCTTGACAGTTTACTAAATGTCGTTTAGTTGCAACTTACAAGGTGCAGTGTGAATTCTAGTGTGATCATGGAAAATTTGGAAGGGCCGCGTAAACGACATTAATATTTAAATTGTTTTAAATCATTTACAGACAAACATTTATGTAAAAGTGTTGATGACACAGTGGAATTAGTTAGTAGTACGTTTGGTGTTGGGAAATCTACGATTTACAGAGTTGTTAAAGAAGAGAAATGTGGCGAGTTTCAAACAGCACGTAAAGCTCCAGGAAAACCAAAATTTCAATTAGATAATCTTTTGAAAGAAAGACTTCGAAGGAAAGTGCATGCGTTCTTCTTTAGAAAATAATTTTCGACAGTAGACAAAGTTCTTGCCACGGTTCGAGATGATTAGGATTACCCTGAAATGAGTCGAAGCACACTATGGAAACTTTTAAAAGAAATAGGTTTTCTATGGAAAAAGCATTCCAGAAAGTCTATTTTAATAGAAAGAAGCGATATTGTAGTATGGAGAAGAAATTACCTAAGGACTATAAAAGAAATGAGAAACCAAAGAAGAAATATATTTTATTTAGATGAAACATAGCTCAACGAGGGACATAAACCAAATAAATTTTGGCAAGATGAAACTGTTACAAGTCGAAGACAGGCTTTTTTAAATAATTTATTTACTGCTTTAAATCCACCATCAGGAAAGGGGCGCAGACTAATAATAGTACACATCGGTAGTTCAAACGGTTTTGTTAAAGGTGGTTTATTGACTTTTGAATCTACTCGTACCGGTGACTACCATGAGGACATGAATGCTGATGTCTTTAAAGAGTGGTTCGAACAAATTATAGATCTTCTTCCTCAGAACTGGATAATAGTAATGGAAAATGCAAGTTATCACTCGAGACTTATAGAAAAAATGCCCACAACCAAGTGGTTAAAAAAAGATTTACAGAATTGGCTAAATTCAAAGAATATTAAGTTCCATCCCGGTTCTGTGAGAAAAGAACTGTATCATTTGTGTTCCCTTCATAAAGAGAAATTCAAAAAATATGAAATTGATGAAATTGCAAAAAATCGTGGGATGACGGTGGTTAGATCACCACCATATCATTGCGAAGTAAACCCGATTGAACTGACATGGGCACAGATAAAGGGAGAAGTTTCAAGAAAAAATAATTCTTTTAAAATGAGTGATGTTAAACAGTTGTTTTTGGAGGCTGTAAATAATATGAAGCCTGAAAACTGGGAAAAGGCAGTAAATCATACGATTAAAGAAAAAGAGAAAATGTGGAAGTTGGATAATATTACTGATGAAATGATCGAGCCACTCATTGTAAATATTGGTTGCGACAGTTCATCTTCTGATTTCGATTCTGATTTGGATTTGTAGGTAAGAAGTAGTTTTTATATTAAAATTATTATTTATGAACGTAACGTTGTTTAAAAGTCAAAGTTTAAACCCTTATACCTACATAACCCGTTTGGCACAATGTTCTTAACATACCTTGTGGAAAAATAAAACATTTTAGAAAAATTTGAACTTTTTTACCTTCAGCTGTCTAGAAGTTATAAGCAGGTTAATTAGGTGAAAATATAAGTGTATACTCGAGGAATAACTTCAAAAAATATTTTAACTGTCTACTAAAAGAAGTGGTGCGCCTATGGATTACGAATGCTTTATTATTTTAATACTCTCTCAAACATAAAAATAGACTATAGGATCATAACCACTCAAAATAGAATTGATACAGGACATGATGGATGCAAATATTATTGAAGAAGTTTCCTTCCGATTGAAAGACGTTTTAAAGACGTCTTTGAGCTCTCACATGAATACATCTGAATTATGGCTTTTTCCAGACGTCTTAATAACGTCCTAGGACATTGAGACCAAACCAAGACGCAAAAAGACGTCTTTTAGACGTCGTGTGCTATCTGGAATGTAGATCGCAAAGTGTCTAAATCACAGGCCAGAAGTGTGTTGGAGAAGCTTCACAGTAGCCGTTTAGGAGGACAATTTGATATTAAAACGAAGCACGAGTTTGCGAAAGATTTTATTGGGTCAATTGCCGACGGGATGTAGAAGATTGGTGTAAGAAGTTTAGTATATCTAACTAGTAATAATTGCAGTTGAAATCATGATTTGAAGAGTTTCCATAATCTCACCAATTTTCTTTTACCTTTAATGCAACTCCCAGATCATCAGCCAGTGTTGCTTGATTGTATTTAGTATAAAACGAATTTTGAATGATTCTTGAAATGTCTAACACTTTTATATTACTTTCTTCTATGACAATCAGAAACGATTCAATACTTTCTAATGTTTGATCAGTCTCTGCGATATCTAGGATCTCTAAATAAGGACAATTTTCTATAAGTCTTGCTATAAACCGAGCTCCCTATAAAACAATGTAAAAAAATGTATTAGGAGCAACAATATTGTTTAATATTGACAGTTGTAACCTTTTAAAGTTTCAGTTAAAAATGTTATTTTAATTGTGTGACATGCTGTATAAAATAAGGGAAATTTCGTGAAGTGGGAGTACAGTAAAGTAATCTATTTCACCATTAGATCTTGTAATTTCATTTCCCAATATTATCTTCTAATATCTGCTAGTGTTTGGCTGTATGTATGTCGTAAAAATATCTCAGAAGAAATTATATTTCTACCTGTTGTTAGTTATAAGTTTACTTATTTTTTGAAAGTCCAAGTTAAATTGTTTTAAATATGTTTTTATAATTACTTTTGGTTGCTGGAATTGCACAATGTTTACAGTAATTAGTTTTTATTGTATCTTGATTTAATTTTAAAAAGTAGATGTTTCAAATTTAATTTATATCTCATACAAGAGCCACGTGAAAAACAGAATTTATTTTTTGTTTAGAAAACGAATAGGAGCAGCTAAAAGCTAGCAGAATTATAGAAAGAATGAGATTTGGTGTTCGTTCCCGAATAGCAGCTAGTCAAAATTTCTTATAAGTGTTTTTAAATTAACATTTTATTGCAAAGTAAAAGTTAAAACTGCATATTATACACAAGTGACATTAGACCATGGAGAGTATGAAGAGAAGTCGCCAATCGTGAAATTATTTGGGATATTACTACTGATAACACTTATTAATCTTAGCACTGCATAATTGTATGACGTCTTACCTCCGCGCCAATTTTATTCCCATTAAGTCTACACATTTTCAGTCGGATATGGGAAGAAGCTGAAAGTTTTTCTATACCCTTTGCTGTTATATCGCACTGCATTAAACTCATAGATTGTAAATTATTTGGATGATTAAACAAATACTCAGATAATGTCTCCAATCCTCTGTCTCCAAAATCGTTATAACATAGATCCACACTAACGATGTCTGGATTATTTAGCAGAAATGTCGCGATAGTTCTCATATGTCTTGGTTTTAAACGGGAACTAAAACAACAATAATTTCTGAGCCTGAACCGTTCTGCGGTATCAGCAGTAACATAGTATTAGAAGAGATTAAAAAAGAATTAGGCATTAGAAATAATAGAAATAATTTGTTTTTGAAACGGTACTCTTGTTAATTACTTAAACATGAAATTGCACTGCTGTAAATACTAAATTAAGATTATATTTACCCCTTTCATTTATTCAATTTTCTTTCATTCAAAGTTTTTGCACATTTATCGTTCTTCCCACCAACGATCATTATAACTATTACTTTTGAAATCCCAGCGAATTAGCGGTTTTAATATTTATTAAATATCTACATACCCAAATCGTTGATAAAGTTCTTTTCCCTTTAAACGTAAGTGCATTGTATCATCTGAGTTTTTTTCCAAGAACAATCGGAGGAAGGTTTCGTTTAGTAATTTATCTCCCATTACACTCATGGCGATAAATGTAATTCTACAATCTTTAAAAAAAATATGTTAAATGATAAATTGGAGTTAAATTTGAATGATAATAAGAAAGATGACATCTACACAAAACTTTTTAGTGACAATGACGAAAAGTGCATATAAAATCCAATGCACGTCATAGGTGACGTCGTAGAGTGTGTCCCAGTGTTGCCAGAATATATTTTTGTAATGTACCAGATTTGTCTAAAAAATGTACCAGATTACATAAAAATGTACTAGATTCTATAAAATTACCAGATTTTCTAATTATGAAGGGTGGTCATTAAAGAGCAAAAAAAGGCTTATAGAGAACACGAACACAACAATTTTAAACAATATTTTATCTCTCGACAAATTTCTTACATTATTTTATCTCTCGTGCAATTTTTGAAAAAGATTTTAATAACTTATGATGATATTTTATCTCTCAAACAGTTTATAAACCTTTTTTATCTCTCGAGCAATATTTCTTGTACAATTTTTAACACTATTTAATCACTCGAGCAATTTTAAACAGCCTGTCAAACTATTTTTGAACAATATTTGATCTCTCGTGCAATTTTTGAGCAAAATTTTAACAATTTATAACACTATTTTATCTCTCGAATAATTTTTAAACCTTTATTAGCTATTTTTAATGATATTTTATCTATAGATAAATTTCTAACATTATTCTATCCCAGACAGCACACCAAATCCTTTGGATATCTACTGAACATCCCAATATCCACTGAATGTCCAGTCCATGGTGGATATCTATTTTATATCCATGAAATGTAATTTATAGACATGCAAATGTCCATAAATAATTGTAATTATATAGCAAATTTTTAAAAAATTACGCCATTGTACTCGCCATTGTGGCTAATAGTACCGTTGAGATATTTAAAATTAATTTTTTTTAAGGTGTATTCAATATCCCATGGACATCCACTATAAATATATCAAAGTCTAAGCGCGGACGCAAACCATCGTGGATATCTACTAGATGTAATTTTTGATTTTGCTTCCTAAGTATAGATGGCGATACCACTTTCGTATCTACTCATGCTTAACCCGCCGTAATTGAGTTTGATCGACATTGTTTCACAAACAGACTTCATTAGAGACTGAAGTCGAGAAGTTCCATTTATTGCTGAAGATTCCTAATAAGGATGATTTTCTCCTTAGTATGCAAAATCAAAGGCAGATTGTTGGGAATATTTTTTACCTCTATTTTCTTTCGACGTTATTCAATAACCATGGTTACTTATGAACCTCTACTAAAAATAATTATAAAATATTTTTCTGAATTTCTATATCCTGGGATATAGACGGACATTTGGTTGGTATCCACAAAATATATTCTATGGATATATCTGGGATTTCTTGTATTGTCTGGAGATACTCATTAGATATTTTGCTGAATATCCATAGGATATCTTCTATATTCTGGATATAGACGGACATTTGGATATCCATATTAGTTCCACGGAATATTTCTGATATCCTGTGGATATATTGGATATCCACAAAATATATTCTGTGGATATCTCTGGGATTTGGTGTGTTGTCTGGGTGGGATCTCTCGAGGAATGTTGAACTACTTTTTTTTATCTTTTTAGCAAATTGCACAATATTTCTGTACCATCCGTGAATAAGTGGATAAGTGAAATTTTAGTAAAAATATAATATCTACAAATATCTAAAGTGCTCTTCCTATTCTGTTTGGTGAATAAATGGGTGATTCAAATTCTTAATAGCTTCCTTCATGAGTTTACTTCAGAGGACTCCGTGAATAGTTGGATTTCTCCAATTTTTTGTGCCAAAACCGGTAACTATAGCTATCCCCGGATTTGGAAGAGGTTTATCTAAATTATCAGTCGTTTTCTAGTTTTCTTTTCCAATCAAAATGTATGTTATTTGAAATAAGTTCACTTTGCTTTTTTCATGAATAAATAAAAATATTAAAAAAATTTTGTCCTGTTTATTTATACTAGAATAAGTCAGTAACTCAACAAAAACACACACATTTGAGGTCAATAAATTAATAGGCAAGTCAGATTTTTTCCATTAAGTAATATAATTTCACAGGTCATAATTATTTACATTGTTGGTTGTATAATTAACAACCTATTTCAAAAAACGAAATTTAACCTAAAATTGTTTTTCAAAAACATCAAAATGTTGTTTAAAATGGCTATACTGAAAAACTTCAATTTTTGACTTACCGACTTATTCACAGATGGTACAGATTTTAAAGCTCGATAAATTTTTAACAATGTTTTATGTTTCTAGTGATTTTTAAACAACTTTTTTATCTCTCGAGCAATGTTTGTACAATATTCGAGTCAATTTTAAACAATATTTTATTTCTCAATAAAATTTTCAACAATATTTTATCTCTCAAGCAATTTTTAAACAAGGTTTTAACATTTTGTAATACTACTTTACCTCGAGCAATTTTTGAATACGATTTTATTTATAATTCTATTTGATCTCTCGAACAATTTTTAAATTTTTTTCTTCTCTCATTAAATGTTTAACAGTATTTTTATCCCTAAAGCAATTTGTGGACAATATTTCACCCCTCAAGCAATTTCTAATACTATTTTATCCTTCGAACAATTTTTAACACCCTTTTTTACCTCTCCAGCTATTTTTGAACAATATTTGATCTCTCGAGAAATGTCTACTATTTGATCTCTGAAGCAATTTTTAACAACTATTTTAATTTCTCTGGCAATATTTGAACAATATATTTTACACTTCAAATGGAACATACGCTGAAAAAAGTACTAGATTTTCCTTTGAGTGTATTAAAGTACCAGATTCTCAAATAATGTACTAGATCTAGTACAATTGTACTAGACTGGCAACACTGGTGTGTCCTTTTCAGGATTTACAGGGAAGGGACTAAAACGTTTAGAAAAATAGTCCGTTTCTCGCTAACATAAATGGTCAAAAAGTAGAGGCTTGTTTTGTAATAACTAGTAAACTTGAAGAACTGCAACTAACTTTCTTCAATCGTACTTGTTTTCTACTTACTGTATGCAACGTTTCGTCCAAATCGGAGCAACTTTTTCCAACTTTTGAACGAAGAGAGATATTGAGCAACAGACACCACTCCGATATTACGTTTTACATACTGATTCTCTGTACCAAATTTCAGCGAAATCGAAGACGAAAAAATTTTTATGCAAAAATTTTTGAAGGCCCTTTCATTTTTTCTCGAAAAATTCATGGTCTCCGATTGAGCTGAAAATCGGACAGTGTACAGTATGCGCTCTAAAACGTTTAGAAAAATAGTCCGTTTCTCGCTAACATAAATGGTCAAAAAGTAGAGGCTTGTTTTGTAATAACTAGTAAACTTGAAGAACTGCAACTAACTTTCTTAAATCGTACTTGTCTTCTACTTACTGTATGCAACGTTTCGTTCAAATCGGAGAAACTTTTTCCAACTTTTGAACGAGGAGAGATATTGAGCAACAGACACCACTCCGACATTACGTTTTACATCCTGATTCTCTGTACCAAATTTCAGCGAAATCGAAGACGAAAAAATTTTTATGCAAAAATTTTTGAAGGCTATATACCCTTTCATTTTTTCTCGAAAAATTCATGGTCTCCGATTGAGCTGAAAATCGGACAGTGTACAGTATGCGCTCTAAAACGTTTAGAAAAATAGTCCGTTTCTCGCTAACATAAACAGTCAAAAAGTAGAGACTTGTTTTGTGATAATTAGCAAGCTTAGAGAACTGCAACTGACTTTCTTCAATCGTACTTGTTTTCTACTTACTGTATGCAACGTTTCGTCCAAATCGGAGCAACTTTTTCCAACTTTTGAACGAGGAGAGATATTGAGTAACAGACACCACGCCGACATTTAGTTTTACATCCTGATTCTCTGTACCAAATTTCAGCAAAATCGAAAAACTTTTATGGATAGAAAATGGCTGGCTCTTGTTAGTTGTTCTTATGGCGCCATCTACTGACAAGTTGTCAAAACAAGGAATATATCAAAATAGTATTCTATTATAAACTACTTCTTGTTTGTAAATTCGTCCATAGATGGCGAGACTAGTTTAAAAATGTATTGTTTCGCCATGTTGTGTCCACATTTTAGAATAAAAATGACTGAGAATAAACTTTTTTCGACTATGAAATCTGAAATAGACGAAAAGTGGACTTTTGAAAAAAATTTAGAAAATTTCGAAAAAATAATTGTTTTTATTGCGTGTGTCGATAGAGCTCCCTACGCACTTCATTTTTGGGCCTGCCCCGTTGACCCCTGGGTCATTTTTATCCATCTCTTACCGTTTCCGAGATATTCGCGTTTGAAGTTTTGAACTTGAATAGTGCCTAAACTGCTCAAGATAGAGACGAAAGGGAAACAGCACCCTAAAGTATCTGTCCTGCTCTACATCTGTGCTTATTTATAAAGTAATTGAATAATTAGTTACTGAGAAAAACGAAGAAAACATTAAACGGTTATAGAAACGAAGCTACCGAGTCCACCCTGTAATTTGTTATGCTTTCTTTTATATGTACCCAAATTTGTATCAAAATATGAGGAAAAAAAAAAATTTGATCAAAAAATTTTGAAGGCTATAGTCTTTCGTTTTTTCTCGAAAAATTCACGGTCTCCGATTGAGCTGAAAATCGGACAGTGTACAGAATGCGCTCTAAAACGTTCAGACAAATAGTCCGCTTCTCACTAAAATAAACAGTCAAAAAATAGAGGCTTGTTTTGTGATAATTAGCAAGCTTAGAGAACTGCAACTGACTTTCTTCAATCGTACTTGTCTTCTACTTACTGTATGCAACGTTTCGTCCAAATCGGAGCAACGTTTTCCAACTTTTGAACGAAGAGAGATATTGAGCAACATACATCACTCCGACATTTAGTTTTACATCCTGATTCTCTGTACCAAATTTCAGCGAAATCGAAGACGAAAAAATTTTTATGCAAAAATTTTTGAAGGCTATACCCTTTCGATTTTTCTCGAAAAATTCATGGTCTCCGATTGCGCTGAAAATCGGACAGTGTACAGTATGCGCTCTAAAACGTTTAGAAAAACAGTCCGTTTCTCGCTAACATAAATGGTCAAAAAGTAAAGGCTTGTTTTGTAATAACTAGTAAACTTGAAGAACTGCAACTAACTTTCTTCAATCGTACTTGTCTTCTACTTACTGTATGCAACGTTTCGTCCAAATCGGAGCAACTTTTTCCAACTTTTGAACGAAGAGAGATATTGAGCAACAGACACCACTCCGACATTACGTTTTACATACTGATTCTCTGTACCAAATTTCAGCAAAATCAAAAAACTTTTATGGGTAGAAAATGGCCGGCTCTTGTTAGTTGTACTGATGGCGCCATCTACTGACAAGTTGTCAAAACAAGGAATATATCAAAATAGTATTCTATTATTAACTACTCCTTGTTTTATAAATTCGTTCGTAGATGGCGAGACTAGTTTAAAAATGTATTGTTTCGCCATGTTGTGTCCACATTTTAGAATAAAAATTACTCTGAGAATAGATTTTTTTCGACTATAAAATCTGAAATCGACGAAAAATGGACTTTTGAAAAAATTTCGAAAATTTCGAAAAAATAATTGTTTTTATTGCGTGTGTCGATAGAGCTCTCTACGTACTTCATTTTTGGGCCTGCCCCGTTGACCCCTGGGTCATTTTGCTCTATCTCTTACCGTTTCCGAGATATTCGCGTTTGAAGTTTTGAACTTGAATAGTGCCTAAACTGCTCAAGATAGAGACGAAAGGGAAATAGCACCCTAAAGTATCTGTCCTGCTCTACATCTGTGCTTATTTACAAAGTAATTGAATAATTAGTTACTGAGAAAAACGAAGAAAACATTAAACGGTTATAGAAACGAAGCTACCGAGTCCATCCTGTAATTTGTTATGCTTTCTTTTATATGTACCCAAATTTGTATCAAAATCTGAGGAAAAAAAAAATTTGATCAAAAAATTTTGAAGGCTATAGTCTTTCGTTTTTTCTCGAAAAATTCACGGTCTCCGATTGAGCTGAAAATCGGACAGTGTACAAAATGCACTCTAAAACGTTCAGAAAAATAGTCCGTTTCTCACTAACATAAACAGTCGAAAAGTAGAAGCTTGTTTTGTGATAATTAGCAACCTTAGAGAACTGCAACTGACTTTCTTCAAACGTACTTGTCTTTTACTTACTGCATGCAACGTTTCGTCCAAATCGGAGCAACTTTTTCCAACTTTTGAACGAAGAGAGATATTGAGCAAAAGACACCACTCCGACATTACGTTTTACATACTGATTCTCTGTACCAAATTTCAGCGAAATCGAAGACAAAAAAATTTTTATGCAAAAATTTTTGAAGGCTATACCCTTTCGATTTTTCTCGAAAAATTCTTGGTCTCGGATTGAGCTGAAAATCGGACAGTGTACAGTATGCGCTCTAAAACGTTCAGAAAAACAGTCCGTTTCTCACTAACATAAATGGTTAAAAAGTAGAGGCTTGTTTTGTAATAACTAGTAAACTTGAAGGACTGCAACTAACGTTCTTCAATCGTACTTGTCTTCTACTTACTGTATGCAACGTTTCGTCCAAATCGGAGCAACTTTTTCCAACTTTTGAACGAAGAGAGATATTGAGCAACAGACACCACTCCGACATTACGTTTTACATACTGATTCTCTGTACCAAATTTCAGCGAAATCGAAGACAAAAAAATTTTTATGCAAAAATTTTTGAAGGCTATACCCTTTCGATTTTTCTCGAAAAATTCTTGGTCTCGGATTGAGCTGAAAATCGGACAGTGTATAGTATGCGCTCTAAAACGTTCAGAAAAACAGTCCGTTTCTCACTAACATAAATGGTTAAAAAGTAGAGGCTTGTTTTGTAATAACTAGTAAACTTGAAGGACTGCAACTAACGTTCTTCAATCGTACTTGTCTTCTACTTACTGTATGCAACGTTTCGTCCAAATCGGAGCAACTTTTTTCAACTTTTGAACGAGGAGAGATATTAAGCAACAGACACCACTCCGACATTTAGTTTTACATACTGATTCTCTGTACCAAATTTCAGCGAAATCGAAGACAAAAAAATTTTTATGCAAAAATTTTTGAAGGCTATAACCCTTTCGATTTTTCTCGAAAAATTCTTGGTCTCGGATTGAGCTGAAAATCGGACAGTGTACAGTATGCGCTCTAAAACGTTCAGAAAAACAGTCCGTTTCTCACTAACATAAATGGTTAAAAAGTAGAGGCTTGTTTTGTAATAACTAGTAAACTTGAAGGACTGCAACTAACGTTCTTCAATCGTACTTGTCTTCTACTTACTGTATGCAACGTTTCGTCCAAATCGGAGCAACTTTTTCCAACTTTTGAACGAAGAGAGATATTGAGCAACAGACACCACTCCGACATTACGTTTTACATACTGATTCTCTGTACCAAATTTCAGCGAAATCGAAGACAAAAAAAATTTTATGCAAAAATTTTTGAAGGCTATACCCTTTCGATTTTTCTCGAAAAATTCTTGGTCTCGGATTGAGCTGAAAATCGGACAGTGTATAGTATGCGCTCTAAAACGTTCAGAAAAACAGTCCGTTTCTCACTAACATAAATGGTTAAAAAGTAGAGGCTTGTTTTGTAATAACTAGTAAACTTGAAGGACTGCAACTAACGTTCTTCAATCGTACTTGTCTTCTACTTACTGTATGCAACGTTTCGTCCAAATCGGAGCAACTTTTTTCAACTTTTGAACGAGGAGAGATATTAAGCAACAGACACCACTCCGACATTTAGTTTTACATCCTGATTCTCTGTACCAAATTTCAGCGTCAAGCGGTGAAAATGGGGTTTAAAATTATTTCCTTAGTCGGTAAAAGTATTCAGATGCGGTTAATTATGTTGGATTTTTAATATTTCGGAAACAAATACGGCATTTCTATTTGGTAAGAAGTTAATTTAGCTTGCCACGAACCAACTAATGCAAAAACTTCAAAATCCGAATTTTTGTAGATACGGCATCTATTTTTAGGACGGCAGTGTAATTGACTTTTTTCAAACGTACTTGTCTTCTACTTAATGCAACGTTTCGTCTAAATCGGAGCAATTTTTGAACGAGGAGAGATATTGAGTAACAAATACCACTCCGACATTACATTTTACAATTCTGTGTACCAAATGCAGTGAAATCGAAGACAAAAAAATTTTATGGACAAAAAATGGCCGACTCTAGTTAATTGCACTGATGGCGCCATCTACTGGCGAGTTGTCAAAACAAGGACCATTTCAAAATAGTATTCTATTATTTAGTTATGGATTAAAAATGGCCGTACTCTAGTTAATTGCACTGATGGCGCCATCTACTAACGAGTTGTCAAAACAAGAAACATATCAAAATAGTATTCTATTATTAAGCACGCATTGTTTATGAATTCGTAAATAGATGGCGACACCAATTTAAAAATGTATTGTTCCGCCATATTTTGTCCACATTTTAGATACAAAAATGAGTTTTATGTTTGGATAGGACGATGTGAAGGAAAAATAAAACGCCAGAAAAATTATACAGACATTTATCAATATTTTCGATATTCTTACAATATTATAAACAACTATTTCTATTTACAGTGTAACGATATTATGTTTACGCACACCATTTTCGCAGATTTATCATCATATAACATTTTACCACCTCTATAAATTCATAGTCAACAATTCAAAATATAACAATTTGACCCCATCACTTAAGAATCACCAATTTGCACACTAGAATAGAAATCACGTTGAAAAATAATATCTGCTTAAAATTCCCACTACAAAACCAGTACAATATTGAATTGTCTACGGTGTCGGCCATTACGCGATGCATAAGCAGTGTTGCCAGAGCACTCTGAAGGAATGTAATAGATGAACTCTCAAAATTGTAATAAATTTCAAGAAAATGTAATAGAAATTATTATAGTCAACCTAAAATGAACTATACATAAAAAATAGATTCATTTTATTGATATTGATAATTAATGTTTTATGTTTTTAATAACCTATGTACTGATAAGAACAACGAGTCTTTCAATTATTGTCATAATGCAGCACGAGGATATTTTTGTTCTACATTCTTATAATAGATGATTTCAACGGAAGACATCTTGAAGTTGCAAGGTCATTGAAAGATCTTTTCGCCATCTACAAGTTTACATAACAACTAATAAAATAAAAAAGAAAACTGTACATTATTATTTTGGCAATCTGTTTAAGGTTACGGCATCGGTATTAATTTTTTTTCTTTTTTCTTCGTCTTCTTCATTAGTTGAATGTGCTCAGTTTTTCGCTATCTCTTTCTACTTAGTGCCAGGTCCCAGAGTCTTATTTTTCTTGGTGAGATTACAGAACGTCTGCAACTTTGCAGATCTGCAAATATGGCGGCAACTTTGCAGATCTGCAAATAAGGCGGGCTTATAGATGCAAGTATCAAGTTTTCGTATTCCAAAAAATATCTGCAAATTCGCAATAAACCACAATAAATTTTGCTAGTTTTCAAATATTTTTTGGAATACGAAAATTTGATACTTGCATTTGTAAGTCCGCCATATTTGCAAAGTTGCAGATATTCTGTAATCTCACCCAGTCATGTGTCATGTCAACATTTTTAAAAACATAAAACGACCTAGCGCGCGCTTAGCAAGCCATGTATATCTAGATTTCAGATCATGGCGATAGTGATAACTGAGGCCATACAACTAAAGAAAACAAGAAAAAAAAATTATACTTAACGCCGCTGTAACTTTAGACACACTGCCAAAATAATAATTTACAGTTTTCTTTTTTATTTTATTAGTTGTTATGTAAGCTTATAGATGGCGCAAAGATCTTCCAATGACCTTGCAACTTCAAGATGTCTTCCGTTGAAATCATCTATTTTAGTTTTGTAGCAACAGCAGACTCGTTCTGAATTTATCTGCGCATGAGTAGTACATGTAGTACGATTTAACTGTTCTATTCTTCGTACTACTCATGCGCAGATAAATTAAGAACGGTTTTATACTGGGGTTGAAACAAACCTTTTATTAAGAAAATGAAGGAAAAAGAAATTCGGCCTCCAATGATATAAGAAACTTTTTAAGCTTTGGGCATGCTCAAGAAAATATGTTTGGGATAAGCCTAATCAAAGAAACATGTTTGGAATGGGATTAGTTGTATAAAATAATAAACAATATATTAGGAACATAAAATAAAGAGTTCATCAATTGTTCGAGGCTCGTGAAAATGTAATAGATTTATTGGACATGTAATAAACCCTTCATAAATGTAATAGATTTGTTACAATTGTAACAAACTGGCAACACTGCGCATAAGTGCGCAGGGGCCCAATTCCTGACGCCTTCGTTAACTTATCGCATGCGATAACGTATGCGACTTGATCAAAGTGTATTCCTGAACTGGCGGCATTCGTCAAATTTATTAACGCATGCGCTAAAAAATGGTGATTTTCAAAGAGCGCTCATGACCGTTCGACAACCACTTTGTCGCATTCGTTAAGGTGAAAGTAAGGTTATAATCAGAGGGTTGTCTCCACATACTTTGATTTTCTTTTGTATGTGGTTGTCTCTGTTATAATTGTCAATTAATCCTGCTTTATCATAGGAGTTTTACAGGCACTAAACAATGTTATAAATTCTACTAAAGTTTCACGCTGTTTTTCCGTTATTCGTGAACAACGCTGTTCCATTTTTAATATTCTAAATCTAAACCACTCCAATTCTTAAGTCCAAAATACAAATAATCACAGTTAAAACATCCAAAAACCAAAAATTATTAGACATCTGCAATCCATTTAATTTTATAATTTTTGCATTTTTTTGGCAATTTTGATATATGTCAATGCAATTATCTCATATTCAGTGATACCATCTTTGGTATTCTCAATCCTCATTGGTTAAGACTATGCAATAATCAAAGACTCTTCGTTAACACGTTCGACTTGATTCGCGATTATCGCATGGTGTTCAGGAATACTAAATTGCTGTCGTATGCGTTAACGACCATGCGTTACTTAGCGCATGCGGCAGTTAACGCATGTTTCGAGAATTGGGCCCCAGAGAGAAAATAATCGATTAAAAAATATATATAATAATCGATTAATAAATTACTAATCGATTATTTTGTCCTTCCCTAGCACAATAAGTTGAATTTTTAAATACTATATATGCCGCGTTTGAGAAACCACATATGATGCATCCGAGATGTTGTTAATTTTTATCACGTGATAGAGAATTAGATCTGAATGTAGATGTAATAAACAAACGCTCTAGACTTTATTTGGTCACGTGATAAAATGTCAATAACAAGTTTATACTTATTAAATTTTACTTTTGAGACTACAAATTAACCTAAATTTGAAATATAAACAAAAATTAAACAAACTAATCATTTTTATATTCATTCTAGCATAAACAAAGAATAAATTGACAAACAAGGCTTCACAGAACACTTACTTTCTGGCATGGAACGAACATCTCATTTCAAATCGAGATGTAGAAAATGTAATCTGAACAGGTACATCTGATACATCTGGGATAAACAAACGCAGATGTAGATGTAGTAAATGTGTCCGATGTGGATAAAAAAACGCTCGAGATGTAAAAAATGCATCCGGTGTGGATTCTCAAACGCGGCATTAGTATTAATTAATAAATGATTTTTTTTTATTTAAATTATGAATAATAAAGCGTACCAGTTTAAATATTATTTTTCAACAGTTTAGCAATTTGATTTTTATTCGTCTTATATAATGGAACCAAAACGTGCGCTAAAGCGTGCACAGAGCTTGGATGTAGCAGTAAAAAACTCCCCACAAAATATAACACCTAAAATATTTATTTAATGTTATTACATCATATTTAATCCGAAAAATAATGAAATCCATCACAATTGTTTAACACAGTCTTCATAAAGCAAAACCGACCATTGATTAGCATAAACAAAAATACATTTCTAAAATAAAATTAAAGATAACAATAGAGAAAAATAAGTTAGTGCATTTAAAAGGACAGAATTGAATAAAAATAAGTAAATTTAAAGAAAAAAGTCCTCAATATTCCCGATATAAATTTATTAATAGGTAATTGAAAGTAATAGACGAACGTTATTATAGTTATTTCTAAATAATTAGTTTAAAATATGAATGTTAAGAGAAAAGTAAAAAAGTTTGTAGAAAAGTTTGAATGTACAAAAAATAAAAAGTACACAAGATAAAAACAAAATAAAATGTAAAAGATTAAAATGAAAATAGACAAATAATATAAAGACTTTTCCCTTGAGAAATCTACAAATGTGAAGAAATTTGGCAATATTTTTATTCAAAAAGTTAGGGGAATAATTTTGATTTTTGTTATCTTGAGCTTCTATCCTTTTAATTATTATTGATCTAATAGCATCCGTCTTGTTAGATAAAAGTTACAAAAAAAGTGAAATAAATAAAATTATTACTTTTCTTATGGTATGATTCTCATATTTTCTGGTGTTTAATTATTTCCGATTGATCAAACATTTTCAAGTATTTTCCATATTTTTCAGTTTTTGTTCTACTAACTTTTCCAGTATTTTTGGCAATTTTTTTTAACTATTAAGTAATTTACAATATAAAGCAAAGGATTTATGTATTCATATCGTATTCAAACATCTACTTGAAAACCGCAAAAATGCTCAATAAGGCCTATGAGCTTAGGCGTACTCATCTTTCTACAAACTTTTTTATTGTTCTCTTGACTTTTTCTGTTTCTCTTCTAACTTTTTAAAATATGAGAGTTAGGAGAATAATTTTCTGGTGTTTAATTATTTTCATTTTTTTTGTTTCTGTTCTACTAACTTTTCCAGTATTTTTGGCAATGTTTTTTTAAATTTTATTTAACTATTAATAGATTCTATTGCAAAGGATTTATGTATTCATATCTTACTCAAACATCTACTAGAAAACCGCAAAAATGCTCAATAAGGTCTATGAGCTTAGGCGTACTCATCTTTCTACAAACTTTTTTATTGTTCTCTTGACTTTTTCTGTTTCTCTTTTAACTTTTTAAAATATGAAAGTTAGGAGAATAATTTTCGTGTCATATTTTCTGGTGTTTAATTATTTTCATTTTTTTTCAGTTTCTGTTCTACTAACTTTTCCAGTATTTTTGGCAATGTTTTTTTAAATTTTATTTAACTATTAATAGATTCTATTGCAAAGGATTTATGTATTCATATCTTACTCAAACATCTACTAGAAAACCGCAAAAATGCTCAATAAGGTCTATGAGCTTAGGCGTACTCATCTTTCTACAAACTTTTTTATTGTTCTCTTGACTTTTTTTGTTTCTCTTCTAACTTTTTAAAATATGAAAGTTAGGAGAAAAATTTTCGTGTCATAATTTCTGGTGTTTAATTATTTTCATTTTTTTTCAGTTTCTGTTCTACTAACTTTTCCAGTATTTTTGGCAAAGTTTTTTTAAATTTTATTTAACTATTAATAGATTCTATCGCAAAGGATTTATGTATTCATATCTTACTCAAACATCTACTAGAAAACCGCAAAAATGCTCAATAAGGTCTATGAGCTTAGGCGTACTCATCTTTCTACAAACTTTTTTATTGTTCTCTTGACTTTTCCTGTTTTTCTTCTAACTTATAGATAATTAAGTTATTTTCGTACTTATTTTAGTTCACCTTTTATGACGGTCACCACTTGGACTATAAGTATTTATTTTCACCTTTAGAATTCAAGGGGGTCTTAATAATTCCTAAAGGGATTTTTTTAAATTTGTTTCCGAGTTTTCAAATTATTTCTACAACTTATTTCAGACAATTCTGACCTTTCCAATTTCGATTTATTAAATTCACAATTTTCAAATCTATTTACCTCCCAGTAAAAAACTCCACACAAAATATAACACCTAAAATATTTATTTAATGATATTACATCATATTTAATCCGAAAAATAATGAAATCCATCACAATTGTTTAACACAGTCTTCATAAAGCAAAACCGACTATTGATTAGCATAAACAAAAATACATTTATAAACTAAAATTAAAGATAACAATAGAGAAAAATAAGTTAGTGAATTTAAAAGGACAGAATTAAATAAAAATAAGTAAATTTAAAGAAAAAAATCCTCAATAATCCCGATATAAATTTATTAATAGGTAATTGAAAGTAATAGACGAACGTTATTATAGTTATTTCTAAATAATTAGTTTAAAATATGAATGTTAAGAGAAAAGTAAAAAAGTTTGTAGAAAAGTTAGTAAAGAAAAAAAATACGGCTTGCAGCCGCCTGTTCTTTATTTAAAACAAATCATAAGTACATTTATTTAGCTGTCTCGAAAGATCTAATTGAATGTACAAAAAATAAAAAGTACACAAGATAGAAACAAAATAAAATAAAAAGTAAAAGATTAAAGTGAAAATAGACAAATAATATAAAGACTTTTACCTTGAGAAATCTACAAATGTGAAGAAATTTGGCAATATTTTTATTCAAAAAGTTAGGGTCATATTTTCTGGTGTTTAATTATTTTCATTTTTTTTCAGTTTCTGTTCTACTAACTTTTCCAGTATTTTTGGCAAAGTTTTTTTAAATTTTATTTAACTATTAATAGATTCTATTGCAAAGGATTTATGTATTCATATCTTACTCAAACATCTACTTGAAAACCGCAAAAATGCTCAATAAGGCCTATGAGCTTAGGCGTACTCATCTTTCTACAAACTTTTTTATTGTTCTCTTGACTTTTTTTGTTTCTCTTCTAACTTTTTAAAATATGAAAGTTAGGAGAATAATTTTCGTGTCATATTTTCTGGTGTTTAATTATTTTAATTTTTTTTCAGTTTCTGTTCTACTAACTTTTCCAGTATTTTTGGCAAAGTTTTTTTAAATTTTATTTAACTATTAATAGATTCTATTGCAAAGGATTTATGTATTCATATCTTACTCAAACATCTACTAGAAAACCGCAAAAATGCTCAATAAGGTCTATGAGCTTAGGCGTACTCATCTTTCTACAAACTTTTTTATTGTTCTCTTGACTTTTCCTGTTTTTCTTCTAACTTATAGATAGTTAAGTTATTTTCGTACTTATTTTAGTTCACCTTTTATGACGGTCACCACTTGGACTATAAGTATTTATTTTCACCTTTAGAATTCAAGGGGGTCTTAATAATTCCTAAAGGGATTTTTTTAAATTTGTTTCCGAGTTTTCAAATTATTTCTACAACTTATTTCAGACAATTCTGACCTTTCCAATTTCGATTTATTAAATTCACAATTTTCAAATCTATTTACCTCCCAGTAAAAAACTCGCCATAGGATATAACACCTAAAATATTTATTTAATGATATTACATCATATTTAATCCGAAAAATAATGAAATCCATCACAATTGTTTAACACAGTCTTCATAAAGCAAAACCGACCATTGATTAGCATAAACAAAAACATATTTCTAAACTAAAATTAAAGGTAACAATAAAGAAAAATAAGTTAGCATATTTAGAAGGACAGAATTGAATAAAAATAAGTAAATTTAAAGATAAATCCTCAATAATCCCCGTAAAAATTAACATCGTGTATCCAACTAAGAGCGGCTTTAATATTGGATAATTTGGCTCTCGCCAAGAAACTGGATATAAGCAAATATTCCGGGTAAGTTCTTCGACCACCTTTGGGTGATTGAGATTTATCAAAATCTGACGGTCCAGACTGAGAAAAACCCTCGTTATTTATTCTCCCCTCGCAGAGTATTTTGGTTGTAAGACTCAACAACCACTGAAGAATCTAAAAACAAAAAAAAAAAAATTAATCCAAGTGTATAAGTATTAGACTGGGCCAAAAAAATGAAAAAAAATATCGAGAATGTCATTCAAGATGACAAAAAAAAAAATTTCGCGAAAATTTGAGACCTTAATATTAACTTTAAGAGGTCTATCATCGCTATTTTTCATTTTTTAGTCATAACAATAAAGTGAAAAAAATTCCTTTTCATTTATTTTTATATAAAATTAAATTCTCTACAAAAAAGGTCTGATTGAAAATATTCTTCAAACGAGCCGTTTCCGAGTTATTGAGTTTAATAGATCGATATGTTTTTTCGATTTGTACTTTTTACTTTGAAATTTTGTAACTAATGAATCAATGAATATTTAAAAAAGCTCACGTAGGATTCTTAAAGGAAATTTAATGTTCTACAAAAAAGGTCTCTTAAAATTTTTGTTTAAATTTAATTTTTCAAAAGTTATTCACGATTAAAATCGAAAAAAAAATTGAAATTTTTTGTAAAGAATTTAATTTTATATAAAAATTTTTTTCACTTTAATGTTTTGACAATTTTAACGTAAAACATCAAAATTATGACTAAAAAATCAAAAATAGCGATGATAGACCTCTTAAAATTAATATTAAGGGATCAAATTTTCACGAATTTTTTTTGTCAACCTAAATGATTCTCAACATATTAAAAAAAAAAAAAAATAGTAAATTTTTTTTGGCCCAATCTAATAAGTATAGAGTAAAAAACAGTATGGATACGCCAAATTTCCTCTAAAATAATTAACAAATCAGTGAAAAACCTGTTAAAAGGTTCAGGTGTTCATTTTGAAAATCTACTTTAGTTTTAATTAATTGTTTCTGTTAGTCTGTTCTATTACTTTATTAAATATAATGAGCCCGGTCCTGCATATACTTGTAATTACCTCTGCGCTTGTTGGTAGTTTCGCATTCTCAAGTTTCAACCAAGAACTGGGTGCCCACAAGAATATTTGACCAACGTTAGCGGCCACGTCTGGATGTAAACGCTAAAAAAACAAAAACTATTGATAAAATTTATAAATTAGACATTCTAAACAAAATGGATACCAGTAAGTTTTGACAGGTTGTTATATGACAACATTATGGCAACCCTATAAGCCTAGTGATTTGACAGGGTCAATGAAATTGATAGTTATATAGATTGATCATTCTTTTTTTTTTCAAAATATCACTTGAAGTAAAAATGTACGTAATTATTTTTTTACTATATTACTTGGGGGGAGAAATGTATCTAAATCATTGTCCTTAATATTAGGAAGTAATTGAAACTAAAGAACAATTACTTGGGGAGAAAAATGTAACTAGACTCATTGTCCTTGAAGTTAAGAAAGCAATAGAAACTTAAAAACAATTACTTGGGGGGGGGGGGGGAATGTATCTAGACTCATTGTCCTTGATGTTAAGAAGTAATTGAAACCGAAAAACAATCACTAGGAGGGAGAAATGTATCTAGATTTATTGTCCTTGATATTAGGAAATAATTGAAACTGATAAACAATTTCTTGAGGAAGAATAATATCTTGACTCTTTGTCCTTAATGTTAAGAAGTAATTGAAACTGATGTACAATTACTCGGAGGGGAAAATGTAACTAGATTCATTGTCCTTGATGTTAGGAAATAATTGACCCTGAAAAACTACTTGGAGGAAGAAATATATGTAGATTCATTGTCCTTAAAACTAAAAAACAATTACTTGGGGAAGTAATGTATTTAGATTCTTTGTCCTTGATGTTAGGAAGTAATTGAAACTGAAGAACAATTACTAGAGGAGAGAAATGTATCTAAACTCATTATCCTTGATGTTAGAAAGTAATAGAAACTGAAGAAGGGAGAAATATATTTAAACTCATTGTCCTTGAAGTTAGGAAGTAACTGAAACTGAAGAAGAATTACTTGGGAAAGAAATGAAATGAAAAAGCTTATTGTTAAATATGTTTCAACTTAGTGTGACTTTATTATTTTATGAAATATGTAAAAAATTATTATGTGAAAGAAACTGTGTTACAGTTTTCTAACTTTTTATTTTTCTTTCAATTCTTACATGACATTGACATTTTGTAGCTATAATTATAATATTTTAAGCCAAGAAGACACTAACTATAATAATAATACTAATCCCGAACAAAATTGAAGATCAATTACTTGAAGGGGGGGATAAATGTATCTAGACTCATTGTCCTTGATGTTAGGAAGTAATTGAAACTAAAGAACAATTACTTGGGGGGAGAAATGTATTGAGACTCATTTGTCTTGATGGTAGGATGTAATTGAAAGTGAAAAATTATTACAAGGGGGGAGAAATGTATATAGACTTATTGTCCTTGATGTTAGGAAGTAACTGAAACTGAAAAACAATTACTTGGAGAGAGAAATGTGACTAGATTTATTGTCATTGAACTTAGGAAGTAATTGAAACTGAAACACAATTACTAGGGGGTTAGAAATGCATCTAGACTCTTTGTCCTTGATGTTAGAAAGTAATTGAAACTGAAGAACAATTACTTGGGGGAGAAATGTATTAAGACTCATTGTCTTTGATGTTAAAAGTAACTGAAGCTAAACAACAATTACTTATTGAAAGAAATGTATCTAGATTCATTGTTCTTGATGTTAGGAAGTAATTGAAACAAAAGAACAATTATAAGGAGGGAGAATTGTATCTAAACTCATTGTCCTTGATGTTAGGAAGTAATTGAAACTGAAGAACAATTACTTGAGGAAAGAAATATATCTAGATTTATTGTCCTTGATATTAATAAGTAATTGAAACAGAAAAACAATTACTAGGAGAAATGTATTCAGACTCATTGTCCTTAATATTAGGAAGTAATTAAAACTAAAAAACAATTATTAGGGGGGAGAAATGTATCTAGGCTCATTGTCCTTGATGTTAGGAAGCAATTGAAACTGAAACACAATTACTAGAAAAGAGAAATGATGTAGACTCAGTGTCCATGATGTTAGGAAGTAATTGAAACTGAAGAACAATTATAAGGAGGAAAAATGTATCTATACTCATTATCCTTAATGTTAGGAAATAATTGAAACTGAAGAACAATTACTTGGGGAAAGAAATGTATATAGATTAATTGTCCTTGATGTTAGAAAGTAATTGAAAATGAAGAATAGTTACTTGGGGGAGAAATGTATTGAGACTCATTGTCTTTGAACTTAGGAAGTAATTGAAACTGAAAAACAATTACTAGGGGGTTAGAAATGTATCTAGACTCATTGTCCTTGATGTTAGGAAGTAATTGACCCTGAAGAACAATTACTTGGGGAGAAATGTATTTAGACTCTTTGTCCTTGATGTTAGGAAGTAATTGAAAGTGAAAAACAGTTACTTGGGGGAGAAATGTATTAAGACTCATTGTCTTTAATGTTAGGAAGCAATTGAAACTAAAAAACAATTACTAGAGGGTAGAAATGCATCTAAATACATTATCCTTGATGTTAGGAAGCAATTAAAACTGAAGAACAATTACTTGGGGAGAGAAATGTATTGAGACTCATTGTCCTTGATGTTAGGAAGTAATTAAAACTGAAGAAGAATTACTTGGGGAAAGAAATGTATCTAGACTTATTGTTCTTCATGTTAGGAAGTAATTGAAACTGAATAACAATTACTTTGAGGAAAAAATATTAAGGATTAGGATTAAGTTCTTTAATGTATGTTTCTATGGTTTTAAAATGTTTATAAAATTAAAAAATAAAGAAAGGTTTCTAGACAGACAAACTGTGCATATAATTTCAAGTAGAAATCATTATCAATATCGAAATAAAGAAATAATAGAAACTGTACTGCGAAAATTACATTTTTGTCTATTGTACTTGGACAATGCTCTATCATCAATAAGGGGTGGCTTACTAGGCTTAGGTTTATTTTTTGTATTGTTCATCTATTCTGTGGTTAAAAGTAAAAAAAATAAACAATTTTATTTGGTATTTGTTCACTTTTCTAGTATAGTGTGTAAAATTGACAATATAAATAAAATAAACACTGTTTTTTTTGTAATTATAATATAGATAATTCACCCCAGGGCAGAAAAAAATCGAAACAATACTTGAGGTTTCCACGGTCGCGCTAGAGAAAAAACCCGCATTTCATTGGTTAAAAACACAGATGAAAAATTTTCTATATAATTTGGTAATGATAAAAGATAAAGAGCTAAGATTTTGTATTTTTTTTGCAAAACCAATATAAATAATGCAAATTTGAAAAACAATAATAATAATAATAAAAAAAGAACGAAAATAAATCAAACTCAAATGTGATCAAGACGTAAAATAAAACAAATAAAACTCAAAGCCAATATCACATAATTACGAGAAACCGTTTCCCTTCAGAAAACAACAAGTATTGAAATTAATTTTTTTTATATTTTTTTTTGTTCCCCATTTTCTTGCGACGACAACATAGATGAAAGTTTGTTGTTTGTCAGAAAAGTTTTTAAATTGAAATTTTTATGTATTTTATACTTTATACAACAACAACAACAACAACAAAAAAAAAATGTAAAGAACTAATTAAAATCATCTTAAAATGAACTCTTAAATCGATGTAATAACAAAATCATATTTTCAGTGGAACGTGTCTTAAAAAAGCCCTTTTGGCCGGTGCCGAATATTCTGACGCTTAAAAACAAAAATGATCGGATGCCGCACATGTGCGTCGTTAGCACATAGTAGAGATCTTCTTATGACGCACATGTGCGTCGTTAGCACAAAGTGGAGGGCTTCATATAACGCACATGTGCGTTGTCAGCACATAGTAGGGAGCTTCTTATGACGCACATGTGCGTCGTTAGCACAAAGTGGAGGGCTTCCTATGACGCACATGTGCGTTGTTAGCACATAATGGGGGCTTCATATGACGCGCATGTGCGTCATCAGCAGGGAAAGGGTTAATCAATCATCCATTTCACCATTTAAAATTAAATATATAAAAACTAAAAACAAAACAATTCGTTCGATCTAAAACACTAACCTTGCTAGGTTTGCGTTGCAATAGGTTTTTGATTAACATTTTCATAATCAAAGGCACGTCATTCGGCAAACTTGGTAAGTTATCTTCAATATAATCGACATTTTTTAACGATTCTCGACCATCCGATTTGTAAAATGGATTTTTGCAACCAAAAACCTCATAACCTATCGCTCCAGCCGCCCACAAATCCGATTTTGTGTAATTAAGGACGCTGAAAGTACCTGGTACCTAAAAATATATTCAGGATAATCATCTACATTTTTAATCTAAAAAAAAAAAAGTATAGTGTCCAAATTTGACATTCCGATTTAAAATGACCGCCATTTTTGGTAATCTTTCAATGTACTGTGACTGTGTAATACAAAAGTGAACCCATAATCGGCGAGATCACCACCTTCTAACCTAAAACCGTAGGCCGAATAGCCCTGGCAGCTGAGGCCTACAAAAAATGAAAAGAAGAAGAATCTTCAATGACAGTATTTGGTCAACATGGAACAACTTTCTGTCAACAACCCCGTTTTTATTGTGAAAAGTTATTACCAAAATGGAGAATGTTTTGCTGAAACTGCAAAAAGATGCCTTACGCATTTCGGAAGAAATTTAGCACCATTTGTTAAAGTTATTGACAGTTTTATGAAGACATTTCAACATAAGAATATGGGGTGAAGAAAATCCAAGAGAAATATAGAAAAAACAACTGTACTCAGAAAATGTGACTGTGTGATGTGGTTTTTGGTCTAGTCCTTATTTTTTCCAGAATAAAGCGGTGATTCGATAACTGTGAATGAAGCGCTATACAGCACAATTACGAGATTATTTGTGGAACGAATTAGAAGATATGGATGTCCAGAACATGTGGTTCTAGCAAGACGACGCCACTCGCCACACATCAAATAAAACACTAAATCTTTTAAAGGAGAGATTTGACATTCGAATAATTTCTCGAAGAACTTTACACCATTAGATTATTTATTGTGGGGATTTTTGAAGGGAAAAGTTAATGCTAATAACCCTCAAACACCTGAACAGCTTCGAGTTAACATTATTAAAAAAAAAAAAATGAAGACAGTGTTCGCGAAAATGTTCTTAAAAAACAATTACTTGAGGGAGAAATGTATCTAGATTCATTTTTATTGATGTTAGGAAGCAATTGAAACTGAAGAACAATTACTTGGGAGAGAAATGTATTGAGATTCATTGTCCTTGATGTTAGGAAGTAATTGAAACTGAAAAACAATTACTAGGGGGAGAAATGTATCTAAGCTTATTGTTCTTGATATTAAGAAGTAATTGAAACTGAAAAACAATTACTTAAGGAGGATAAATGTATTTACTCATTGTCTTTGATGTTCGGAAGTAATTGAAACTGAAAAACAATTACTAGGGGGGAGAAATGTATCTACTCATTGTCCTTGATATTAAGAAGTATTTGAAACTGAAGAACAATTACTTGGGGAGGAGAAATGTATTGAGACTCATTGTCCTTGATGTTAGGAAGTAATTGAAACTGAAAAACAATTACTTGGGAGAGAAATGTATTGAGACTCATTGATGTTATGAAGTAATTGAAACTGAAAAACAATTACTAGGGGGGAGAAATGTATCTTGACTCATTGTCCTTGATGTTAGGAAGTAATTGAAACTGAAAAACAATTACTTGGGGAGAAATGTACTGAGACTCATTGTCCTTGATGTTAGGAAGTTATTGAAACTGAGAAACAATTACTAGGGGGGAGAAATGTATCTAGACTCATTGTCATTGATGTTAGGAAGTTATTGAAACTGAAAAACAATTACTAGGGGGGAGAAATGTATCTAGACTCATTGTCCTTGATATTAAGAAGTATTTGAAACTGAAGAACAATTACTTGGGGAGGAGAAATGTATTGAGACTCATTGTCCTTGATGTTAGGAAGTAATTGAAACTGAAAAACAATTACTAGGGGGGGAGAAATGTATCTAGACTCATTGTCCATGATATAAAGAAGTAATTGAAACTGAAAAACAATTACTTGGGGAGGAGAAATGTATTGAGACTCATTGTCCTTGATGTTAGGAAGTAATTGAAACTTAAGAACAATTACTTTGGAGAGAAATGTATTGAGATTCATTGTCCTTGATGTTAGGAAATAATTGAAACTGGAAAAACAATACCTTGGGGGAGAAATGTATTGAGACGCATTGATGTTATGAAGTAATTGAAACTGAAAAACAATTACTAGGGGGGAGAAATGTATCTAGACTCATTGTCATTGATGTTAGGAAGTAATTGAAACTGAAAAACAATTACTTGGGGGAGAAATGTACTGAGACTCATTGTCCTTGATGTTAGGAAGTAATTGAAACTGAAAAACAATTACTAGGGGGGAGAAATGTATCTAGACTCATTGTCATTGATGTTAGGAAGTTATTGAAACTGAAAAACAATTACTAGGAAGGAGAAATGTATCTAGACTCATTGTCCTTGATGTTAGGAAGTAATTGAAACTGAAAAACAATTACTAGGGGGAGAAATGTATCTAAGCTCATTGTTCTTGATATTAAGAAGTAATTGAAACTGAAAAACAATTACTTAAGGAGGATAAATGTATTTACTCATTGTCTTTGATGTTCGGAAGTAATTGAAACTGAAAAACAATTACTAGGGGGGAGAAATGTATCTACTCATTGTCCTTGATATTAAGAAGTATTTGAAACTGAAGAACAATTACTTGGGGAGGAGAAATGTATTGAGACTCATTGTCCTTGATGTTAGGAAGTAATTGAAACTGAAAAACAATTATTTGGGAGAGAAATGTATTAAGACTCATTGATGTTATGAAGTAATTGAAACTGAAAAACAATTACTAGGGGGGAGAAATGTATCTAGACTCATTGTCATTGATGTTAGGAAGTAATTGAAACTGAAAAACAATTACTTGGGGGAGAAATGTACTGAGACTCATTGTCCTTGATGTTAGGAAGTAATTGAAACTGAAAAACAATTACTAGGGGGGAGAAATGTATCTAGACTCATTGTCATTGATGTTAGGAAGTTATTGAAACTGAAAAACAATTACTAGGAAGGAGAAATGTATCTAGACTCATTGTCCTTGATGTTAGGAAGTAATTGAAACTGAAAAACAATTACTTGGGGAAGAAATGTACTGAGACGCATTGTCCTTGATGTTAGGAAGTAATTGAAACTGAAAAACAATTACTAGGGGGGAGAAATATATCTAGACTCATTGTCATTGATGTTAGGAAGTTATTGAAACTGAAAAACAATTACTTGGGGAAGAAATGTATTGAGACTTATTGTCCTTGATGTTAGAAATTAATTAATGTCATTTACCCAGGGCCGTCGAGAGCCAGGCCGGGCCTCAGGACAATTCTCTAGATCGGGCCCCGTGACAAAGTAAAACACAAACTTTTCATCTTCTACTTAAATTTGAAAAAAGGTCATCAACAAACTTTTTTTGTGTTTTTCTTGAATAACGTCAACTCAAAAAAAAAACATTTTTTCTTCCTCTACTTGCATTAATTAATCACTTAACTTCCCTCTCTCGTCTTGTGTCGAATTTCTCATGCAGAACAAAAAAATATACCGCTGCCGGGCCCCCCCCCATTTGACTCCGGGCCCCGGGAATTAGTTCCGGCTAGTCGGCCCTGCATTTACCGTATTAGTAAGATCTCAAACTGTAAACCAAAGGTAGTGCACCAAAATCGGTTGGCACCATTTGAGGGTGACCACGAAGAGAAAGAAGTAAACCAGCTACAAGAGACACCTGACCTTGTCATTGTCATATGGAGGTACCGAAAAAAAAAGCAACACATGGTGTTACAAGAAGAACTGCTCACGATTCCTAAAAATTACTAGCTGGCCCATAGCACTTCCGCGCTCGAGGTCTGGCATCTGTATTCTGGAAGAAGTTTGGTCGATCGCCAGAACTTCAAGATCAGTTACCAGCCCTTGGAAAAGCATTGAAACTTCAAGATGGATCTTTTCAAATTGATAACAAAGAACACCTTCCGAGATCGATCCACCTATCATGATGTATGAAAAGCATTACTCAATATGAGGGAGCATGTACTGGATGGAGTCCAATGTACAGAAACCTAGCTATGCCAAAGATAGAGAGCAACCAGCATTAAAAACATGGTGGAAGTAATCTTCCAAGATACCCAGGTTGAAATACAATGTCGAGGTTACAGCGAAGACAGTCCCTTGTTACTTCCATGCAACTGGAAATTGTAAACGAGGGTTTAGTTGCAGATACAACCATTTCTGTTTTAGTTTCGTAAGAGTTCCAGGAGGAACTACCTTTTAAGGAGGGGGAAATGCAATGCTCTTTGTCTTATTTAGCCTTTTAGGATCAACTTGTCCGATTATCATGGCGCTTTCGAGTACATTTCAGATATAACGTGATAATGTTTCTAGTTTTGGCGGGGAGCATTCTGGAATCCACCAAAATTTTAAATGTGTATATAAATATTGGTCAGTCGTATATAAATAGTTGTGAAGATAAATAGTGAACAGAAATCCAAAATATATAAAGTAGAATAGTATTATTTTAAAATAAATAAGTGTTCAAATAAATTATAAACAAAAAACGTAAAATTTGTTGTTTCCTAAAGAAAAAATTTAATTTTCTAGCTATTTAAATATATCGATTTAATAAATAAATGAACGTACCTGACAGATAATTTCAGGCGCCATTAAAGCTGCGTTACCTCCTTTATCAACATCATAACTGCTGTATGGCAAGAATAAGCCGTTTGCTTTATCAGCCAAACAACATCCGAAATCACTTATCACCAAAACTGGTGCTTCAGGTTCAGTGGTATCTAACAGTAAATTATCAGATTTCAAGTCTCTGTGTGCAATACCGTGGGCATTTATATGGGCAATGCCCTCCAAAAGTTGCGTAAATAGTAACACAGACAATCTTGTTGAAAGACTAGTTGAGGATAAATATGTTTCCAAATTTGTATTATATCTGCAATAAGATTAAACAAAAATAATATGTATTGCAATCTCCGAAACTGTTAGCCGTTTAGTTTGAGATAAAAATCCAATATGGCGCTCATATGAAAAAACAAAGTTGATGATGGTTTCAAGAAACCGAAACGTTGCAAATAAAATCTGACTACACAGACGTTTTCTACGTAAAAAGTTGCTGCAAGAAAGTTTTTACAGATTTTAGAAATTTTCATAAATAAAGAAAATACAGGGTATTTTCGGAAATGCGTCATTTTAGTTTTTTTTCAAAATATCTCAAAAACCAAAAGAGAAAAAATCTCAAACTAAACGGCATTGAGTTATAAACAGAATTCTCTAAAACTTTCCTCATTTAACTGTTTTTCTATCTCTTAATAGTTTCGGACACACTGTATGTAAACAGACAAAATGTGTTTTTTAAGAATCTTTAAACTTTTATGAAAATAAAATGTTTAAAAATGAATAAAACTGCTGGTAATTGAATCAGCAGCCCTTACCAGGCGCATTCAAAGTGCCAAATAAATTTTTATATTCACATTTATTCACATTTATTAATTTTTATTCATTTTTAATCATTTTTATTCATTTTTATTAATTTTTATTCATTTTATTAATTTTATTCATTTTATTCATTTTTATTTATTTTTATTCATTTTTATTCATTTTTATTCATTTTTATTCATTTTTATTCATTTTTATTCATTTTTATTCATTATTATTCATTATTATTCATTTTTATTCATTTTTATTCACATTTATTCATTTTTATTCACTTTTATTCATTTTTATCAATTTTTATTAATTTTTATTAATTTTTATTAATTTTTATTAATTTTAAATAATTTTTAATAATTTTTATTAATTTTTATTAATTTTTATTATAATTTTTATTAATTTTTATTAATTTTTATAAATTTTTATTAATTTTTATTAATTTTTTATTAATTTTTATTAATTTTTATTATAAATTTTTATTAGTTTTTATTAATTTTCATTAATTTTTACTTTTTATTAACATTTATTAATTTTTATTAAGTTTTATTAATTTAATTTTTATGAATTTTTATGAATTTTTATTAATTTTTATTAATTTTTATTAATTTTCATTAATTTTTATTAATTTTTATTATAATTTTTTATTATTAATTTTTATTAATTTTTATTATTAATTTTTATTAATTTTTATTAATTTTTATTAATTTTTATTAATTTTTATTAATTTTTATTAATTTTTATTAATTTTTATTAATTTTTATTAATTTTTATTAATTTTTATTAATTTTAATTAATTTTTATTAATTTTAATTAATTTTGGTTAATTTTTATGAATTTAATTTTTAATTTAATTTTTATGAATTTTTATTAATTTTCATTAATTTTCATTAATTTTTATTAATTTTTATTAATTTTTATTAATTTTTATTAATTTTTATTAATTTTTATTAATTTTTATTAATTTTTATTAACTTTTATTAATTTTTATTAATTTTTTATTAATTTTTATTAATTTTTATTAATTTTTATTAATTTTTATTATAAATTTTTATTAGTTTTTATTAATTTTCATTAATTTTTACTTTTTATTAACTTTTATTAATTTTTATTAAGTTTTATTTATTTAATTTTTATTAATTTTGATTAATTTTTATTAATTTAATTTTTATTAATTTTTATGAATTTTTATGAATTTTTATTAATTTTCATTAATTTTTATTAATTTTTATTATGATTTTTTATTATTAATTTTTATTAGTTTTAATTAATTTTTATTAATTTTAATTAATTTTTATTAATTTTTATTAATTTTTATTAATTTTTATTAATTTTTATTAATTTTTATTAATTTTGATTAATTTTGGTTAATTTTTATGAATTTTTATTAATTTTTATTAATTTTCATTAATTTTTATTAATTTTTATTAATTTTTATTAATTTTTATTAATTTTTATTATAAATTTTTATTAATTTTTAATAATTTTTAATAATTATGTTTTTTAATTTTAGTTTATTTTCATGATACTACCATACAGAGCACGTCATTATTTATTTATGCTACAGATATAATTTTCAAGTTCCAACGTTCAAAAAATTTATACTTCTATACAAATTTTCACCCCCGTTTCCCCCCCTAAAATGTGAAAATCCAAAAACCATGAAACACATCATTTTTGATTTTTAATCACTAGCTGTAATTCAAATTTTTATGTTTCAAACTTTAAATAACAAAAAAATATATACATACTATTAAAACAAATTTTCACCCCCCATTTCTCCCCCCTTAAAATGTTAAAATGCAAAAACCCTGAAACACATCATTATTAATTTGTACTCATTAGCTGCAATTCAAATTTTCATATTCCTAACTTCAAAGAACAAAGACTTTCATAAAAAGTTGCCTACCCCCCATTTTCACCCATTTACTACCCCCCTTAAAATTCCTTTCTTAACGAATGCTTAAAATAAACCTATGTTCCAAATTTCAGCTTTCTAGACTCTGTAGTTTTGGATGTACGTTGATAGGTCAGTCAGTCAGTCAGTCAGGACAAACAATTTTTTATATATATAGATGTCGCACAAACTATTATTATTTATCAAAAAAACTAATTACAAACCTTTTCATAAGCAAAAATAGCGACATATTTCTTCCTTCTCCATCAGGATTAATTCTTCTTGGTAGTGCTGCTGGATAAAGCCCACGAGCATCTCGTAATTCAGGTACATAATCCGTGAATACAGAAAAAATAGTAACAACGTTCGGATGAGGTGGTAAATGTCGATTTCTTTTCGACAAACTGTAATAAAATAATAATATTCAATTTAAAAAAATACTTACTAAAATATTGTTCTTACTTACTCAATTTCCCAATCAGAAATTCCCACATTGGTGTAGTATAATCTTGCAGGTACTGTCTCTCTATACATCGCATTTAATATCGCCATGGCATTGGACTGAATATCGTAGTTAAACATCATTTTTAAAGCAAACGGAAATTTATTTGCGTCATCATTTTCAACAATTATTTCACTTGGTGTTACCGATTTTACAAAAGTTTCATCGCTAATTTTTTTATCGCAATTTTTAAGCTGCGCTGCATAGACCACAGCATTAGCTCCTTTTGCTAAAGGTTCACCAAAAGAAATATTGTTTAAATTGATTGGAGAATTTTCGAATTGTGTTTCGTCTATATCAACGTCATGATAGTGCCATTTGATCTTGGAAATTGCTTCCTAGGAAGAAAAAAACAAGGATATAAATTTGATCCTAGAGATAAATTCCATTGAACTGAAGTATTGTGTTATATGGTTGATAATTTTTTAATAAGTGATATGAATGTTGTAAAAATAAAGCATTAAGTAAGTTGATTGTACAAAGTCATAAACCAATTTGCTTGGATATGAAAAATGTGTCAATAACTGAAGTCATAATAGTCAAATTACCCGTATTTCCCAACATACTCCTTCAAGTTCTTCTTCCTTAGTTAAAATACCCGTTCCTGAAGCCAAACTTACACCAACCAAGGCGAAAAATGGTCCTGAATCGCCATACAATATCCTAAAAATAACTTTATTATAAAATGTATACCATTTTATCGAGGAAAAATACTATTAAAGTAGCAGAATTTATACAATTCAATAAATTTTATGTTTAGGGGAGACCATCCAACAGTGGTCATATTTCAACAATGGCCACTTATAAAATTTACCCCCTGTATTTCCCGCAGAGTGCTGCCACCATACCTAAATTATGCATTCTATAATAGGCCATGTTTACATGTGATATATGCTGTTTTATAAATTATATTGTAATAATTAGTCGCTATACAAAATATTCTAAATAATCAGTTCGTTTTTTTTTTATTTTTTTAATTTGAAGTTCGTTAAAAAAGCCAAAAATTTTTATGTCACTAAACCAAAACTTATAGCAAAATAACACACATCAGCGAAAACCGCACGATTCTAAGATTAGGCGCTTAAAAGATAAAAGCTCTGGTAAACGGGCGGGTTACTTTTCATTGTATATTGTTAGGCAATCTACCAATTCTATAGCAAAATTTTTCTCGTTTATGGGGAATTAAATATTTAGCTGTCTAATTAGGATCTCAAGTACCGTAAGTTGGGGATATATGGAACAGCCGGGGGTTATATGGAATTCAAACAAGCCTAGTATCGACCTGAAAACTTATAATAATCTCTCTCGTGGTACCTTCAAGCTTGAAAAAAATCATCATCGACATAGGGCCACGGGAACCAACCCTTTATTTGAATAAACACACCCTCTAAAACCTTAAAAAATTAAAAAAAAATCCAAACAAGCCTAATATCGACCTGAAAAATTACAATAATCTCTCTCATGGTACCTTCAAGCTTGAAAAAAATCATCATCGACATAGGGCCACGGGAACCACCCCTTTACTTGAATAAACACACCCTCTAAAACCTTAAAAAATTCAAAAAAATCCAAACAAGCCTAGTATCGACCTGAAAATTTATAATAATCTCTCTCGTGGTACCTTCAAGCTTCAAAAAAAATCATCATCGACATAGGGCCACGGGAACCACCCCTTTATTGAAATAAACACATCCCTTAAAATCTAAAAAAATTCAAAAAAATCCAAACAAGCCTAGTATCGACCTGAAAATTTATAATAATCTCTCTCGTCGTACTTTCAAGTTTGAAAAAAATCATCATCGACATACGGCCACGGGAACCACCCCTTTACTTGAATAAACACACCCTTTAAAACCTTAAAAAATTCAAACAAGCCCAGTATCGACCTGAAAATTCGTGACAATCCCTCTCGTGATACCTTGAAGCTAGAAAAAAAATCATCATCGACATAGGGCCACGGGAGCCACCCCTTTATTTAAATAAACACACCCCTTAGAATCTAAAAAATTCAAAAAAATTTAAACAAGCCTAGTATCGACCCGAAAATTTATAATAATTATATTCATTAAATTTTTTTGAATTTTTTTAGATTCTAAGGGGTGTGTTTATTTAAATAAAGGGGTGGTTCCCGTGGCCCTATGTCGATGATGATTTTTTTCTAGCTTCAAGGTACCACGAGAGGGATTGCCACGAATTTTCAGGTCGATACTAGGCTTGTTTGGATTTTTTTGAATTTTTCAAGGTTTTAAAGGGTGTTTATTTAAATAAAGGGGTGGTTCCCGTGGCCCTATGTCGATGATGATTTTTTTCAAGCTTGAAAGTACGACAAAATAGATTATAATAAATTTTCAGGTCGATACTAGGCTTGTTTGGATTTTTTTGAATTTTTTTAGATTCTAAGGGATGTGTTTATTTCAATAAAGGGGCGGTTCCCGTGGCCCTATGTTGATGATGATTTTTTTCTAGCTTGAAGGTGTCAAGAGATAAATTATTATAAATTTTCAGGTCGATACTAGGCTTGTTTGAATTTATTTGAATTTTTTAAGGTTTTAGAGGGTGTGTTTATTCAAGTAAAGGGGTGGTTCAAGTGGCCCTATGTCGATGATGATTTTTTTAAAGCTTGAAGGTACCACGAGAGAGATTATTATGAATTTTCAGGTCGATAGTAGGCTTGTTTAAATTTTTTTGAATTTTTTTAGATTCTAAGGGGTGTGCTTATTTAAATAAAGGGGTCGTTCCCGTGGCCCTATGTCATTGATGATTTTTTTTCAAGCTTGAAGGTATCACGAGAGAGATTATACATTTTCAGGTCGATACTAGGCTTGTTTGGATTTTTCTGATTTGTTTTAGATTTTAAGGGATGTGTTTATTTCAATAAAGGGGTGGTTCCCGTGGCCTTATGTCGATGATGATTTTTTTCAAGCTTGAAGGTATCACGAGAGAGATTATTATAAATTTTCAGGTCGATACTAGGCTTGTTTGAATTTATTTGAATTTTTTAAGGTTTTAGAGGGTGTGTTTATTCAAGTAAAGGGGTGGTTCACGTGGCCCTATGTCGATGATGATTTTTTTAAAGCTTGAAGGTACCACGGGAGATATTATAAGTTTCAGGTCAATACTAGGCTTGTTTAAATTTTTTTGAATTTTTTTAGATTCTAAGGGATGTGTTTATTTCAATAAAGGGGTGGTTCCCGTGGCCTTATGTCGATGATGATTTTTTTCAAGCTTGAAGGTATCACGAGAGAGATTATTATAAATTTTCAGGTCGATACTAGGCTTGTTTGGATTTTTTTGAATTTTTTAAATTTTAAGGGATGTGTTTATTTCAACAAAGGGGTGGTTCCCGTGGCCCTATGTCGATGATGATTTTTTTCAAGCTTGAATGTACCACGAGAGAGATTATTATAAATTTTCAAGTCGATACTAGGCTTGTTTAATTTTTTTTAGATTCTAAGGGGTGTGTTTATTTAAGTAAAGGGGTGGTTCACGTGGCCCTATATTAATGATGATTTTTTTCAAGCTTGAAGGTACCACGAGAGAGATTATTATAAATTTTCAGGTCGATACTAGGCTTGTTTGAATTTATTTGAATTTTTTAAGGTTTTAGAGGGTGTGTTTATTCAAGTAAAGGGATGGTTCACGTGGCCCAATGTCGATGATGATTTTTGTTTAGCTTGAAGGTGTCACGAGAAAGATTGCCACGAATTTTCAGGTCGATACTAGACTTGTTTGAATTTTTTTAGATTCTGAGGGGTGTGTTTATTTCAATAAAGGGGTGGTTCCCGTGGTCCTATGTCGATGATGATTTTTTTCTAGCTTCAAGGAACCACGAGAGGCATTGCTACGAATTTTCAGGTCGATACTAGGCTTGTTTGAATTTTTTTGAATTTTTTAAGGTTTTAAAGGGTGTGTTTATTTAATCAAAGGGGTGGTCCCGTGGCCCTATGTCGATGATGATTTTTTTCAAGCTTGAAAGTACCACGAGAGAGATTATTATAAATTTTCAGGTCGATACTAGGCTTGTTTGAATTTTTATGAATTTTTTAAAGTTTTAAAGGGTGTTTATTTAAATAAAGGGGTAGTTCCCGTGGCCCTACGTCGATAATAATTTTTTTCTAGCCTTTGGTTAGCACGAGGAAGATTCTCTCGAATTTCTAGGACAATATTACCCCTGATTATGTTTCTTTGTAGCTTCTACATCTTTACAGGGTGAGTTTATCTAAGTGTAGGGGTTAATTTCGGGTTTGTCAGCAAAATATAATTTTTTCTACCTTTTGGTAACCGCAGGTAAGCTATGTGATGATTTCTAGCGAGATGCTAGCCAATCCTTGAAATTTTTTTTATATTTTCATTAAAAAAAAAAAAACATTTAGAACTTCAGGTACATCAAAAATTCAAAAAATACCAATAGACAAGCGGATTTTCTAGAAGCACATAATTTAAAGAAAACCCAGCTACTGGGGACAAAAGAAACAAAGGCAAAAATTTACAAAAAAGTAAAGTGGGTGAAACAACAATTTTTTCACCAGAATGTTCAGTCTTTGAAGATTTTGCAAATAAACATGAATGTGGCATCTTAGCAATTACAGTACACTGGAAATATATGGAATAATTACAAGAAATTTTATCAGGAAGAAAATAAACATAGAGGAGCAGAAATTTGTCAAAAGAGACTAAAATTTAAAGAAATAATAAGAATAACAGTGAATGCTTTATAGAAAAAGACCATGTACTTGCAATTGCAGTTAAATGGCCTAGACATGGTGACTTTTATGAGGTTTTAAATAATCTTGAACAGTTTTTAACATATTTTTTAGCATACCATGAACAGACAGTCAGCATTACAAATAAGGGGAAACATTTTCAATCCAAAAACCCTGTATTACTTATTTAAAATGAGTAGCAACCATTTCAATTTTTCAAGTTCCTACATGGGTATAAAAAATTCGATCTCCCATACAAACTTCTCTCCCTGTTTCCCATCCTAAAAATGTGATTTTTAGTAGGTATCTACATCAAGAAAGGAGTAACTATGCCAAAGTTAATGTCAATCAGGATTACACCTAGTTCTGGAGTCCCTGAGTAGTATTTCACTTCTATATAGAAGAAGTAGATATATATAATATATTATATAAAAAAGATGTTTCAAGTAAGATGTGTGGAAAATGTATAAACATTTATAAAGGTTGTACAAAATAACTAGAAAAAGCTTGTGATATCAGACAGGAAAGTCATGTGTGTACACATATTTATGTCACATCCTATAGAATTTTTTAACAAGCCTGTATAAGTATACTTGTGTCTTAACCAATGGAAACATCGATGAAACGCCAAACAAGTTCTAAAACTACTTGCCAAATTCAACTGTGTTGAAAAATAAGCAATGCTATGAACAAATCAATGTTGTTTTAATAAGAATCGAAAATCAGTAACAACATTGAGAAATGCACAATAATTGAACCTCAAATTGAACATATTTCAAGTTTGTTTTACTATTCATTGGCAACAAGAATAACCCTGATTGTAAGTGAAACATTGATAGTTTCTGTGTAACTGTGTTCAACTAGTTTTCAGATAATAAATAAAAAACAAGCCTAAATAAGATTCTAATATTTTGTTTAAATTATAGTCAGATTTCTAGATAATATAAGAAATAAATAATTTATTATATGATAAATGGATTAGCCATTTTAAAATAATGATAATCATCTTATTATTCAGTTAACAAGTACATAAAGGAGCCTGCTAAGACAGCAAGCTTGAACAGCAAGACATGTTAATAAATGACCCAAATCTTCGCTACTGCAAACAAAATCGACCTAAATAAGTAGAATAATATTTTTTTTCCTATCTGTGAATCATGCTTATTAATAATAAAGTATATTTAAGATTACTGACCTTCTGGCAGCCCTTTTCCTCAAATCAGCAGCCAAACTATTAGTAACTCTATTAAGCACATTATCAATCAATATTCTTCGAGCCTGTAAACCAATTTGAGCTCCGAAATTTCTAAGTGCATGAGTTCTGGGTACTATTTGATTGCTGGATAAGTTTTGCGGAGTAGCACTAGCTCTAGCATTAATTTTGTCGGCAATAGTTTTGGAATTAAATTCTCTCTGGTTTCTAGTGTGACGTATAAATGCTGTACCATGTTTTAACAACCGACTGCCCAAGGCTCTTAGAGACATTTTGTGATTATAGTAATAACGTTAAACCCCGAAGGGTTCAAATAAATATATTTTTGAACAATGGCACTATTATTACGTGTTTATTTTTTTATTTTGAGATTACACTTTGACATTTGACACTGACGTTTCGATGTTATGGCATTTGACTTGACAGAATGGCCGGGTTCATCTATTGCGTTCGGTCTGTCAAACGCTTTTAACTTCAAACGACCCTTTTAGCGTTCGGTTTAGGTTATTCGATCATGTATTAGGATCTAGATCTAGAATATATATAGTCAGGACGGCAGTGAACTCTATCTATCTATAAAAGTTCACTGCAGGAAGGAGGAATGCTGAACGACCTTGGAATCGTGACAGTATCAAATTTTGACAACCAGAGAAATATGGCGAGAAGTGTTTCCGGTCTACCAGTGACGTACCGTTATAGAGGGACGTACAAAAGAGAATAATAAATTCTCATTTGTATATTATCTAAATTTATTGATTTCTTTCATTTTAATAAATAGCTATTCTCTTTTTGGGATTAATTATAGAGATATTTCATTTGAAAAATTAAAGCAATATTGTATTTAAAAAATATATTGACGTTTTTACGTCTTTATTATGACAATATTTTTATTAATTTACATTATTAAAATAAATATGTTTTGTAGATATGCGTTAAAAAAAATTAAATATCCTATACTTATATTTAAGTCAAACACCGCTGTGATATTTCTTAGATATTTTTGTTCCACCTTCGTAACAACTGTGCGCATGTCCGTTGGTGAGGAAGTGACACTGTTTACTCTTTGTACAGAAACTTCGGATCAAAAGACATAATATCGTAATTCTAGGACCTGTAATTGACGAAAAACTTGATCAGGGACTGGAGGACTGTCCTTTGACACCGAAGAATTCAATGGAAATTAAGTTTATGTCAAAATTTTTGTCACAAAGCTTAACTAAAACGTTTGAAAACACTGCCCTATAAAAATAAGGAAAAGTGCAAAAGTTCGTAAACCCTTTAACTTAGCCCAAAAATGTGGCAACTGGTTTTCCTACAAGACGTACTGGTTATGCCATTAGAGAAGCCAAATACATTTCCTATAAAATGTTTTGTAACGGCATTAAAAGCATTTTTCAGACTGAGGAAAACTCTACAGAGAGATAAGCAAGAAGGCATGAGATGTCTAAAAACATCAACAAGAAGAACTCATAATCCTAGAGGAGGAGACTTTAAAATTATTACTTAAGTCGCACTTTTCTGAATGTAAGATTGATTGAAACTGGTCTCTTGAAAACACAATAGTATACAGAACAAAACTTGTATGGGCAATAAACTCCTGTCAACCATACAAGACAGCTGGACCTGATGGTATAATCCCGGCACTTCTATTGAAGGGTCAGAAAGTACTAGAGTGAATTTTGGACGAGTCGTCTTTATTCCAAAACCTGGGAAAGCGTCTTACGCGGAGACATAATCTTTCAGACCAATCAGCATAACATCATTTCTTTTAAAAACCTTGGAGAAATTAATCGATAGGTATATACAGGACGATGTTCTATGGTTTCTACCAGTTTGTCTACAAAGGTTGGTATCGTTTTTTGGGCTGTGGCCTTTGTCATATAAGAGAATATCTGATAATGAGCACTGATGCTATCGTCTAACGTCAATCACATTATCTGCCTTATCTCTTAATGGGTAATTTAGTTCAGGATGGTGTCTGCCATATCGTCGTTGCCGCGGTGAAACCTCCTATGTGATATTTTATCACATTTTTAGATTTTTGTACCAGTCTATAGAAACTAACATTCTGTACAGTTTAGCGAAACCTCCCATGTAGGTTTCACCGCGACAACGACGATATGATAAAAACCATATAACGGAACAGACATACCTAAAACTCTTGCCCCAGATTTACATAAACAGGCCCACCCAGTAATAGTGTTAATTCCCAACAATGTGGTGTTAAATTGAATGAAACACTTTCTTTCTTCTGCAGCTTGAAATCTAAAAGGTATCGAGGCTCGTATTAGTCGGATCTGACCATTTCCTGCAGGTTCAAGATGCAGTCTCACTAAATATTGACCGTTGTCTCTGTATCCTCGGTCATAAATAATGTTGTCATTCTCGCGCAAAAATGTAACAAATCCGTTATCATTCAAAGCCATGGCATTAAAAATGAATGAATCATTATTTGCCGCATCTGATGCATAAGGACCTGAAACATCTATTATACAGGGTGTTATTGAAATACACGTACATATTAAAACTGGGTATTGCGCAGATCCCCACTGAATGTAGAAAAATATTATTTTTAAAAAATACCCCTTATTAAGGGAGTTATTAATTTTTGAAAATTAATTCTAAAACAAACGTACTTCACTGATATGTTGAGGATGCCCTATATAAATTAGGTTTATTTACCTATTTTAAACATCAACAGTAATTAATATGCAAGTTTTTGTCAGATGATAAGAAAACTAGTCTTGTAAGAAATAACCATGTTGCCAAGATTTTCGAATTAATTTCTATTTCCGAAGACTGGTTTTTACTACCCTCGTTATCAAAAAACTAGAATATTTGATAAATTATTGTTTTTAAACTATACATTTTTGAAACTATAGATTAATAAAATTTTAGTTGATTTACGAATCTGGCTAACACGAGCGCGTCATTTCCAAGTTGGTAAAAAGTGTTGTTACGATTACTTTTAAATATTTTTTTACGATGCCACTATTTACGAATATTGAACTAACGGATATAGTGCTGGTTTATGGGGCAGCTGGAGAAAATTCTCGGCAAGCACAAATCCTGTATCGCGAACGGTTTCCAAATCGGAGAATTCCGGACTGTCGTACGTTTATTTCAACTGTTCAGCATCTAAGAGACCATGGAAAAATTTAGAGTGTCAATGCAGATCGAGGGAGAACAAGAACACAAAGAACATTGGCGGCCGAAGAAGAAATATTGGAAGCTGTTGAAAACCGGCCTCAATTAAGTTGTAGAAGACTAGGTCTTGAAATTGGAGTGTCCTCATTTGTTGTGTGGCGGACACTTAAAGAACAAGGTTTACATCCTTATCACATCCAAAAAGTCCAGGCCTTATATCCAGGTGATGAAGAAAAGAGAGTGGAGTTTTGTGAATGGATGATTCAAAAATGTGTTGATATTCCTGATTTTCTAAAAATATTATTGTATACTGACGAGGCTTTATTCACTCGTGATGGCGTGTTCAATATGCACAATACGCATATTTGGAGTGATGAAAATCCTCACGCCATTAGGGAAACTGGGCATCAAAGAAAATTTTCAATAAATGTTTGGGCTTGCATAATAGATCAGTATTTAATCGGGCCTTATGTTCTCCCGAACAGATTAAATGGGCCAGGATATCTCCACTTTTTAGAAGATATTTTGCCAGTACTCCTAGAAGAGATACCGTTACAATTAAGGCAACGGATGTGGTACCTACTAGATGGCGCTCCTCCTCACTTTGATTTAAACGTACGGCAGTTTTTGAACATTAGATTTCCTCAAAAGTGGATAGGCAGAAATGGACCTACTAAGTGGCCTCCGAGATCTCCGGACTTAAATCCATGCGATTTCTTTTTGTGGGGTCACATGAAATAACTGGTTTATAATGAACCTATTAATATTGTTGAACAATTAACCAATAAAGTTAATGCGGTAGCCGAGGAACTACGACAAAATCCAAGACTAATTTCTAATGTTCAAAGTTCTTTGGAAAGACGATTGCAAGTGTATGTAAATAATAATGGACGGCATTTTGAACAATTACTGTAATAAACTTTATTTTGAATTAATTGGTTTTGCTACGGCAACAGTGCAATTTCTATGGGTAAGTTCAATTTCGATTTATTTTACTTCTTTAAATATGGAAACTAGTAGGTCGGAAAAGGGGACTCTTCCCCAATATTTAAATTTTAGAATTTGAAGTTAAAATTGGTGCCAATCGTTTTTGGTCATTACATACTATTCCCCATTTTAATATGTACGTGTATTTCAATAACACCCTGTATATCCATCTGGTGTAATTACAACGGAAAACTTAACTAGATTGTCCCTTTTTTGAACGCAATAAGTTTTTCTTTGAGATCTGTAATCCGATGGTTTTTGGTGATGCAGATAGGTAGCATCTACCAAAACTACCAAAGGATCAGCCATGTCCAAGGCAAAGTCTGTTGGAAATTGTGGTACTGTGTAGTTGAGCGTAATCCTCTCGAGTTATAACCAAGCTGGCGCGGTACAAAATTATTGGTTAATGAAACCAAAACATCTTGAAAAACCTCATTAACTCGAGGTTGCTGTTTTGGTTTTATGCCGAACATCATCTCTAAAACTTTCTGACTGAGATCGACCCTTAATTTGACAAGAAAAAGTGCAATATAGTTTTTCTTGCTTAGGTTTTTCCTAGATTTTATGTTCGGCAATAGTATTGAATTGTGCCCTATTGAGACCAGTCAAACATTTGTAGTCTTCATCTTCCATATTTTGAGAATCGAAGTCAAATATGTTTGACTGTTTCTCTAACGCTCTAACGCTCAGTGAGGAGATCCAATGGTACTAAAAAAGAGCAAGCTAGGCGAGACCTTCTAAAAAACGAAGTTCCGCAATAAACCGAAAAAGGCCGTGATGAAAAAATGTCCAATTTCTTTTTAAATCTAATTTAACTACAGTACCAACCGTTTTCAAGTTCTGCAAATAAAATAACCTTGTAGATTTTTCGATACTTATATAAATTAAAATTGTTTTGCTCTAAATTTTCAGAAGGTATTTAAATTTTTGGTGTTCTACTGAAAACACTTTCAGTATCAATATAGTGTCTAATCTTGATGTACTTGTAACATATTGTTTAAAATAAACAAAACTTCCATTAAAAATATAAAGTTATCTTTATACTAAATGCATGCTAATTTACGTCATAACTACATTAAAATGGGTTATTTTATAATTTGTTTACTCTAATCGTCCTCACTATCATATGTGTTTTCCGAAATCCCCTCTCAATAATCAACAAATAAATAAAAATTTCAGCTAAACTTCTTTCAGTATTAACTGAACATTATTAATGAGTAAGTCGCTGTGTTAAATTTTCTATCATGATTAGAATTATCATATTTTTGGTATTTCCAATTTATTATGTGTACGCTGATTGTAAACACTCCGTTACGACCGTAAAAGGATCTAAAGTTCCAAAAAAAATATGTTCCGGTGATTTGATTTTCGAAGACAACTTTGATACATTGGACAAGAGTAAGTGGAAACACGAACAGACTCTTTCGGGAGGCGGGGTAAGGATATATTTCTATAAATTTAATATTTTTAAATAAGGTTGAGGTAGCCAAAGATTAAAATTTTTAGAATTGGGAGTTTCAATGGTACTCCGATGACCCAAAAAACAGCTATGTTAAGAATGGTAACTTACATATTACACCAACACTTGTATCTGATGAATTTGGAGAGGACTTTTTGTATCATGGTACAATTGAAATACCTCCTGACAAGTAAGTGCTTTCAGACAATTTAATAATAGAAATGCTGTTATATATTTTAGTAAATTATGAAAACAAAGCTTTTGGGTGTTGCTAACATACATGCTCTAGGTACGCAGTGGCACCAATAACTAGTTTGTTTAAAAAAAAAAATAGTACCCTTTTGCACAGTCTAATTTTGGATTACCTCCCGGTTATAGAATCTCCAAAATATTAGTTTAGCTTGTGACACTCAGAAACCATAATTTCGATTGACTGGCTCTACACTAATATATTTATATCTACAAAATATAAGTTAAATACTCAGATTTAAACATAATCAGCGGCCATGCTTGGGTTAGCTTGAAAATAATAATTATTTATGACCTTACATAATACTTGTTTCGTTCAATTAAAATAAATAATAAAATTAGAATAAAACATTATTTTGATGTAATTGTAATTGAAATACTATTGGTCACTAAATTTGAAAAAAAAAAATTCAAATACGTCTATGATTTGTGGTAAATTTTGAATTATGATTATGACAACATCTACTGCGAAGGAGAAAACCAAGATATAAAAGTTTTCATCAAAAATGATGCACTAGCGCAGTGATCGCCAACCTGTCGATCGCGAGCTACCGGTAGCTCGCGGATGCAATTCTGGTAGCTCTCACAACGATTTTAATTTAAAAAATACAAACTGCAAAAAACAGAGAAGCTTCTGTACATTCTAATTTTGAAAAATCATTCCCACTACATTCTGCCGCCAGAAAGGAGAAACTGAAACAGTTAAAAAATCAGTTAATTGGACAACAATCAATATTTTTAAGAACAGTCGACAAAAATAAGGCTGCAACTGAAGCATCGTACCGTGTGTCCCAGATAATTGCACAAAAAAAGAAACCTTATGAAGACGGGGAAATGATAAAACAGGCGTTTTTAGAAGCTGCTGATTCGTTATTTGCCAACTTTAGAAATAAAGACGAGATAGTTTCAGCTATAAAATCTATGCAACTTTCTGCTAATACAGTGATGAGACGTGTAGAAGTAATGAGCAATGATATTGTTTTACAGTTAAGAACTGACTTAGATAACTGTGTTTATTTTTCACTTCAACTGGATGAATCAACAGATGTCGTTGACACTGCCCAGATGGCCGTGTTCGTCAGGATGGTTTTTAGTGATTTTACGATTAAAGAAGATCTTTTGAAGTTTATTCCACTGAAAGGACACACTTCTGGACAGAAGTTGTTTTCTCATTTAAAAAATATTATTTCTTCCGAGAAAATTCCAATATCGAAAATGGTAGGTTTGACAACCGATGGCGCTCCAGCTATGGTAGGTTGTGATAAGGGTCTGGTGGCGTTATGTCGTAAAGATGAAACTTTTCCGCAATTTCTTTGTTACCACTGCATTATCCATCAGCAAGCATTATGTGGAAATTGCCTGAAACTAAACAACGTTATGAAACTGGTGGTAAAAATTGTGAACAAGATTAGAGTTCAAGCGTTACAAAGAAGATTATTCAAAACCTTGGCCGATGAAGTTGACTGTCAATACGGGGACCTACTCCTTCACTCTGAAGTCCGATGGTTAAGTAGAGGACAGGTGCTGAAACGTTTTAATGATGTCCTATCTGGCATAGTTCAATTTTTCAAACAACGCGATGAACCGACTCCGGAACTAGAAAATTCAATCTGGCTTAGAGATTTTGGTTTTCTCGTGGACATTACAGAGAAATTAAACGAACTTAATTTGCAGCTTCAGGGGAGAGACAAAGAACTAGCGGAAATGATTTCTGATATAAAAGCATTTATCAAAAAGCTGGAGTTTTGGGAACAAAACCTAATTAACAGCGATGCCAAGCATTTTCCCATTCTTTCAGAAAAAATATCTCAAAATCCATTAGAACCCAATGACAGCAAATATCATGTAGAAATAGTTTCTACCCTAAAGAATAACTTCAAAAATCGTATTAAGGATTTCAACGAAATGTCTTTAGTAGCACAGTTTGTTGTTTCACCCTTTATGGAAATTGATATCCAACAGTTTGCAACTTGTGTTATGCAGAACTTTGGCGAAGACATCGCTGCAACAGAAATGGAAGTAATTGAGTTTCAAAATCGTTAGTCTCAAGTACCAAATGTATCTGGCCTATTGAAAGTAAAGACAAATTTTCAGTTCTATGCCGTGTTGCCTTGAAAGTGAAAGCATTATTCAGTTCAACCTATTTGTGTGAATCTTCTTTTTCCAATATGAAGTTTATTAAGAACAAATATTGCAATCGTCTTACAGATGAACATTTGGATAATTGTATTCGAATGGCTGTATCAAATTATACTGCAAACATTAAAAAAATTATCGATGAATCTGAGTGTTAGCCTTCTCATTGAACGTGCTTTTTTATTTTTCAATGTTTATGTTCATGATAGTGCGTTACTTTTTTGTTGTTATTATTAACTATTTTTAAATCTTACGTGACATGCCGTTGTGGCTGGTTAAAAGTTTGTGTTTATTTTTCAAACACCTTCGTTTGGTAGGTAGGAATGTAGCTGTGAACAAGTATGTACTAGTAATATTAGTTATTTTGTTATTAGTTTATTATTAGTACCTATGTATTATGTATTACCAGTTAAATAGTAAAATAAATACATATAATGATAAATTAACTGTGGATTATTTCATTTACGTTGCGTTACGTGGCTTCCGTGTGGGTAGCTCGCTGTTTATTCCAAAATTAACAAAGTAGCTCAACACATTGAGAGATTGGCGACCACTGCACTAGCGCAACTGATTCTAGTTGGAAGTAGATTAGATTAGGAGTTGGACGTTATTTGTCCTTGTCCACCGCAACCTTTTCAGGTCTATTGTGGGACTCCGTTTGTTTTAGAGTATGTCGTCTAGCCTGGTCTTTTTTAGACTTAGTAGCTTTGACAGTGTCTCCTGCATGTAGTTGCATGCAATTGGCTTTTCTTCGCCCAATGTTAGAAACCTCATTCCAGCCAAGCCTTCACATTGGCACAGGACGTGGAATGATTTGTCTTCTCTTCTTCTTCACAGAACCTGCACAAAGTTGCTTCTTCTGCTGGATTTATGACACTCATGTGCCTTTTGAGGCGACAGTGTCCAGTAAGAAGGCCTACTGTTATCCTAACGATTTTACGTTTTTGATCCAGTAGGTCTTTCGTAAACTTGGCCGATGGTTTTTTGATGTAGTTGGAAGTATGAACGATGCCAATATTAAATTAACCGCAACATGTGATACGTCCAAAACTGGGACAAATTGCTGTTCATTATACGAACAAAGTTCAGGTCAGGGAGTGGACAGATTGATGGAGCAGTAGCCAAAAGAACCCGGAAGAAGATATTGTAACTCACATCGCTCGTCAGGGAATAAATCATTTATTGTTTATGACTCTACAGTTGGTTAAATCGCAAAAATTTTAAACAAGTGATTTAAATTTCCAAAACCACATAGAAATTATAACACCGCAAGTATATGCTATTGTTATCTTCTCGGTTAAAGATAATGTCTATAAATAACTACATTATAGTTTATAAATAAATTTAAAAAGTCAATAAATAAAAAATGCACTTTAAATACATTCTTTAAAATAATTTTTTTGACGTAAGTTACTAAACGGATATTATCTATTGACATATTTGTTTTTTGAATCGTTTAGACATAACAGATAACAAATAACTGAAAAGCGTAATTTTCTAACTAATTTAAAAGGGTTTTACCACTTTATATTAATTTCTGCATTAACTAGAAATATATAAATTGTTGTATAAATAGGGTGGCCCATGTTTTCTACCTTTTAATCAATGGCACCACAAGGCAGTGAGGATAGGAGCAGGTTATGTATTTTAACATTTTTAATCCCATCAATTACATATTAAAAATTTAAAAATTATAAATTAATTTAAATAAAAAGGCAAGAAAAATTTAAATTATATTTTACACATTTAGTTTATTTACAGACTGTTTTTTCTGCAAACTAAATTAAATTTTCTAGAGTATGGATATGTTTTTTTATACATAAATAAATATGGCACAAACGAGGGCCCAACGCATCAATATTTAAATATATACAGGGTGTTCCATCTCAGACGAGCCACCCCGTATATTTCTTATCTCATAGTAATTGGATGCTTTCCTTTGGGGGACATCAACCCCTCAAAATTGAATAGGGAAGAGGGGTTGAGTGATACTTCATTTGTAAGGTCTTGGAAGCCTCTTTACAATGGTGTATGAAAAAAATCACATTCTTCTCGTCTGAGATGGAACACCCTGTATAGATATATTAAGAATACTGATATTTAATTGTGGAACAGTAAAATTTATCTGTGCTGTCTACTATAGCTTGTTTAAATGCTCGGTCTTTATTAACATCTCTACAAAATTTAAAAAATATATTGGATGAACGTTCATTTGAGGTTATTTTAATTTGTGAAAAATGGCTGCATAGCTATGTTAGTAATGATGATTTAAATAGTAGGGGTTATACATTATATCGTGGGGATAGAAATGCAAGAGGAAGGGAAACGTTTGCAGCCAAACAAATACCAATCCTCAGTTTAAAAAACTATTTTAGAACAGACGTACATAATGAATATTCTATAAGGTAGGTCATTATAACATTCTGTAAATTAGTTTTATATCTCTTAGATAAGAGAATATTTTTATTCATGAATGTTACTAGATAATGTTAATAACATGTTTTTTTAACTAATAATCTGGTGGATAAAGCCAAAATGTTGTTAAACTTTTCCAACCGAAAATTTTTCCACAATTTTCAAAACTAATTCTCTAAATTACAGAGGCGTCACCAAGAAAAAAAGTCGCAGAAATACAAGAAAATTACAAAAAAAATGAAATTAAACACTTCTATAAAGATGTAAAAGGTAAAAAAACGCTTGCCAAAAAATATTTACATTAAGGATAAGGAGGGAAATTTAATAGGAGGAAAAAGCGAGCAAATGCAAAGATGAAAACAATACTTCCAAAAACTACTGAACGATGAACCTGAACGGCAGAAAGTAGAAGAAGAAGAAGAAGAAGCAGCAGAGGAGGAAGAAGAAGCAAATGAAAGCCCTGTGTACACCGCTGAGGAACTCACAGAAATACGAACAAACAAAGAAATTTACGAAATATTTAACGAACCCAACATATACAAAATAATACAGTTGGAGGTTGGGGCACTTAGAAAGGATGGAAGACTTAAGGACAGTAAAAAGAGTAGCTTGGACAACACCAGAAGGAAAAAAAAAAGAGAGGAAGGCCTAAAAGAAAATGGAGGGAATCGATTATAGAAGATATTAAGGAAAAAAAGATCATCATCAACGATTTTAAGGCTAAATCATTTTGAAACTCAATTACTTCCATTTCTGTTACAGCGATGTCTTCGCCAAAGTTCTGCATAACACAAGTTGGAAACTGTTGGATATCAATTTCCATAAAGGGTGAAACAACAAACTGCGCTACTAAAGCCATTTCGTTGAAATCCTTAAAACGATTTTTGAAGTTATTCTTCAGGGTAGAAACTATTTCTACATGATATTTGCTATCATAGGGTTCTAATGGATTTTGAGATATTTTTTCTGAAAGAATAGGAAAACTCCAGCTTTTTGATAAATGCTTTTATATCAGAAATCATTTCCGCTAGTTCTTTGTCTCTCCCCTGAAGCTGCAAATTAAGTTCGTTTAATTTCTCTGTAATGTCCACGAGAAAACCAAAATCTCTAAGCCAGATTGAATTTTCTAGTTCCGGAGTCGGTTCATCGCGTTGTTTGAAAATTTGAACTATGCCAGATAGGACATCATTAAAACGTTTCAGCACCCGTCCTCTATTTAACCATCGGATATCAGAGTGAAGGAGTAGGTCCCCGTATTGACAATCAATTTCATCGGCCAAGATTTTGAATAATCTTCTTTGTAACGCTTGAGCTCTAATCTTGTTCACAATTTTTACCACCAGTTTCATAACGTTGTTTAGTTTCAGAAAATTTCCACATAATGCTTGCTGATGGATAATGCAGTGGTAACAGAGAAATTGCGGAAAAGTTTCATCTTTACGACATAACGCCACCAGACCCTTATCACAACCCACCATAGCTGGAGCGCCATCGGTTGTCAAGCCTACCATTTTCGATATTGGAATTTTTTAGGAAGAAATTTTTTTTTAAATGGGAAAACAACTCCTGTCCAGTAGTGTGTCCTTTCAGTGGAATAAACTTCAAAAGATCTTCTTTAATCGTAAAATCACTAAAAACCATCCTGACGAACACGACCATCTGGGCAGTGTCAACGACATCTGTTGATTCATCCAGTTGAAGTGAAAAATAAACACAGTTATCTAAGTCAGTTCTTAACTGTAAAAAATATCATTGCTCATTACTTCTACACGTCTCATCACTGTATTAGCAGAAAGTTGTATAGATTTTATAGCTGAAACTATATCGTCTTTATTTCTAAAGTTGGTAAATAACGAATTAGCTGCTTCTAAAAACGCCTGTTTTATCATTTCCCCGTCTTCATAAGGTTTCTTTTTTTGTGCAATTATCTGGGACACACGGTACGATGCTTCAGTTGCAGCCTTATTTTTGTCGACTGTTCTTAAAAATATTGATTGTTGTCCAATTAAATGCTTTTTTAACTGTTTCAGTTTCTCCTTTCTGGCGGCAGAATGTAGTGTCAAAATTAGAATGTACAGTTTTATGATGTCTCTCAATATTTCCTTTTTTAGCAACGGAGACCGAAGTATTACATAACAAACACACATTTTTATCTTTAACTTCTGTAAAAATGTATTGTTCTTCCCATTCCGAATAAAAGTGGTATGTCTTTACCTTCTTACAACTGCTTGCCATAATATTATTTTTTGTTGTTCTTTACTAACCCAACCGCTGGACGTTGGATACGCGTTCAGTTTTAAACTAAGCGCAATGTCGCCGCGTCGTGCGTATTTATCCCATTCAAAGCAATCCTGATTGTTCTCGAACACTAACGCGTTGGTCCGGCTGGTCGGTTGTAGCCGATTCTAGCTTGATGGCGACAGCAGCAGATCGCTCACCGCAACGTTGCCGCTGTTTATGTTTAATATTATGACAATTTGTTTTTTTTTGTGGAATTTTCGGAAGCTTCTCTGATTTTTGCAGTTTGTATTTTTTAAATTAAAATCGTTGTGAGAGCTACCAGAATTGCCTCCGCGAGCTACCGGTAGCTCGCGATCGACAGGTTGGCGACCACTGTTTTAGATGAATGCCCCTTGTGTCCTGATTTCAAATAACATAAGTATGTTTTTTTAGGTGCACCCAATCTGATTCCTACGGCTGTAAAAGGACTGGTACACCACAAAACGTAGTCAATCCAATTAAAAGCGCTCGTCTAAATTCTGTGGATTCTTTTTCTTTTAAATTCGGAAAGGTTGAAATTAGAGCTAAACTTCCTGCCGGAGATTGGTTGTGGCCAGGTAAGACAATTACACTTTTTTAATATCAAGGAAATAATGAAAAAGTCCTACGTATTCCTTGGTACAACCTCCTACCAACAAACTTGGAACGTCTGAATGAAACAACATTTTAAAATTGACATATTTAAAGTAGAATCCAATCTAAGTTTATAGACCTGTAGTATACTAAAAAAGAATCAATATATTGCAGATAAAGCAAAGAGAGTTTTTATTAAAATCGATTTAGAATTAGCATAGAAAATATTTTAAACTAATTTAATTCTACAAAGAATATCATTTAAAAGAAAGAAACCATAACAATTGATGACTGTTTATAAAACACTACTGATAACAGACATATTTAAATTTAGGACTATTGCAACACGCTAAAACAAGTCAAGAAATTAATTTCATATTTCTAGACATTTCTATATTATTTTAATTATTTTTCTTATAGCAGAAAAGTAAGAATGGCCTATCATTATCATTATTGCCATTAGATTAACAAAGACTATTTTTTTTTGACATGTATGAAGAAATAAACGGCAATAACCAGCTTTTTCACACCGTTTCTAAAAAAAAAAACAATATATCTATCGAAATAAGTACAAAGAGTATAAGTCAGATTTTCTTGATTTCGGGGTTTTTTTTACTATAGTTCATGTTTATCATCTAAATACAGTGCTTTTCAGATAAAAGTATCCACCTTAAGTAACTTTTGAAGGACTGATTATTACAAAAAACAAAAAAATACGTCAATTAATATTCGAAGGGGGAGATATCGTGCCATATTTAAGTTTGCTGAAAAGTCACCCTTTCACCCCTACTATCATCCCTTCAATTTTTTTAAATGGATTCCTCCAATTTTTTTATCCATTTTTGGATTGTTCTCGTTTAACTGATTTCAAAAATGTATAAAGCATGGGGTTTAAAATAATTAGTTTATGATCTACAGGGTTCCATTATTTGAGTGACAAATTTTTACATCTCACCTTACTGACTGCAGCAAAATTGGATTTAGAATACATTATACCTTAATCGTACCGCTAAAAACTTGTTGAAGTTTTTTATGATACATGGTAAAGGTATTGGAGATTTGAAAAATGAATTTAAATTACTTTTATAGTGTATTTTGATACATGTGCACATTGATATGTTGAGATTATTTATTTGATTTGAAAATGGTTTACAGTTTACAAGAGAAAGAATTGAACTTGTAGGTTTATACTACAAAAATAACAGTTCTGCACGAGCTGCTGCTAGAATTTTCAACGAAACACACCAAGGAGGTCATGCAACTCATAAGTATGTAATTGATCTTATGCATAAATTTACATCAACCGGGTCAGTTGGCAATAAAAAACATAACCGACTGGAACTCGTAATTAACGAAGCAATTGAAGTCGCAGTTTTAGGACAAGTAAGTCTTGAAAATCAACAAGCACAGTCACTGACAACAATAAGCAGAGAAGTAGGTGTTTCATCTTCCACAGTTTATCGAATATTACACAAGCATAAGTACCATCCATACAAAATTAAATTGGTTCAAGAGTTGTATGAAGATGATTTTGATCGTCGTCTTGAATTTTGTGAACTATTGAGTCAGCGCTTGACTGACAATCCACATTTGTTGCACAACCTTTGTTTTTCGGATGAATGCACATTTTCAGTTAATGGTTTAGTTAATAGATATAATTGCAGATATTGGGCTGAGAGTGATCCACATGTTGTGCGTGAATACCACACACAGAATCCTCAAAAGTTAAATGTATGGTGTGGTATCCTAGGTGACCACATAGTCGGACCTTTCTTTTTAAACGGAAACTTAAATGGAGAGTCATATCTTGAGTTATTGAGAGAAGTAATTGATCCACGTATTACAACAATAATAGAAAATGACCATAATCTTTCTGAAGATTTGCTTGTCTTTCAACAATTTTTAAATGAAACTTTCCCCAATCGTTGGATAGGTAGAAGAGGCTCGATGATGGAGTGGCCACCTAGATCACAGGATTTATCACCTCTAGACTTCTTTTTATAATAATATAATAATAATAATAATAATAATGTTTATTTATCAAAAGATAATAAGTACAGAAAGTAACGTAGGTACATTATGAGGTTAGAAAGTAGATTAACAATTTAAAAACCAAACATGAATAAAAAAATTAAACCAAAAAAATTCGTTAGGAAAAATCAGTGGGTTTTTGAATATTAAATTAAATACTATTGTTTCGAAACAAACAAAACATAACATAGAAAACGAATTGTGTTTATATAAACTTTACATGATTCTTCATCTTTTTTTTGAACACATTTACACTTGAACTTGCTTTGACGTCATCAGGCAGAATATTAAACCGAACTATACCCTTATGAAACAAACTTTTCATGGAGCTGGTTTTGTTACTTGAATTCACATAAAAATTTATAGAATTTGCCGTTCTAGTGTTACGCCCGTGAATATTTGCAACTGGTACAAGCTGACAGTTTAAGTATTCAGGTAACATGTTGTTAACAATTTTATATATAAATATCATCGTCTGAATATAAAGTAGATGTTCAATTTTCATCCAATTTAAAGCTTCCAACATTAACTGTGAACTAGTAAAACGATTACATCCCAATATTGCCCGCATGCCTTATTCTGAAGGATTTGTAACCTATCAAAATTAGAACACCCTGTATAAATAATAGTACTACAGTAATAGAAATGAGGTAATATCAGTGTATTATAGATGGTTTGTCTAGTCGATATAGATAAAAACAGTGATGCCCTTCTCATAAAACCAATTTTTTTACCAATTTTTTTAGACATATAACCAATGTGCTTATTAAATTTCAATTCTCTGTCTAGTATTAACCCTAAGTATTTTATTTCTTCAACATTCTCAATGACTTCGTCATTTATGACTACATTTAAATTTAAACCTAAATACTTATTATACAGAAAATTATTCCCAATAAACATAGACTTCGACTTTATTTCATTTAGGGTCTATTTATACTCCCTTAGTATTAGTATTTGTATTAGTATTATGATTAAGCATTAAATTTGTTAAATCATTCAAAAAAGGTATTTATACTCGTTTTATAATTAGTATTAGTAATTCTTTTTTAAACCTAATACCTAATAAGATATAATTCTGCAGTCAACAAAATATATGGTTACTGAAGAAATATGTAAGAGGCCAGAGTTGCGTTCTTTTAAGATATTTGAGTTTTAAATGTGTTTTTATTAATATTTTTACTAGTTAATTTTATTTAAAAATATTATTATTCAAAAATAGGTTTAATTAAGGACATTTTAACGGATTTCAGTCTCAAATTTATAACAGATAAAAAGAAGCAGAAATTTGATACAAATCAGACAGAAAAGAGGCCTTTGCTTCCTCGTGGTGACATGTCATTTGTCAACTTTATAATCGGTAAACACTGCTGATACACAAAAATTGTATACAACGCATGATTTGTACCAAAATATTATCGTTTTCGAGCTTGTTGGAACAAACATATAAACAACATAATCATATGTGTATTGTCAATTATCCCTATCCTTTGTCTATTAAAAACAAAGGCCAAATACGTTATTGATTCATTTTATAGAAAAGAAGAAATTTAATATTTAATTTAAAAGTTGAACCTGTCAATTATTAAGCATAAATATTAATGCTAATACTAATCATAAATCGAGTATAAATGTCCCCATTACATTGTGAAGGTTCAACTTAATGCTTAATCATAATACTAATGCAAATACTAATAATAAGGGAGTATAAATAGACCCTTACTTTTAATTTATTAATTTTAAATTTCTCTGTTAATAATTTTAATTCTGAGTTTAAAGTTTGAATTACTGTTCCAAAATCTTTCCCATACCAATAAATTAATGTATCGTCAGCGAATAGATGAATTTTACATTTGTTTAGTACAGATCCCAAATCATTTATATATATTATAAAGAGTAAAGGACCCAAGACACTGCCCTGGGGAACGCCTACATCGTTTAATAATAAACCTAAAAGCATAGGCCTATAAGTGTTAACATACTTTAATATTTCATCTTTGTGACTATAATAACTTTGAGCATTAAAACATACTATAAAAATATTTTTCTTAGTGAGCTGTAATTGCTAATCATTTTCATTATAAATAGTTTTCCGTTGAATGGATTGAACAATTCTTAAATAACACTTACAATTTCTATCGGTGGCGTGGTGGTTGCTATCTAAATTTAGGTTTAGTTGTTGATTTGCACGTACACAATTTACACATTTCTTTACATCGCTATTACAATCATTGCTTCCATGATCACCTGCACATAACACACAAGAAAGCTTCTCTCTGCAATTTTTGGCTTCATGGTTAAAACCACCACACTTAAAACATCTCTTGACGTTGAAATATTCGTAGACTCTGCATATCCTCCATCCAATATACAATTCCGGGAAAGAACAGCTAAGTAAATTTTTAAGAGTTTCAGGATCTACTTCTACTATAAGATTGAAACGGCCTTTTCGTATTTTTGTAGAGAAAATCTTTTCAAATTTAAAACTTTGCGGCTGTGGTAATCGGTTCTGTCTAACAATCTTTGGTATTAACTCATTTTGCTCTAATTCATCCATTTCTTCTTGATCAATTCCTGTTATAATTAACCTTGGTAATATTTTCTTTGGTACCTGGACATTAGGATTTTGTGAAGGAAATGCTCGAGAGAGTGTCAGGGTGTACTCTGAAAGGTTTCCAACTTTTGCTTCTCTTCTTGGGGAGACCGGTTCCTTTGCTCCCAACACTGTTGATAATGGAAGAGAACGTTTTGTAAGGATTCCTGAAGTTGAAGAAATTTTAGAACGTGTTGAAGAAGATTCTGAATTAAGCACCAGACGAATTGGAAGGGAACTAGGAGTAAGTAAAGATGTCGTTCATAAAGTGCTTGGAGAACAATTGCTATATCCATGCCATAAGAAGCCAGTACAATAATTATTAGTCTATGATCCTCAAATTCGTTTGGATTTGTGTAGATTTGTTAATATACAAAGAGAAAGAGATCCAAACTTTGTCAAGAAGGTTCTCTTTACCGATGAAGCGGGTTTTACAAGAAGAGGTATAACTAATACCCACAATGAACATGTTTATGCCGTTGAAAATCCGCATGCAATAAAGGTAAACCATTTTCAGCACGAATTCAAAATTAATGTGTGGGCTGGAATAATTGGTATTTTCATTGTTGGTCCTGTCATACTTCCACGAAGATTAACTGGAAAAAATTATTTGGATATTCTACAAAATACGTTACCAGAATTGTTAGAAGATTTACCTCTCCAACTTCGGAGAGATATATGGTTTATGCAAGATGGAGCTCCACCACATTTTTCTTTAACCGTTAGAAACCACTTGAATGAACAATATCCACACAAATGGATAGGCAGGGGTAATGACGCACCTGTAAACTGGCCACCACGTTCCCCAGACCTAACACCGATGGATTACTTTTTATGGGAACATCTGAAATCCACAGTTTACAGGGAACCTGTAGAAAATGAGGAACAACTCTGGCAACGTATTCAAGATGCAATAAACAATCTTAGAGGTGATGAAGAAGTTATGGAAAGGATACATTTTAATTTTCTTCAACGTATAAATCTTTGTATGCGTGAAAATGGTGAACATTTTAAACAATTTTTGTAAAATCTCTATTTTGATTATGTTGTAAATAAATATTTTTGTGAAACCTATACACTCTAAATTATTAAAACGGAAATTTAGCGAAAACCATGAGAGTAATCGATTCTTATCAAGAGTACCTTTTTTAAAGTAAATGAGTTGCGCAATCTAAATTTCATACTCAAACTCCTTTTCTTTTATTGGCGTAGAATTTTTAAAGGTGCAATTATTTAAAAAATCAAGTTCTACGCCTATGTATTATTATCGGACTAAATTTTAACACCATTTTTTTTGCCACATAAAACTCTACCAATATACCAAATTTCAGCAAAATCGCATATGCCGTTTTAAATTTATATGGGAAAAACGATTTAAAAATTGTAACTTCAAGGCCCTCTGGAGTCCAAACGAAGCAATTTTGTACTAAGGTAATTTTACTTAAATCGACTTATTTTGGTCTAAGGAATATGTGGTATGTTTTTGTAAAGACCTTTTACAGACACCCTGTATAATTTTTTTTAGTATCTCTTAATATTTAGTTAAAACAATGTTACTTGTTTCAGCAATTTGGTTGTTGCCAAAAGATTGGAAATACGGCAGCTGGCCAGCATCTGGTGAAATCGACGTGATGGAAAGCAGAGGCAACCGACAACTATACATCGGAAACACAAACATTGGTGTCCAACAAATATCAGATACACTTCATTGGGGCCCCGATCGCAACCATAACAAATTCATGAAAACTCATTTCGAACGGAATTTAAAAGATGGATATAACAGTGATTTTCATAATTACCAATTAGAATGGACTCCTGAGCATATTAAAATTTCAGTTAACAATGTAGAAATGGGAACAGTAACACCACCTGCAGGAGGGTTTTGGCAATATGGAGACTTGCAAAATTCCGGATTAAAAAATCCATGGACTAATTCTAAAATGGCTCCGTTCGATCAAGAATTTTATTTGATTCTCAATGTGGCGGTTGGAGGAACCAGTGGCTTCTTCCCGGACAATGTAAATAATTTATCTGGACCAAAACCTTGGTCTGATAAATCAGGAAATGCACCTACTACATTTTGGCAAGCAAACAAAGCCTGGCTACCAACATGGAAAAGGAATACTGATGACTCTCATCTACAAGTTGATTATGTTAGAGTATGGGCTCTTTAGTTTAGAGGTTCAAATAAATTTATAAATTCGCTAGTTATTTTTATTTATTCTTATTACAAAACTGCTGACTTATGACATAGTTAAAAGACCTTAAGAACATTATCTTATACTTTATGAGATTGTAGAATCCCAAATCGTGTGGAAATCAATAAAATATAGGCAATAACCATGAAAGTATGGGGATAACATGGTGAACATAGTCGTATTGAAAGAAAATTTGATTATCTAAACCAGTGGTCGCCAACCTCTCAATGTGTTGAGCTACTTTGTTAATTTTGGAATAAACAGCGAGCTACCCACACGGAAGCCACGTAACGCAACGTAAATGAAATAATCCACAGTTAATTTATCATTATATGTATTTATTTTACTATTTAACTGGTAATACATAATACATAGGTACTAATAATAAACTAATAACAAAATAACTAATATTACTAGTACGTACTTGTTCATAGCTACATTCCTACATACCAAACGAAGGCGTTTGAAAAATAAACACAAACTTTTATCCTGCCACAACGGCATGTCACGTAAGATTTAAAAATAGTTAATAATAACAACAAAAAAGTAACGCACTATCATGAACATAAACATTGAAAAATAAAAAAGCACGTTCAATGAGAAGACTGACACTCAGACTCATCGATAATTTTTTTAATGTTTGCAGTATAATTTGATACCGCCATTCGAATACAATTATCCAAATGTTCATCTGTAAGTCGATTGCGATATTTGTTCTTAATAAACTTCATATTGGAAAAAGAAGATTCACACAAATAGGTTGAAATGAATAATGCTTTCACTTTCAAGGCAACACGGCATAGAACTGAATATTTGTCTTTACTTACAATAGGCCAGATACATTTGGTACTTGAGACTAACGATTTTAAGGCTAAATCATTTTGAAACTCAATTACTTCCATTTCTGTTGCAGCGATGTCTTCGCCAAAGTTTGCATACTACAAGTTGCAAACTGTTGGATATCAATTTCCATAAAGGGTGAAACAACAAACTGCGCTACTAAAGCCATTTCGTTGAAATCCTTAAAACGATTTTTAAAGTTATTCTTCAGGGAAGAAACTATTTCTACATGAGATTTGCTGTCATAGGATTCTAATGGATTTTGAGATATTTTTTCTGAAAGAATAGGAAAATGCTTGGCATCGCTGTTAATTAGGTTTTGTTCCCAAAACTCCAGCTTTTTTGATAAATGCTTTTATATCAGAAATCATTTCCGCTAGTTCTTTGTCTCTCCCCTGAAGCTGCAAATTAAGTTCGTTTAATTTCTCTGTAATGCCCACGAGAAAACCAAAATATCTAAGCCAGATTGAATTTTCTAGTTCCGGAGTCGGTTCATCGCGTTGTTTGAAAAATTGAACTATGCCAGATAGGACATCATTAAAACGTTTCAGCACCCGTCCTCTACTTAACCATCGGACTTCAAAGTGAAGGAGTAGGTCCCCGTATTGACAGTCAACTTCATCGGCCAAGGTTTTGAATAATCTTCTTTGTAACGCTTGAGCTCTAATCTTGTTCACAATTTTTACCACCAGTTTCATAACGTTGTTTAGTTTCAGGAAATTTCCACATAATGCTTGCTGATGGATAATGCAGTGGTAACAGAGAAATTGCGGAAAAGTTTCATCTTTACGACATAACGCCACCAGACCCTTATCACAACCCACCTTTCTTTCTCTCTTTCCTAACTGTCTAAAAACAGCTATAATAATCCCACTTCATAAAGGTGGCGACAAAACCAAAACCTGTAACTATAGACCTATCGCGTTATTGCCTACCTTATCGAAGATAGTAGAACGGCTAATGAAAAACCGTCTTTTGCCCTTTCTTTTCAAGCATAACATCCTCACAGCTCATCAGTATGGCTTTCTACCTAAAAAATGCACTAGCGACGCAATGTTTTCCGTTCTTAATGAAATATACACATCACTTAATGATAAACTTTTCACCGCTTCAGTATTTTGTGACTTCGCAAAGGCCTTCGATTGTGTAAATCATGATATTTTAATTAATAAGTTACAAATTTATGGCATACGGGGTTCTCCTTTACAATGGTTTAAAACTTACCTAGAAAATAGAAATCAACAGGTGCGGGCGAATGGTGAGGATTCTACAAATCTAGCAATAAGCAGTGGAGTACCTCAAGGATCAGTATTAGGTCCAATTTTGTTTTTATTATTCATCAACGACATCACAGACTTAAGAATAAGTGGTAGAATTACTTTATTTGCTGATGACACCAGTGTAACCTGGAATAATTCTAACATGCAGACATTACAATCTATCATAAGTGAAGATCTAGTGACTATTAAGTCCTGGTCTGATTCGAATGGACTTTGTTTCAACACCAGTAAAACTGTAGCATTGTCTTACAGAGGTACTTTACAACCTATAACTTTAAACAATAATCTGATCCAAACGGTGACTTCAATCAAGTTTTTAGGTCTTTATATAGACGATTCTCTAAAATGGTCTGCTCATATAGATACCTTAGCAAAAAATTATCCTCCGCATGTTTTGCCATTAAATCGGTTTCTAAAGAGCTGACTCCTTCTACTGCATTAATAACCTACTTTTCCTTATTCGAATCTCACCCTCGCTATGGTTTACCTTTCTGGGGTTCTTGTAGCTTATACCTTTTCGAATCTATTTTTAAACTGCAAAAAAGAGCAATCCGCTATGTATTTGGTTTAAGTAGTAGGACACATTGCGAAAATTACTTCAAAAATTTCAAAATTCTAACCCTTCCTGCTCTATTTATTTTCGAATCCGTCTGCTTAGTTCGCAAGCACATTCAAAATTTATCCGAAAGACCGACTCGTAGATATCCTACAAGAAATTTAGAGACTGATGTTTATTTAACAATGCCCACTTCTGACCTATTAAAACATTCCATTACCTACAATGCCAAAAAATTGTATAATAACCTTCCGATGCAATTAAAATCTATAAATACATACGATAAGTTCCGAAGACTGGCTAAAGCTTTTCTTCTAGAAAGACCATATTACACAGTAGCAGAATTTTATAACGTACCTTAGACATTTAAGTTCCACATACAATGGCATTAATTAAATAATTAAATATGAAAGTTTAAATTTAAATTTAAATTTAAAAATTAAATTAGAATAATTATAATGACGGATATTGCATATCCATTGCAATTGTTATTCCTATTTTGTCTGTTTGTTTCTGTTTGTTTTTCTGCTGTTTAGTTATTTTTATAATATGTTTAGTATTTAAGTTACACGCTTTGTCTATAAAATTTTTGTAAATTTTTTTACGACAATAAAGCATATCTCTCTCTCTCTCTCTCTCTCACCATAGCTGGAGCGCCATCGGTTGTCAAGCCTACCATTTTCGATATTGGAATTTTCTCGGAAGAAATAATATTTTTTAAATGAGAAAACAACTCCTGTCCAGTAGTGTGTCCTTTCAGTGGAATAAACTTCAAAAGATCTTCTTTAATCGTAAAATCACTAAAAACCATCCTGACGAACACGGCCATCTGGGCAATGTCAACGACATCTGTTGATTCATCCAGTTGAAGTGAAAAATAAACACAGTTATCTAAGTCAGTTCTTAACTGTAAAAAAATATCATTGCTCATTACTTCTACACGTCTCATCACTGTATTAGCAGAAAGTTGCATAGATTTTATAGCTGAAACTATCTCGTCTTTATTTCTAAAGTTGGCAAATAAAGAATCAGCAGCTTCTAAAAACGCCTGTTTTATCATTTCCCCGTCTTTATAAGGTTTCTTTTTTTGTGCAATTATCTGGGATACACGGTACGATGCTTCAGTTGCAGTTACGCGTTCAGTTTTAAACTAAGCGCAATGTCGCCGCGCCGTGCGTATTTATCCCGTTCAAAGCAATCCTGATCGTTCTCGAACACTAACGCGTTGGTCCGGCTGGTCGGTTCTAGCCGATATTGGGTGCTATGATTGAACGTTTACGTTATCCGTAACGTACATGTTAGGCCGAGTTTTAACAGAAATGAGGCAAATTCGTATGATGAAAAATTTTTTTCAACACGTTACTGTTATTTTCCGCCTGTTATCTTCTAATTTAACAGTTTTCCATCATCCGAACTTGCCTCGTTACTTTTAAAATTCGGCCTAACAGGTACGTTACGGATAACGTAAACGTTCAATCATAGGACCCTCTAGCTTGATGGCGTCAGCAGCAGATCGCTCACCGCAACGTTGCCGCTGTTTATGTTTAATATTATGACAATTAGATTTTTTTGTGGAATTTTCGGAAGCTTCTCTGATTTTTGCAGTTTGTATTTTTTAAATTAAAATCGTTGTGAGAGCTACCAGAATTGCCTCCGCGAGCTACCGGTAGCTCGCCATCGACAGGTTGGCGACCACTGCTCTAACCTTTTCTTGTTGTTGCTCTAATTTAGCTTTGAAATTCTCTTGTAGTTGCTCTAGATTAGCTTTTAAATATTCATATTGTTGTATTAAATTAGTTTTTAGATTCTCTTGCTGCTCTATTAAATTAGTTTTTAAATTCTCTTGTTTTTGGACTAAGAGATCCACTCAACTGTTAAGCTGGCCTGCCTCTTGCTTGAAGTTTTCTTGTATTTGTAGCAAACCATTCATAATTTTTACCTTTGCTTTTCTATGCCTTCCTCATCGTCTTTTTTTGTCCTTTCCTTTTTATCTTCTTCTTCCTTCCGGTGTCTTTCCTTTTCCTCTTCGTTTTCCTTCTGGCGCCTTTTCTTTTCCTCTTCTTCTTTTTCTATCCGCGCCTTTCATTTTCCTCTCCCATCTTCAAAAACCATGCTGGGTGACCTGAATAACCGCAGCAGGGTAATCAGTGATATTGTCTTTCTTTTTTATCCGTACGTTTCCTATAATAACCGCAGGCTACTGCAGGGTAATATTAGTTTACAAGAGGTTAAACTTTTAGTCACTGCGATATCTTCAATATTAGAACTATGCAATTTATTTACTTTCAACAAATTTGATTTATTCGTTAATTTCTACAAAAGTACCAACTCCATTTAAATCCAGATAAGCTGCATGATTAATTTGTTATTTATCTATTTGATAAAGATTTGTTTAGTTGTTTTTTAAAAACAATATCGAAATTATGACCAATATCTATAATATTTTCCCAAAATATATTACTCATTAGTTTATATAGGGTGACAATTTAAAAATTTACTATAAATATATCTTTTTTTTATGAAAACAACACCTCGTAAAGATTGCTTAGTGGATTTAGAACAATTTACTTATTTCATTTTTCTTTTTAACATAATTTTAATGCTTGAATGCTTTTTATTTTGTTCCTGTCTTTTTAGAAAACTAAAAATAATTCCAAACTTCTTTCCTGTTTTTTTTTTAATATATTTGGGTTTACTTTTAACAGTGTGTATTTGTTTTAAGTTTTTATCTCTTTAATTTGGCGTCTCTTCAAAGATTTATTTGTAAAACATGTCTTGATTAAATTAAACCAGTATGTTTTGTTTAAAAATATTGTAGATATATTTAAATCTCAATTTTTATTTGAAAAACCTACTTGTAATACTTGTTTACAAGGATTATTAATAAAAATAAAAAATCGATAATGTCAATCAAAATAATCAATGCAAATATTAAATAAATAATAAATATGATTCGAGGATATGTATCCAGACGGTATATTATTATTTGTAATGGCGAAATATGCTTACAATTTTTGTTTACAAAAAAACGATTATTATTAAAGAACCCACTGATAAAATACTATATAAAGTAGGTTTAAGGCTTTAATTAAACACATGGTAATTCATCAGTGTTAAAGGTAGTATTATCATAAGTTTAAGTGGAAATATATTTATATTAAATATGACAATAAAAATAATCGTATATTTTTTAATATTAAGTGTTCTATATTTAGAAAGTCTCAGTGATTGTGAGTGCCAAGAAAGTATAACTTCAGTAAGTGGACGATATTCTCCGAAAAGAAAAATTTGTTCCGGTGATTTAATATTTGAAGAAAATTTTGATTTATTGAGGCTAGATATATGGAAACATGAACAGACTCTTGGGGGTGGAAGCGTAAGTAAATATTAACTAGTCTATATTATGCTCAAAGATATTCAAATCTTCAAAATCTATAAATATAATATTTGATGTAGTTATTATTTAAGAATTGTAAATTTGTGACAGATAAACTTTTATTTAAACAAATAAAAACTAGTATTCAATAAAAAATTATGTCAACAGATAAGTTCTAGTCTTGTCGTGGCCTTATATAAAATGTAGGATTGTCCCAGCGCCACTGATCGTGAAAGGTAGAATTGGAAATTCTACCTAGACATTAAAATAATTTTAATAATTATTTTGTTATTCCTTTGTAAGACGTTATTAATTAATTATATTAATATTACCAAGTAAATAAAAATGGCTCCATGTTCTTATTTAATAGTCCATTTTTAAAAAATATCATTGTTGCAAATTGAGTCAATTAGTATCCACTTGTATTTGTCCGTTCATCTATAGGGACCGTGCGTCATGACTTTAACGCCAACTGGTGACAAAAATGTGCACTTTTTGGAGGAGATTTATTAATGTTTCATACGGCATTTATTGTTTAGTAATTATTAATTAAATAAAGTCGAATTATTTTCGTAATATCATTATCGAAAAAACTTGTTGCATCCGTGGATGTACAAACATAACGCTTTGGAAACCTGGATTTGATTGGGTAGTAAAGAAATTTGATAAATTTCCACAGAGCACACTTCGTGTCTCACACCCAACGATATACATAATTACATAGATTGCTTATCCATATGTATCTATCTTGTATCAATTTTGAGCACTTAGTTGTGAAAAAATCATTTACAGAACCGGTTTATGAAATTAGAATCTTTTTTTTTGTCATTAAGATTTTTACAAATTTAAATGAATATTTTATATAAATATAATTTTACAGATAATTAATGGTTTATTCTGTTAATTAAAAGTAATGTAGAATGTTACTGTGAAATTGAGGAGCAGACCTGCAAAACGCAGTTTGTCCGAAATTTCAGTTTTTTAACTATAGATGGCGATACAATATTGAATTGAATAGCTATCGTTTCATAAAATCTTGGATGTACAAATCGCATTATATTCTGCTTTAAAATGTATTGTGAAAACCACTTGGACATGCAAAATGCATTTAGTCCATCAAGATTGGGCGTATTGTGGAAATGCAACATTTTCGTTACGTAGCCATTCTTGTATTTTGGCTACAGTTCAATTCTGTCTTGGCGGTTTGTTTAAAAGTTATGTATGATAGCTCTCGCATTATCTAAAACTATAACAGACGGTTCACTTAAATTTGGTAATAGTTTTTCATTTAACCTTTTTATAAACATATCCAAGTTCATCTTATCGTGGTAGTCTTATGATTTTGATTTAGAGGAAAATATTAATCCTGCACCATCCACAAATCCATTCTTTCCACCTGCGTGCAAGATTATGTGTCGCTTTCCCTCACCATTAGTATGTTTTATTGATTTTATATTTTCATCTTGCCATATTCTTTTCGTCCCACCTTTGGAAAATATCCAGGTTTCATCCAAATATATAAACGAAGCTCCATTCTTTTTTAAACGAGTGTATTCTCTTAAAAAATGTATTCTTTTGTAAACAAAATTATTTTTTTCACTTAAAGCTTTTCTATTATCTTCTTTCTTAAATTTGAAACCTATTTCCTTAAGCAACTTCCAAAGACTTGTTTTGCCAAATTCACCAATTTGTATTTCTCTTAAGTTAGCCAGCAATGTGTCTAAGTTGACATGTTCCTTTTTCGCACGCATTTTTACACCATATCACGAATACGAAATTTTGTCCCACCACCGACGTTTTCAGTTTTTTGCGAGGTGTTTTTCTTTTTTTTTGCTCTCTCTGCTTTTAACGTTTTTCAAAACATATTTTAATTTTGAATTAGTAATACCGAGAGCTGTATCTTTTTCCGCCGTAAAATACTTATGTAGATTACAAATTAAGTCATTTACACGTAACACGCGCTTCGGCATTTTCAGTTTCGACATACGTTCTCTTCGAAATCCAAAACTGAACTAAGTAATTTAGCACAATTAGTCCTATAACATCAGTAAAAAAATAGAACATTTAATCTTAATTTTATACCTGAGAAGGGGACTTCCGAAAATTCCTGATCATAAAGCGTTTATTGTATTCGGGGAAAACATTACCATAAACAATGTCCAAAACAACATTATAAATATTTTCATTTTTTCATGTATTAGTTTAGTAATTTAATTTTAATAAACATAATTACATACTATATAAGTATTTAATAATTAAAATATATTTACCCTCTACCCACCGGAGGACTACGCTTATTTTACTCAACTACCTGATGCGAAATTATCCTGTAGACCGGCTCAGTCGTGCATCTGTTTCTTAATCCGATATGGGTGTAAATTCAGTGAATGACCTATAATAGTTATTTATACAATGATAATATCCAATTGAAATTTGAAATAGTTGAAATTATTATAAGTACTGGCATACTGGCCTAATATGTGCAATCAAATTGGAAATTCTGGGATACCAGATGAAATCTCTTCGAAGTAAGATTTCAAAAATGTATAAAACATTCGTTTGCGATACTCTTTGCTTAACACCTCTTTGAAGAAACGATTACAAATTGTTATCAACTTATCTCCAAAGGTAACGCTCAGAAAAATCTAGACAAAATCACGAACATTGACAATAAGTTGTAAACACTGAACAATATTATTAAACTGGAAACGCATAGCTCCACACAACGTGTATCTTTTTATCAAACTGTTGCAGCAACTTCGGCATCGGTATTTACCTGTCTTTTTTTCATTAATCTATCAATGATGAACTGTCTTTTTACTGTCTTTTTACCCAACGTTGCTGCAATTGATGCAACACCAATCCATCAGTTTCGGTATGGTTTTTCCGATTAGATGTGGCAACTGACAGCTGGATTGCAAAAATAAGCAGATTTAAGGAGTTAATTAATTATTAAATTGTTTTATTGTGGGAAAAACCGAAAAAATGAGCTTTTAAAAATATATACATTCAAATTAAGGTATATAGGTACATTCAAATAAAATTATAAACACAAATTTTAATCCAACACAAGGCGTACATGGTCGCATCGGTGAAACAACGATTCCAACAAACCGATGTAAAAAAAGACAAACGTTAAATGAGTAAAACCAAATTTGGTAGATTTTCACAAAACTTTTATTTAAAAAAAAAATTTTAAATTTAAAAACACTACACATGACATGTTTCGAAGTACAACTTCTTTTTCAAATGTGACTAATTTACAATTCAGTGTCCAATATATATGCGAAGTAATTTAACTAAATAAAGTAATTAAGAAAATACATCAATAACATAACAAAATAAACTGACTATTTAAAGTAAATAAGGGTACTTAAGTAATTATAATATCAATCAGATAACAATAAGATAGTATCATTACCGGGATTATCTCACAGAAAACTAGGAAAGAAATTTAATAAAGGTGAGTTATTAATATCTAATTGCTCATTAGTAGGTTATCTGAATTTTTAAATCTATTTATTTCAAGTATTTCTAAATGGTTTAGTTTAATGCCCTTATTTTCTAAATGTAAAATTTCAAAGTTGTCTGTAAAAGAATGACCAGTTGTGTCATTTGTCACGGCTCCATCAGTTAAACTTTCACATACATTAATTAAACTTATACAAGAAAACTGCAAATTCCGTTCAAAGTACAGTATAAAAAATTCTTATGAATTAACAGAAAAATTAAAAAACATTAAATTACCTAGTAACATAAAATTATTATCATTCGATGTAACAAACTTATTTCCTAGTATACCTCCTAAAGAAACAGTTAAGCTAGTAGAAAACTTATTAGATCTTAATCAAGTCAATATTATAATCAAAGAAGAAATGCTAAATTTGTTAAACATTTGCCTAAAACAAAATTATTTTCAATTTCAAAATAACATCTACTCAGCAAATGAAGGTCTTATTATGGGGAACCCATTAAACCCGTTGCTTGCAGAAATATTTATGAATAATGTAGAACATAAAATTCATAGCAATAATTTAAGTAAACATTGTCTTTACTGGCATAGATATGTTGACGATATACTGACTGCTTTTACTGGTACTAGTAGACAGTTAAATTTTTTATTAGTTTTTATCAATACTATACACCCTAATATTAAATTTACTATGGAAACAGAGAAGGATAATTCAATTAATTTTTTAGACTTAAATATTATTAAAATTAATAAAGGCCATAGTTTTGGGATATTTCATAAGCCATCACATACTGATATTACAATAAATAATAGTTCATCTCATCCATACAAACAAAAGCTGACAGCATACAACAATATGATCCATAGATTAGTTAATATCCCCCTTACCAAAGAGAACTTCACAAAACAAATTAATATCAATTAACAAATCGCAGTAAACAATAATTTTATTTCAAAGTTAGTAGACAACATTTTAGGGAAACAACTTTTTAAACATGCTATTTAACAAGTTTATCCCATAATTAAAGATCAAAATTGCAGATATAAGACTCCTACATATATAGGAGCTCCTAGTGAAAAGGTATCATCATATTTAAAAAACCAAAATAATAACGTAGCTTTCAAAACCAATAATACGCTTGGGAAGTATATTAAAAACAATAAGGAAAAAATTAATCCTAATAATAAACCGGGGGTATATAAATTAAATTGTGGTAGTTGTCCAAAATTGTATATTGGTCAAACAGGCCGTACTTTCAAAAAGTGTTATTCCGAACATTATAATAGCTATACAAAAAACAAAAATAATTCTACTTACTCAAATCATATTTTGGCTGAAAATCATTATTTTGCAGACAACTTTGAAATTTTATATATAGAAAATAAGGGCATTAAACTAAACCATTTAGAAACAATTGAAATAAATAGATTTAAAAATTCAGATAACCTACTAAATGATTAATTAGATATTAATAACTAACCTTTATTAAATCTCTTTCCTAGTTTTCTGTGAGATAATCCTGGTAATGATACTATTTTATTGTTATCTGGTTGATATCATAATTACTTAAGTACCCTTATTTACTTTAAATACTCAGTTTAATTTGTTATGTTATTAATGTATTTTCTTAGTTACTTTGTTTGGTTAAATTACTTCGCATAATATATTGGACACCGAATAGTAAATTAGTCACATTTGAAAAAGAAGTTGTACTTCGAAACATTTTTTTAAAATAAACATTTTGTGAAAATCTACCAAATTTGGTTTTACTCATTTAAGATAATATGGATTTTCACCAAGTAAAGGGCGAAACAATAAATAGTATAGCAAGGTGGTATTTGACAGGCTGGCGCCCACATGTGCGTATCGAAGTGCACTAAAAAGGAACACCAAAATTAACACCTTTTAATTTAAAAAAAATCACTTAAAAATTACGTAGAATGCCTGAAATTGACAGTCTAGCATCCAAATTCTCATGCGTGTTTAGATTAATTATTTTATCTTTACTATAAACAAAATCTTTTATGAAATGTTGTAGGGTAACAATCAATTCCAATGGTATACAAATAACAGAAGTAATACGTATGTTGAAGATGGAATTCTACATATAAGACCTACTCTTTTGGCAGACGAAAGAGGAGAGGATTTTTTATATAACGGAACTATAGATATCAATGGCGATAAACCCACAGATTCGTAAGTGTTTTTATGTTTCTCTTCAACTATTGGTCTTTTTTTGAGAGATTGACAATTGAAGACTTTGATGCAAGAAGGAAACAATTCCCTCGAAATGTCTTAAAGTTTTTTGCCTTCCTTTTAAAATCTATAAAAAAATGTTTAATATCCTCTTATTGTACTAGAGTCCTCAATACCAACAGCTATTTTGAAATAACAATATTGTTAATATTCTTTATACATTTTTTTACCAATAATTTCATTTTGACTTTAATATTTCTCAGTTTGATACTAACAATGTAAGATAGTTAAGTTTCCAAAAAAAGCAAACTTTATTTATTAAAAATGTACAAAAATGAATCTTTAATAATTTAAAATAATTATGTAGAACAACAATGTTTATTGTAACACGATTAAAATAAAAATAACATTAATTCCCACATTGACAACGTATTTATTCATCGTCGTCAAGGTGCAAAGCACTGACTGTGCTGATAAGGCACTCCGGGCAATACACGGTGGGTTTCTATCACATTTATATATATTTATTAACTTTATTTTTTTTTTCAGTTGTACCAACTCACGTTATGACGGCTGTGTAAGAACAGGAACAAAAGATATTATATTAAATCCAATCAAAAGTGCTCGGATGCATACTGCAGAATCTTTTGCATTTAAATTCGGGAAAGTGGAAGCAAGAGCTAAAGCACCTATTGGAGACTGGCTGTGGCCTGGTAAGATATTTTAATAAAAAACTACTAAAAAAATAGGTGGTACATACAAGAGGAGTTACATACAAAAAATATTACAATAATATATTGCCCCAGATAGCAACCACACGTCTTGTGACCAACAAAATGACGTGTTATTCACGTGAAATATAACGTCAGTATGTCACAGACCAGGGCAGGCCCTAGACATTTTGGCGCTCCGGGTAAAACCTTAATTTTGCGCCCCCCCGTTAAAGGACACTCGTATTAACTAAATGTCTATGCTTAAGTAAATAAATATAATATATTAAAACAATTCGGTTAAACTTAAATTCTTCTTTATTGTACCAAATAGATTTTCCTCAGGATTTTGTAAACTGCACTCCAAACTACATTCATCAATGAGGTACGACAAATATTTTAAATTTGTGTGATACACTTTGAGATCACAGAGTTGTTCACAATGTTTGCATAATGTATATTTTTTAACTTTTTCCATAGTAATTCGATTTACCAAGATTTTTTAATAATGACGCAAAAACTTTACCAAAAGTTATAGGTTATTATTCTGCATTGTCAGTGAGTTAAACTGTCAGCAAAATACTTAGATAAAAGAGACCAGAGATATAACATACACCGGTTTTAAACCTGCGCAAATGTTGCCAATTTCTAAAGAAGGGTTAACGGAGTGGGGGAACTGGGCGGCGACACGCGGCGACCCGAACTCTGTGACAAGGACCGGACTTTGTTTATTAGCAACTTAATGAACTATTAGGTTTATTTAAAAGGTGTTTAATCGAATTTTGTATTATGAAATCAAATTATCGTGATTTTTTAATATCAAACAGATGCCACGACATTTTATGTAAAGAGAAGACCTTTTATAGAATATTTCGTTAGCGTTTATTTACTACGGACTTTTCTGCAAGAGATTACAGTAAAATGTTGAAATAGAATATATTGTTAATAGAGCAAAAAATGTTACTCATTGTCTAAGAGTATTATAAAAATACCATGTGCGCAGGCTAATACTGCAAATCTACCCTTATGAGTTGAACATTATATTTTTTCTACGGCTATTACATATTATTAAAATTTAGTCAAAATGAGAAAATGCTGTTTTGTATTGTAACCTCAGAAAAAGTATATTAAGGCTTCTTTCTTTAAGAATATTATTTATTATAAAGGATGAGTCACATAAAACTCTAGAAATGCATATGTCTGAAACCAGATAACATTTTAAAATTTAAATCTATTAAAAGTCATTTGGTCGCTAGGGATGAGTGATTATCGAAATAAATTATCGATAATTGAAAATAATCGATTATTTTCGATCAATAGATTATTTTCAAACAATATATTTTTTGTCATTTCCTTTAAAATCGACTACTTGATTATTTTTGAAAAATCAAAAATAATCGATTAATTAAAAAGCCAATCAACCGATAAATCAGTGTTTACAAAATATAATATAAATAGAATTATCGTTTATTTTAAATAATCGATTATTTTCAAATAAACCATTTTTTTTTCGTCCATGGAAACAGATTATTCCATAATCTTTGAAAAATCGAAAATAATCGATTAATCAAAAATAATCAATTAATTAAAAAATCGATTAACTGATAAATCGATTTAAAAAAAAAACAGAATGATCGATTATTTTAAATAATTGATTATTTTCGATCAATCGATTGTTATCAATAATCTATTTTTATTGTATTTCCTTTAAAATCGTTAATTCGATTATCTTTGAAATACCGAAAATAATCGATAATTCCAAAATAATCGCCTAATCGAAAATAATCAATTAATTAAGAAGCCGATTCTATGATAAATCGATTATTACCAATAATCTATTTTATTGTATTTCAAAAATATTCGATTAATTAAAAAGTCGATTAACTGACAAATCGATTTTCAAAAAAAAACAGAATGATCGATTATTTTAAATAATCGATTATTTTCGATCAATCGATTATTATCAATAATCTATTTTTATTGTATTTCCTTTAAAATCGATAATTTGGTTATCTTTGAAATACCAACAATAATAAATAATTCCAAAATAATCGCCTAATCGAAAATAACCATTTAATTAAGAAGCCGATTTTCATATTTCCTTTGAAATTGATTATTCGATTATCGAAAATAATTGATTATTAAAAAGCTGATTATCCAATAAATCGATAATTTTAAAAAAATAACCAAAATATCGATTATGTAAAATAACCGATTATATTCAATCGATTATTTTCATATAATATCTTTGAAAAATCGAAAATAATCAAATAATTAAAAAACCGATTAAACGATAAATCGATAATTTTGAATAAATGTACTTTTTCTGTATTTCCTTTAAAATCGATTAATACATTATCTTAAAAAAAAAACGAAAATAATTTATTAAAAACAGCGGATAAATCGATTTTCATTAAAAAATATCAGAATTATCGATAAATCGATTATTTTTGTAACCCCTATCGGTCGCTTGCTTTTATCTGAGCATTTAGTTCCAAAATTTAGAGATTCGGATTTTTTGATCCAGTTATTTTTGAAATCGCATTTGCTTGTATAATAAATAAATATTGCTAAATTTTGGATTTTTTTTAGTAAACGAAAATTATGTTCGAGTTGTTTAGGGGTTTGTAATGTAACATTTTATTAACGTGACTAAGGGTTGATTCCACCGTTGTGTTAAACGAAGTTTAAAATGACATTTTTACATTAACACTGTCATTTTAATCTCCGTTTAACACAACGGTGGAATCGGACCTAACTCCTGTAACTTTAGTATTTTTTTTTTGTTTATACTAGATTACTTTGTTTTAAGACTGAAAATTCAATGTCACTTTCGATTTGACCGCAAATAAGATGAACCTTGAAATTTTAAGTAGGTCATCCTGTATTTCATCTAATATTCTTATAAAAATACCTTATAAAAATAAAATTTAGCTAGCAACTATGATTCTTTACCTCTTATTTATCTACCAAAAAGGGCTAAAAACTACCTTTAGAAAACATTCTTATAAAACTACTATTTAAATATAAAATTTCGTTAGCAATAATGCCTATTTACTATTTATTTAAATTAAATGTTCAAAATTTTACCCTTTTGTAAATTTATGTAAGTAATATGAAATCTGAGTTTGTGATGCTTAATATTTATTGAAACCCCTTAATGCGGATCTGAAGTATTCAGCCCAGAGAATCATGGCGCTTTATGTCAAAACGTTAATAAATATTTACCGCTGAAAACGAATATATTCATAACAGTAGTACTTGTATTATAAGTACATACAATTTTTCAAGATACATCGTGACATTTTGAACTTGAAATTGAATAACTAGAACACTTTAAATTGCTAAAATACCAACAAATAAATCAAAAAACAGCTGTCAATGGTGATTAAACTCAGGTGGAGGTGTGATCGCTGAATGGAAATCGGAGCAATTCGGGTGGCGTCGTGCAACAATGATTTTCAATTGGTGGGTTACTGTGGCTTAAAATAGACAGCATGCGCAGTGTGCAATGTTACATCTTCGGTCTCTTTAATCTAAGGCAAAATAATTGTCTACAATTTTTTCAAAGCCACCTAAGCTGTTATTTGTTCCATGCAGGTATTTGGAAACAGCAATTACAGCTTAGCATATTTTAGGTACAAATTAATTAAAAGAAAACGTTCCATCTACTTTAGTGAACATAACTTAGGTTATAACTGTAAAATAAATTTGTTTTAAATAAGTTTTACTAATTTTATTAAACTAAAATCGGTGGAACATTCTTTCCTACCGGACAATTCTTGTACCACCCCTTAGAGTCAGGTTGATTCCAAGTAGGATTAGGGGTTAAAAATAATCTTTCAGTTTTTATGTTGTTACCCCATTTTTTTTAATAGCTTTTTGAATAAACGAACGGGGCAAATTTCTGAGGTATTATTGTTTGTAACTAGCCACTTACTATCAGATAATTTTTTAGAACCCCCTTGAGCTGTTTTAGAAAAAACTATTATATTCTATCCTTCCACTTAAATTACCCTCATTATTAATTTCCTCTGTAAAATACTGGATACAAGCTGATGACCCTTCCCCTCCCCTCCAGGCTAGCTCAAGGAACGCGGTTGCCCGGATCGCCCTACCCTGGGGCTGGTCCTGTGTCTTGTGACCAACAAAATAACGTGTTATTCACGTGACATATAACGTCATTACGTCACAGACCAGAGACGTCATTTGAGGACGTTAATTTCTCCGAGCAATTACTACTAGAGGGAGTCTTCCCCCCTTCCCCGCGCTAAATTTTGTTAGCAACATCTACTCCCCCCGAGGGGGAAAATACCTCTTCTGTAATTGGCTTATTTAATCAGCGTTGCCAAGTTTGACAGCGCCAGAAGTGTTCTGTGAGCGCCAGTTCTGACACTTTCTGACACATGTCAATTTCTTATTTGTATTTTACGAAAAATATTATTATTTATAACGTTGTAAGGGTTGTAAATATATATTTAAGATTTATTATCTCTAATAATATGGTGAAAACATGCTTTATGTGTAAAAGGCCTGTTGAAAATGCTTCTTCAAGATAATATCATAAGTAAGTACAGACACAACCTAATTATCAGAGGCGGTGCATTAGGCAATCACCTTTAATTTGCAATTAAACTTTCTTATTTTCTTATCGAAAAATTAAAATTAAGAGCAGGTACACTCCAGCTAAGTTCGTCTTTATCCGTCTCATAATGATTATAGTAAAGGTTAATTACTTATTATTATTTTAATATCACATCTTTGTAAAGTTTATTGTTATTTTTTTTAGGTTTCCTTTTCTTGATATGAGAAAGAAATACATGGTTCCAAAACATAGGAATTCAACAAGTGACCACCTGAATAACTTTTTATGCTAATGAACATTTTTCTTACAGACCTCAGGGAAGGAAAATATTAAAGAAAAATGCAATTTCGACTAAAGAAGTATAATAATCAATCCTGTCACTACTTCTACACTATATTCATCTGCTACTAAAATACTAAAACAGTAAGTTAGTAGAGAAACTTAAGTTTCTTTAAAAAAGAATGTTTAAGGAAAAAGGCATAGCTATTTTTTTGTTGACACTTTTTTTTAACTAATCTAAAAGACTAATTTTGTGTATTGCTTAAATGTTCATTTTTTGTACTTAATTTGTTTTAGGTTTAAACAAAATGAACTTCTAAGATATGCATGGAATATCCCAAAAGAGCTAAGGAAGGTTTTAAATTTCTTAAGAAAAGTATTCAGAGCCAAAAACATAAAATAGTCTTCCTGTCCAAAATATAAATAGGTATAAATAATTAGATATTATGAGTGATTTTTTATTTTATAAATAGAACATAATTTGCTTCTAAATCACTACCTAATGAACTATATTATATAGTACAAAACTAAACAAGAATATCACATTATTCATGTTTTTTTTAATTTCCTTAAAAAACGTCCCAAAAAAATGTGAATATTTGTTATTGGAGTTAACATCGTTATGCTAAAACAATACTAGAACAACTTAAATAATGTGGATTTTGACTATTTTGAGTTATGCAGATCATTATGATCTAAAAAAATGTTTGTCTGGTGCTATAGTCAGGTATAAAAACATTCATTTATTTAAACACAGTTGCAATATACATTTTATTTAGTTTTTAAGTTAAAACCTATTAGGACATCCTAAAATTACTTTTTTCGTTTGATGTGAGAATAATTATTCTACATTTTTGTTGGTGAAATAGGATATATTAAGATGTCTTACTGTTTTCTCTGATTATCTAAAAAGTTAGAACAATATACAAAGACTGTTATAACAAAAAAGAGATATACCTTTACTTAAACACACAATTAGTCAGTTCAATTGTACGATAATTTAAAGCAGAAATCCAGAAAACTTTAAAAATGTGTTTAAATGTGTGTTTACTATAACAAGGACATAATTATTAAAAAAACTTGGCACATTAACATTGACAATAGGTTTTTATAATATATATTATAAAAATCACAACGAACTACACAAAATGACATTATTAATAATTTAGCAATAAAAAAGTTAAGTACAATGATGACATTAAAAGTTGAATTTCTCGAAATACTTTTTTTAAATTGTCTCAGTAACTACCTAAATAACAAAAAAAAGAAAAACAAAAAAAAAAACAAGAAAACAAAAAAAATAAAAAAGAAAAAAAAAATATATATATATATAAAAAAAAAAGAATTCGTCGCCTAAAATATAATTATGTATAATTAATTGTATCACAACTGTTTTAACTGTTGTTTAATTGTTAATATGATGAAAATTTTGTACTTTTAATAGATTTTAGGTTCCTTCATTATTAATTATTGTATTGTTGTAATTTGTGAAAATTGTAAGTAGGTTTAGATTCGTTTTAATAACATTAGCTCTGGCCAATTGATCTTAGATCAAGGCCATCATACAAAACACACACACACACAACTACCTAGTATTTTTCTAGCACAATGATATTATACGAATGTGCATTGTGTGATATCTTATATTTTAGGAATAAAATTATATATTTTTTGCAGGTTTCTGTTAACAACGATTCCAAGAACTTTTGAAAATATTATTAAAACGGCATTTGCAAATATAATTCTCAATTAAGAGCTTTTGATCTAACATTAAATTTTTATTCTCCATAAGGTTATAGCTTCCTAAGAAGAAAGTTTAACAAGACTTACCAGACTCAAAATATCAAAATTTTACCAACCAATTGATGGTTCTACTGGTTTCCATAGGAAAATTCTCCTCGAAACTACTAAATGAAAAGTGGCAGAGGCAACCGAAGAAGGCAAAAAAGTCTTTTGCAAAATAAAAACTAGAAATTTGTTTAAGAATCTAATTATTGTTTGAAGTTTTACCAATGATAATTTTTGATAACGATTTAAGATTATGAAGTTCTATTAAGAATTTTACTCTTTGATAACCTATGTTTAAATTTTTATTAGGACCAAAATAAATTATAATTTTCATTTCAACTACAAAAACGCTCATAATATTAAAAAGGGGAAAAACGTTAGATTAGTTATGTTCAGGAATAAACTCTTTAAACATTTATCTACCTAAAATGTGTTACTTTTAGAAGGTATGTTATTAACTTTCTATTTGTACTTGTATTAATTCATTTCATTTTATTATCTGTTGTATTTTCAAATTGATTTTGATATTAATCTTATCTATTTATATATTTTTTTATACTCACATATATGTTTTTTTCATTGAAACAAACGTTTATTAGCTTAGTAAATAAAATGAATTCATGTTGTTTTATTATATGCTTGTATGAATGATTACTTTTATTTCCTTTTAAAAATGAATTTCGAAGATAAAGCCGAAACGGTGAGTGAAAATAAAAATTAGACGAAAGTGACGATATTTACTGGAGCTTTCATCTACACGCTCCTTTTCTAGCCATCTACACCTGAGCCAGCAAGATTCGTCTTCCCTCCATCCTTACATTCTCCAGATTTACAGAGAAAACGCCGTCCTCTTTAACATATCCAGACCTTCTTTGACGGGGACTATACCACTACATTATCAGCTTTATTTGTTATCCCGAGCAATTTAAATGCATTCGTAATTGCTCATTCTCATCTCTTCTCTTGTAGATTCCGTACTCAGTTTTCTTATTTTTAGTTACTTTATTTTCACAGCTTTAATTCTATAATGCTGTAACGCTACTATATGGATCCATTTATGTGGTTTATACTATTTAATGTTATTCGTAAGTGACCAACCTATTATAATAATTAAAGATTATTATATTACAGGCCTGAAGATGTTCCTGTAAGGCCGAAACTAGTCGCTCCTGTATTTATAATAAAATTGATTTTAAGGTTTTATTCTTCAATTGAAAAAATTAGACCTTTACAGTGATTTTGTTTCTTTTCCTGCATTAGACACACATAAGGCGGTATTCATTTTAAAAATAGTAAAATTAGCAAAATTTTTAGTTTTTTTTTACAATTAAAACGTTTGGACAATGTGTGTTTTTATAGATAAATGATACGCCACTGAACAAGAAGGATGTTTACCTTTCCCCTTATGCCCGCTTCCTCACTTCCTCTACAGATGTTGCTAACACAACATTCGCCTACAAACTCGTTTCCATGCTCCCTCTATTAGTAATTGCTCGGAGGTTAATTTAACGTGACGTTAAAATAACGTGAAGCTACCATATCATGTTGTGTCGCGCGCCTAGTGTTATCCAATGAAGTTGATCTCCATTGTGTGACCACAGGTTTAACCATAAATAGATATCATAATAACGTGTGGTTGTTAGATGGGACTTGACATTCTATAATAAACTCTTCACGGTTTAACAGATCTTCCTTAACCCCTATTTTTAATCAAACTATTTCTTTTATTGTTTTGTTTAAGTGATCTAGATTACTAAATTTTTTGTAAAAAGATCGAATATTTTTAATTTATGTCAGTTTGCAAAAAAGGATTTAATTCAACTTAACACCCCTTGAGACTTCATTTTTAATTAATTAGCTAACTTTCAATAATATATTTCAAATTAAAAGGTACAAGATCATAAAACTAATCAAGGCGTCATTATCGAACACTTTCGCGCCATCCCCTTTCTTTTTTAACCTCAATTTCTCTTCGTTTTTATTTGGTGGTGATCTGTTACATTTTGGAACAATTGTCATTGGTCTCTAACATAAAACTCTGCTAGCAGAAAAACTACTACAACTCTAAATAAAAAAATCTGATGTGTCCAACACATGACTTTCCTATCTAGTTATTACAGGCTTTTTCCGTTTATTGTGTACAACCTATTGCAGCATCTCTATAAATGTTTAGAGGATAAACTAAATATATACATTGTCCACATACATCTACCGCGAAACATTTTTCTATAGATATTCATTGAAAATGAAAATACTGAAAAATTTAAATTTAGCACTTTTCCTACAATTTTTCCATTACGGTCCATTTAAAAAAAATCATGTATGAACAAATATTATAGAGATCGATATCGCAAACAACTTTTATTTCAACAATTTTCATAAAAATCAGAATTTTGCACATTTTGTCCAATTTCTCGAATACGGACCATTTCAGGAAATTTTTACATAAGGCAAAAATTATAGATAATAATATTAGAAGTAACTTTTATTTGAACAATTTTCTTCTCCAAACATAAATAACAGATATATTCCATAAAATATATAAACGGCCTCCCATAAAGTACCCCCCAGATGTTCCGACTTTGTCCAAAATCTAATCATTTCACGTCAGGCCGAAATAAAACTTAAGTTTAAAATTTATTGATTTTTTCTTTATCCGTTTTTGAGCTTTCTTCAAATTTCAAAATTTACACATTTTCTCAAATATCTCGAATACGGTCCATTTTAGAGAAATTATTTATGGGACAAAAATTATAGAGAATTATATTACAAACAACTTTTGTTTGAACAATTTTTATAAAAAAAAATATTTTTTTACATTTTGTCAAATTTCTCGAATACGGACCATTTAAGGAAAATTTTGTAAATAACAAAAATTATAGATAATAAAATAAGAAGTAACTTTTATTAAAAAAAATTTCTTGTCCAAACGTAAATAACAGATATATTCCATAAAATATAAAAATGACCACCCATAAAGTACCCCCCCAGATGTTCCGACTCTGCCCAAAATCTAATCAGCTCATTAGACGCTGGAATAAAGCTTAAGTTTGAAAGTTGGTGTTTTTCTGTGTATCGGTTCATGAGTTATGCGTTATACAGACACACACACAGACACACACACAGACACACACACAGACACACACACAGACAGACAGACATCATCGCGAAAATAGTCAAAACGGATTCAGGGGACCTCAAAACGTAAAAATCCGTCGAAAACTCGAGGTCGAAAAAAATCATGATTCCTATACTTTCCTTATATCTGTATACAGATAGGAAAGTAAAAAATAATAAAACATTATTTTCTAGCCATTTGGATGATGCCAAGATGGAACAAATATTCATCATGGCCAGCGTCAGGAGAAATAGATATAATGGAAAGCCGAGGTAATAGACAATTCTTTAAAAACAAAATCAACATAGGCGTTGAACAAGTGAGCTCCACCTTACATTGGGGTCCAAACGCTAATTATAACCGCTACAATTACACAACGTTCCAAAAAAATGACGACAATCCCAATGGATGGCACCAAGATTTCCATAGATACCAATTGGAATGGCGACCAGAAAATATATCATTTTTAATTGATGACGAATACGTAGGGACTGTTACTCCACCAGAAGGTGGATTTTGGGAATTAGGACAACTTAATGCAACTGGATTAGAAAATCCTTGGAAACATGGAACAAAAATGGCACCATTCGACGACGAATTTTATTTCATCCTAAACGTTGCAATTGGAGGCACATCTTTTTTCTCCGATATGGCGGAAAACAAGCCGAATCATAAACCATGGAAAAACTTTGACGGGAGAGCCAGCATGACCGAGTTTTGGAAAGCGAAAGAACAATGGCTACCAACTTGGGATGTTAAGTCAGATGATAGTCATATGCAAGTTGATTATATAAAAGTAACAGCATTATAGAGTCGTTTTTTAAATAAATCAGATATATTTATTTAGTTTGTCAATTATTTGTTAATGTTATTTCAATTTTAAATCTATATTAGGAAGATAAAATTATTGAAGGACTTATTGGAATGACAGAGAAGTAGTATCAATCTACGTAATATCACACTATATAGGTTGTCATTGAAATAGTGTAAAAAATTTCGGAAGGTGATAGTACTCCTAAAACTAGTAAAAAAAGTTCCTACAACTATGGGTCGTTAAATACATATTAAGGGATTTAGGGGCGTCAAAAGGGCAAACTTGGAAAGTGGTTTTTTTGAAAGTGTAAGCTTAAAAAACACGATAAAAAAATACGGTACTTTCCATAATAGTAATAAAATATTTTTCACTTTAATTTCTCACTCTTTTATTATTTAAAATAATTTCGGCGCTTCTCTTGTATAATTTCAAAAAAACCACTTTCCAAGTTTGCCCTTTTATTGACTCCCCTAAATCCCTTAATATGCATTTAACGACCCGTAGTTATAGGAACTTTTTTTACTAGTTTTAGGAGTACTATCACCTCCCTTTTTTACACTATTTCAATGACACCCTGTATAATTATGTCTCAGCACAGCATTGCCAACCTATATATCTTTAAGCTTCTAATAAAAATCGTAGAATAACGGTAGAAATCATAAGAAATCGGTAGATTTAAATATATTGTCTCAAATAAAATATATTATTACAAACAGTTAAAAACTGCGACTACATAACTATATAAAATTGAAATATTACTGTTCATACTGGATGGAAAAATTTATATGGTTTGTAAATAAATGGAATAAAAACAAGTAAATAAATAGGCAAGATATATTATATATAAAATATAATAAAAATATTTTTAATTTGTACATTTCTATAAAAATATTCCTAATAATACATAAGAATAAAAACGTAGGTATTATCTCTTAGAATTAATATTTTTCATAGTATAAAAATTCTAGGATATAAAATTAAATATTTGGAAAGAAATCAAGTAAAGTGCAGGTTTATTAAATCAAATGGTAGTAAACACATAGTAATATTTAAGTATGGCAACGACGTTATGCCTTTTTGGATTTTGGTGAAGTATTTTTATTAGGAAACCCAAAAAATTTAATATTATTAACTTGTTAAATAATAATTATTTGTAATGATATATTGGTAGGTATTAAATAGCAATTTTAAGTAAGTGTGTTTTTATATTTAGTCAGTCAATAGCACTATTTAAAGGAACTAAATTGTATGGAATAATTATCTAAAAAATATATAAAAAAACAAGAGCGACATTAAAATTTTAATGTACAGGGTGGGCCATCAGTAACGCCTCGGTTTGTTGAGCCAACAATATTTATTTATTTTTTTTTAACAGCAAGATGTAATGGGTTTCTCCATTGGTTCATTTATGCAGTGAACACACAGTTAAATTTCATAAAGACACATTATTTGAGGTGGAGAAAGCTTCAGACAATGCTAGCGGTTTTATAGATCTACAAAACCAAAATTGTGACAGTATCGATATATTACAGGTAGCAACAGAAATTAGTTTTTTACAAGTAGACAAAAATATGGAAATCATTCTTGAAGATATAGAATGTGAAAATATAGGCTTTCCTGAAGAACAAAATTAGAAGCAAACACAGTAAAATACTCGCCAGAAATCCAGCACAGTCAGACAATGTAAATAATGAACATCACCAATGAAGGGAGCACAATCAGTGGTTAAACAAACATGCAAGAGGTCTTTGAATTAGTGGGCGATCTAAATAATGAATCAGGGTCTGCCTGTAATGATAATTTTACTGGAAAAAAAAGATAAAGTTAATACAAACACAGAATAACACGTTCAGTCAAACCCTAGAGTCTCTGAGTTAGAATCTGCTTCTGTTTCCAATCTTTTAAACAGTTTAGAATCTGGTACAATCGACAATTCAGAATCAGATTCAGTTTCCGCTGATGAAGAAAATTATCAAGAATTTACGGAAGCAGTCAAGGCTGAAAACCAAGAAAAGAATAATGAAGAGACAAAACTACATACACGAAACAAAGACGGTAGTACTCTTCAGAATAAAGGAGAGATGCTATTTTGGGTACAACTTGCAGTTCATCTACATGCCTCAAATATAAAACAAGGTTTTGTAGTACAATAAGTGAAGCTCAGCCATATAAAGTTACAATAGGACAAGTGGAAGAGCCGGAAGTGGCAGGTACGATTAATATCTACAAGAAGATGAGAACATCGAGCATATCCTTTACGATTGCTCGACGCTCTCATTTATTAGAAGATTTGCGTTCGATGAGTATTGGCCGATATAAGAGAAGCACCTCTTGGCGACGTTGTCAACTACATTAAATCTGTAAGCTGGCTCACGAACTAGGAGGTGCCTATCTTCTCAGGAGGATGCACAATGGGCCTAATAAGGCTTAAGTGCCATAGGGTAACCCACCCTCTACACGTTACAGATACAGATACAGAAGTGAAGCTCAGCGTGAGGCGTTGTTTAAGAAATTTTTGGATTAAATGAGTTAGGATCAAAAAAAATGTACATCGGTAAAACCAACTGGAAGAAAATACGTCGAGAATTCTTGTCGAAGCACTACCTATAATTGTTATCTAAAAGTAGAAAATGAAAAAAGCAAATGGTAGCAAACTGGTGCACAGATACTGGTCCCTTCAGCGGATGTCCTTAATAAAAGTAGGAAATCTACTCGACTTTTATCGGAAAAAAGCCCTGACACTGAAGAACTAAGCAAATATTTTCCACTTTCTGAGAAACCTTCCTAAAATGCTACTGTAGAAATAACACTAAAAAGTTATACCTTGAATACAGTTTAGAATCCAAATCCCTTTACAGAATATGTAATGAACACTGTACAACAGACCAAAAAATACCCATCAGCTCTTGTTATTTCTCTGAAACATTCGAAAACCTTAACATTGCAATTTTTCTCCCAAAAAAGATCAATGAAACACTTGTATTGCAATGTTGCATTCAAATCTAGGAATATCACTGAATCCAAAGATATCGGATAATAGATACGCCTTGTATACATTACACTTGTCCGCAACTTTTTTTTGACGGTACGCTCTTCCTATGTTGTCAGATCTCTTTCATAAAATATCAAACATTAAATTTTTATTTAAAAACTTACTATTCCCAGCTAGCACATAACGTTGCCAAGACTTTCGGCGATGTTGCATTAAGGGAACGTAATAACATTACTATACAACGTAAATGCAACGTTCATGAGAAGTTGTTGAGGAAAATCAAAACCTCGCAAAACTTCTATTTGTTATTTACCTAGTTAACCTACCTGTTATGTTAACACAACGTAATAAAGTAATTTGCTCAAAAGAACAAGAACTGTTTATGTCAATTGTCACTTGCCAATGTTTCTTGTCATATGTCATGTTTGTTTTTTTTAATTTGCAGAATTTCTTTTATAATTATTATTAAAAACATTTGAGTAGAAGTGGTAAGGATCCTCTATAAAATAGAAAACTATTTTCTGAACCGTTTTCTTCGTTTTAGATTACAATGCCTGTTGTAAATTTTATCAAAATGTCCGGGAATATTTGGATCATATTTTTGTAGTTTTCGACAGAATGAGCTGGAGCTGGTTTATAGAATTATAAAAATGTCCGGAAATATCTGATAACTTTGTTAGAAGCTAGATAGAAGGACTTGGTTTATGAAATTATAAAATGAGGACCTCTAAATACTTGAAATACCTTATGAAAGAGATATACAAAACTAAGTTGCCATGTTACTGGCCTATTTAAGGATGTAAGTGGTGGCAGTAATTCCTTTTTCCCTAGCTCTTAAAATTTAATGATTCGGAGAGTGAACGTATTAATAAAAGTATATCTAACTGTGATTTGATATAATATCTCTTTTAGCTTATGCACAATTTACCCTGTGGTTTATAATCCCCTACAAATGGTTATTAAAGCTGTTAATGTGTTGATGGTATTAACGATACGATACAATTTATCTTATGGTCCCTCTTTTAGTACTAGAAGGTGCACAGGTGAGTTTACATGTTTAATTTTTCAAGTTTATCTTAGGAATTATTTTAGGAATTTATCAAAACGAGCCACTACTTCTAAATTTGGAGAAATACTTGTGGCTGAGAAGTTATAAATCTTACTGCAATCAAACTGGTGATCGTTCAGGATGCGGTAATAACTGATGATGGCTTCTGGAGGTGCCAAAGCCTCAGCAAGGGGCTGCAAGTGAATCAAAGCTATATAAATTGAGATTCCTATGCATGTCGCTAACATGTGTGTTTTAGGTAATATTTCAGTTCAACAAAAGACCCACTAAGTTATTATACACATAATTATTCATAAGATAATTACAGTAAATGATAAATAAAGGCCTAAAATAAAATAACACTATTGGTATGTGATTTTAGGGGAGCATGGAGAGGTTGAACTTATCACATATTTAGGGGCCCTTCTTTTACAAGAAACAAAATCCACAATATGTGATTCCACTTTACTAAGAATGTAACAAACTTCTGGGTAATAATATACTTAATCGAACTAAAAATACATTTTAAAAATATTGTATTTTAGATTTCCTTTGTACCTGAAAACATTCTAAGAATTTTAGAAGCAAAATAAATACTACAGACTTGTCCAAAGAAGAATGTATAGTACGATAAATAAAACAATAGTTTGACTGTATGGCTTATATTATTCTGATTACCCTGCACTATTATTTATTCATTCTATAAAAATACTGTTCAGTACACAATTACGAAATATACAAATTTAAACCTAAAATCAATCAATATAAAAGCGAACATCAGTACCTGTCAGACTCTGACCGCGGAAGACAAATGGCAAGATTAAATATTAACACTTTGTTTCAACTCTAAAAATTGAAAAGGCACATGAAGCGTACAATGTTTATGTTCAACGATTAAATGACCTCTTCGATGCGAAGCCCCTACAACTAATACAGTCTCTCCTTTAAGCAACACCTGACCATCTAAGTTATTATCTTCGGGATACGTCATTTTCATTACTCTAGTTTGAGGATAACCCAATTTCGTATTCCCCGTCACCGTGTACGATCGACTGGGAGGAACAGGAGGAGGTCTTTCTAGATCTAATCCGAAGAGATTGCAAGTCTGTTGTATGATTTTCGCATCGCATTTCTCATTCGGATCGGGAGGCGGAGTACCCGCGATCGGTTGAGGCCTAGGTCGCGTTCCTCCTATAGCAGTCCGCGAAACTGGTGGTTGATTAGCTGATTTTTCCCGTCGTATAGCTGTCATTCGGTACCTACAATGCCATCCTCTCCAAGTGGATTGAATTAAAGTAGCAGCTTTGCGGCGAGTTTCAGCTCGAAGTTTCTCTAACTCCTGTCTAATTCCTTCGCTTAGGAAAATATGTCGTTTACCCATCGCGTAACTAGTTGAAACCGGACTGTGTTGTTTGACAATTAAATCCATTACGTGTTGTAATATTAAATGGCAATCATCGGATACTTTCTCTTCAGTTCTGTTAAGTTTAGCAAACGATGCTAAACAGCGGTATCGGATGTTGAAAGCTTTGAATCGCATTCTATGCGGATATCCGCCTGCCATAAGATTTACAGTTTCTAAAACTTGTAGGGATCTAATTTGACGTACTACCGTACCGCGTTCAAAACGATTCGTAGCTTCTTGCGGGTTGCTGCAGATGCATCGAACGAAATGCGGTCTAGCGTGAACCAAAGTTCGAAGCAAATTATCCAATCGCGTATGGAAATCTTGCGTCAAAGTCGAAACCGGTTCATCACCATTCAAAAGATCAGTATGCGATGTCGGGGAGATCCTAAAACTCACCCCTCGCGGCACCGTTTCTATCGAATACAACGCTTTAAGTTCGCTACCGAAGAGATGAGTCGCGAAACCGAAATTACAACTATGTTTATAAAAAACCGCAACTAAATCATCGGGAATCACATCTTTGTTGGTATCGAGAAAATCGGTCGCGTCGTAAATAACTTTACCGGCGAAATGCTGTATGCAGAACAACCTCGGATCGAGCGGTTTCGGATCGAATAACCGCGAATTGTTTTTATGCTGAACTTTTATTTTCGACACGTACGATTCTGCTGTGCCGCGAATCGAACACTCAACGTCTAACATGCTTAGCAAACCCGTGCGTAGAGAGGAAACTAAATCGATACACGGGACGTTATCAACGTAATCAACTTCGACTTCGCAATTAATACCTTCGTCTCTGCACGATTCGATGCTTGATTTAAAAATGTGAGTATTATAAAAGTGTTGCATCGTTTCCGCGCAGAGATTAATACATAAATGTTCCAATTGGCTGGGTTTGGGATCTTCGAAACCGAACATATCGAGAATACCTATGAACCCATCGGTAGCGTGTCTAACAGCGTTATTCAACGCAGCCATTGATTTGCTACCGGCGTTAGTACTACCACCGATAGTAGATGCGTGTTGACTCGTAACTTCCGCTTGATTATGCACGGATTCGTTGGAATCGGAACTTAACGTTCCTAATGTCGAACCTAATCTCTTAAGACTATTAGCTCTACGAACTATGGTAGCTACAGTACGGCAATATAAAGCTTTAGCGAGACAGTCTCTTGTCATGTTCGACATATTCGCGTCGCAAACTGATTTGACGAGTTGTCCGCGTGCGTTGTGCGTGCGGGAGGTGAGTCCGCGGAAGAGAGCTCCGCCGGAAACGCCCAAGAGTCCGGCTACGGCGTTTAGTTCAGTTTCGCCTTTAACGTCGACTTCGAGTCCTTTTCCGTCCATGAATTGCACGTTTCCCAAAAGTAGTACTGCTGCAAGTACTCTGACTACGTCGAGGAATGGTATTCCGAGAATTCCCAGGCAGTTCTTCCACGCTTGAAACCTGCGAATGTAAAAAAAAACTTCTTTGTTAATACATCCGAATAGGATTAGGAGTGTCAGTAATGGCAGATTTCTTCTCTGGCAGTACTCGATACTTTCGGGGATGGTGCAGGCCCATCTCCGGAGAAATAATTAGAAGCCATTACTATATCTTGCTGCCTCAATTCACATTCGAGGTATGCTCGAATTCTGAAAGACAAGAATATTTATTAATATTTCTTATCATAATGCATGTTCTGGGTACTTCATCACTAGTGTGATAAATTACCCTTGCATACTTACATGCAAGTCCTATTACCCGGTTGTCGTAGGCCCACAATTCTTAGATTAGTACGATCTCTAATTGAATCGCTTATTGTTAAAAGGAACTAAGTCACATTTTTACGTTTTTGACTTTAAAACATGAAACGAAACTTTGAAGATATTCCTTTCGTTTGGTGTAAGAAGGAACTGTCTAACTATATCGCTTGTGTACTATTTTAGCGGTAGTTATCGGCACCTTCTTTCACCAAACGAAAGAAATATCTAGTCAAAATCGTAAAAATGTGACTTAGTTCCTTTTAACAATAAGCTATTCAATTTGTCTTTAGTGAATGTCCTAGAGATCACAGCCGAGACTCCCTTGGTGTGATGGACATTCACTAGGGCGATGTCGATGCTCGCCATTTTACTCTCCATTAATGGAAATGCCGTCCTTATCGGTGAGGGTATATTTTCCCTATCGCCCTCTTTTGCTTCTTTATTTATTTCTACGCAGATATTTAAGACGTTAAAGCTCTCTATGCTCTCTACATCAATCTCATCTTTGAAAGTACTGTCTTCTTCCAATTCCTTTCTTTCCTCTATCTTTTGAAGGCCGTGTACAGGATTTTCCCAAATCGATAATAGATAGTGTGTCCATTATCCTTGATCCTTTGGTACGATATGTCATCTATTTCTAACTTAAGGATCTTGCCTTTGCCCTCGTCTTTTTAGCTGACGATTTTCCACAGTGTGGTCGATAGCCCCAAATTTTGCATCTCTATTAACTGTAGAAGCTTCTCTACAGGCTGCTTTTGACTTCTTGGGAGAAAAAGCATGGCTGTATGTGCTTTCGGAATATCGTCTTCCACACCTACATTCAACTCCACTCCCTTCCAGTTGCTCAGGTGTAGGATTTTTGCCCTGAGCCATTCTGCTGACTGTGGGGTTTCACAGTCAATTAGAGGACTGTACTGCCGTCCTAAGAAAGACCTCCGTATCTCCAGAAAACATGATTTCGAGAAAAACGCAGTTTAACATATTTTGCTTGGCCGCAAAGCTATATACGGAGAAACAATTTTCTATAATAAATTTAGGCAAAAAAAGCAAATACGTTTTTTTTTTCTTAGTACCAGAAACATGTATATGGTAATACTTTTTTTTCAATTTTTGGGTTTTTCCATAGGACGGCAGTGTAGTGCCTCAGTTGCACTACATACGCTAAAATGTCACACACTTAACACTTTTTAGCTAACCTTTCAATTTGTGGCAGTCCTAGTATGACAAAGGATAAACTCATCTCCTAAGCAACTTCGGTTGCTAAGAATCAATTATTGATCATGATATTATGATTTTTATATTTTATATACAAGATATCTTTTGGTTCTTCAAATTAAAATATACATCTTAGCAAAACCATTTGTTTATGATGGGATGAAAAATTTTTAAGATCCCACAAGGACCATTCCTTAATGGAAGTAGATGTATCCGAATTACAACTTATGCTTTCATCCATAAATGTTAAAAAACAATCAAGATGAACATGAACACAAACAATAAATTTCATGCTATCGATTGCTTATTAGCAGTCTTCGAAAAAAAAGGAGGATCTCAATTCATCTGAATATTTTTTTATGTATGTTTAGCGATAATTCTTTACCACATTGTTTGATTTAAAAAGGGGGCCCCTCAGGGGTGATCCAATATACATTTGATCAAGATCTAAAAAAGCTAAACGTAGAGGTGTTTAAGAAAAGCCTGACAAATAAAATGGAGAACATAAATACTATGAAAACTACTATTTTTATGGAGATATTAAAACAGGTATACAATTTATCAATACATAACAAAATTAATAGTTTCTGGAGCAGGGCAAAATACTGGTAAACAGATGAGATTGCTTCGCAAAGACTTGAGTGTAATAAGCTTAAGAAAAAAAGATCTAGAATAAGCAAACTTAACCCTAGAGCTGAGTGATATATAAAGGAAACTTCAAAGAAGATAGGAAAAATGAAAGATTATACAGAGTAAAAGATCTAGGAAAAACATGTGCAAAAGCGTAGAGATAATGAAGGACAGAAGGCCAAACAAGTTTGACTTGTAATGTTAAACCTTTGTGTATTTTTATCTTTCGTTAGTTGTTTTATAGCTACAGTTAACCGTTCTTTTTTATAGCGAAGAAGGATGTTAAATATTATAGTTACGGAGGTTGGCGATGCAGCCACGGCTCGCTACATAACCTGACTCAATGCTGATTGACATTAATTAAGAACTTGACTTCGATCTGACGTAATGTAATAAATTTAAAAGATAGAAGTAATATTAATAGTTTACTCTATATTATTTTAATACAATTACAACAATAATATTATGTGTCATCTTACCCCTATATTTTAGATTAAAAAACCCGTTAAATTCATAAACGTTGGAAAAACAATCAAGGTGAACATGAACACAAACAATAAATTTCATGCTATCGATTGTTTATTAACAGATTTCAAAAACGAAGGAGGTTCTCAATTCTTCTGAATATTTTTTTATGTAAGTTTAGCGATAATTCTTTGGGTGGTCTCATATAAGGTCTATTTATGGTAGAAAATCATCAAACTCCTAATTGTTTTATGTATTTCACTTTGTCCGATTTTTATGAATCTTTTTTTTATTAAAAAGGGGGTGCCTCATGGGTGATCCAATATACATTTGGTCAAGATTTGTGTTGATTTTGGGTGGGACTTTGTATTTGTGATCTTTTTAATTGTTCTTAAATATTATTATGATTATATTAGTGTTTTTTTAGTTTCATTTAGTGTTAATTTAAATTTAGTTTCCATACTTTCGTCATAAATATAATATTTATCATGTGTTTAAGATTAATTTGTTAGAAATCTTCACCTATAGGTGAAGGTGTATCTGGATGCTATACAAACCTCTAAAAATATTTGTTAACTAAACGCAAAATATCTTTTATTCTGTTTGTTATAAGAAATTGTAGGTACCTCATGTTAATTAATAATAAACTTAATTATCCTTATTATTATATTCTGAAATTAGGTTTGTGGTATTTTGTAAACATTTAAACCGATATAAAACTGTCACACTGCAGAATGCAGTTTGATTCTAGATCTAAAATATAGCTGTCAAATATACAAGTAGCAACATCTATTCGTACAATGGCTAATCTAATTTTTAGTTCGTTTATTTTTGTAGAGGTTGGTTAGCCTGTCTATACTAAGTGTCAATTTTTCATATATATGTCATATGTCTTGAGTGTGTAATAATTGTAAAAGTTACTCGCATAAATTAAAATAAAACACAAGTTTAAAGTCTTTTTCGATTCTATACCTTCGACACTAAAATTACTAGAATAGCAAAATCTGAATAATATGAATTTGTAGATCCACAACAAAATTTTTAGGACTTACGATTGGAAAATAATGAAAAATAAAGTTTTCATTTTAAAATTCAACCATTATCACAATACAAATTCCAATTTACTGAAGGATTTTTCGAAAATTTCATTTTTAATGTTAAAACAATCATACACCATAAAAAATAAACGAAAAAATTGACCTGATAATTGATACAAATTTATGTATAAATACCACGAACATGATAAAATTTTTAAATATATTTACAATTATAATTTTGATGTATTTTTAAAAATTATTAATTAGTTTGATATGTAATAATTTATAGTAAGAGAAATTGCAATTAATTTTACTGTTTCTATTAGCCTCGTGTTCTGTATAGGCTTTTTTACTAATTCCCATTGAGAACCTCTTTCGTTTTTGAAGTCTGTTAATAAACAATCGATAGCATGAAAATTATTGTTTGTGTTCATGTTCACATTAATTGTTTTTTCAGCGTTTATGAATTTATAACCCCTTCCTATTCTTAACACGTTAAAGACCGCATGTCCACCGGTGGGTCACTCCGCAACAACATTATCGGCCTTCGTTGGGACCGTGGGCACTTTAATTGAAATAAATCTAGGGGTTACATAATGTCTACCTCAAATTATTGTACACTAAAAACATATATAAAAAATAATATACGTAATTAGGAACAGCACTGTTTCAATTAGACCCCAACAGTGCATTAGAATTATTATTTAAATTATTAAATTAAATAAAAATATCTATCCCTCCAATTTTTATATTATATTGAATTGAAAGAGTACTTTACCTATTGGCATCTTCAGCAACATCTTGTCTGGTATCGCCATATTGAAGGTACCTCAAGGTAGTTATCTTGTGCGCTTCTAAGTTGAGTTTGGCTCGTTCTTCGGTCGATAGCCCAGCTAGCATTTGGTAAAATATATGGTAATTTTTTTCACCTGGTAATGGCCGTATCACACGGGTTTGGTCCAAAAAGTAACAATGGATTTTTGTTCTATATAAAGCTCCGTCGGTGACTTGCACTTCTATAAATTGACCCTAAAATTATTATATTATCTTCAGTAATTATAAAGTAAATAATAGTAAAATATGAGTTTATTATTTCTGTTTAAAAGAAAACAATAAATATTAGATAATTTGGACATTATAACGCTACAATATCAGTTATTAAAATAATAAATATATTTTTGAAAGTAGCATTCATTTTTAATAAATTTTTGTTTAGAAAACTCTGGCACTGAACTAATTAATGTTCTTGTAATACACTTTATGGTATCGTGTTTCCAGAGAATATTAAAATTGAATAAATGTTTTAGAAAAAAAAAAAAATGTAATTATATTTTTTTGAATAATGAATGATTCTTGAGAAGAAAAAGAGGAAAATAGAAAATTTTTTGACTTCTTATTGTTGAAACATTTATTGTGTGAACACAGCTTAGGTCAGTTTACTGTTGACAGATAGTGTGGTTAGTTGTCGTTTGTTGTATAACATAAACAAAAATATGTATGTTGATTAAAATTGAAATAAAGTTCTATATAAGGAAGCTAGAAAGTATTATTTATACTATAGACCATATAAATTAATAATTAGATGGTACTTACGATTCGACTGGACTCCGAATTGGTCATGGTCTTGGCAGACCCTAAGGAACGTAATACTGTAAATGCGGCAGCTAAATGCTTGAAAGCGTCAGTCTCTGGACCTCCTCCGGCAACTGCGAAAAGTTGCCTTAAAAGTAACATTGATACGTGACTTTTTCCAGAACCACTAGTTCCTAAAAATAATTTTTCATGAGACAAGTATTAAAAGTAATTTTAAAAAACCGACTTCCAAATCGTGCTGATTTTAACCAAATTTATATGAGATCACCCCTTGGGTACCCCCTTAAGAGTTTGAGGATTTTCTCATGGACCCAATTATTAAATTTTGTGCAAATTTATATGGGACCACCCCTAAAGTTACCCCTTTACTAACAAAAAAAGAATCCTTGAAATTGGACACCGTGTTAAAGAATTATCGCTGAACATATATAAAAAATGAAAAGTTTGAAGATTTTCCAATGAAGCTAATTATTGGATCTTGATTAAATTTATATGGGACCACCTCTAAAGTACCCCTTTTTTACAGAATAAGAATTATTGAAATCTGAGAACTTATTAAAGAATTATCACTGAACATACATAAAAAATGAAAATTTTGAAGACTTTCCAACGGAACCAATTATTGGATCTTGATTAAATTTATATGGGACCACCTCTAAAGTACCCACTTTCTTACAGAACAAGAATTATTGAAATCTGACAACTTGTTAAATAATTATCGCTGAACATACATAAAAATGACGAGATTGAGGATTTTCTCATGGACCTAATTATTGGATCTTCATTAAATGTAAATGGAACCACCTCTAAAGTATTTTTTGATGGTCTAACTACGAGGAGAAAAATAAGAAAATATATAGTCATTGTCATGCTGTTTTTGGAGTCAAGTCTATTCTTGTTAGCAGTCATTACTAATACTAATTATCACTTAGATAAAACTTCGTGTTAAATAGATAATTTTGTAACAAGTGTTAATCCTAAAGAAGAGTTTGGTAAATTATTGGGACCGCTAATTTATCTACTGCGCAAAGTCCTGGTGTCAGTGTTTTCTAATTGAAAATTAATTTTTGTTAATTTTTATATCTTTTTAATTAAAAAAAATATATATGTCAACGAATTTAATGAGCGTTTAGACCAGTGGTCGCCAACTTGTCGATCGCGAGCTACCGGTAGCTCGCGGAGGCAATTCTGGTAGCTCTCACAACGATTTTAATTTAAAAAATACAAACTGCAAAAATCAGAGAAGCTTCCGAACAGTCCATATGTTATACTTCGGTCTCCGTTGCTAGAAAAGGAAATATTGAGAGACATCATAAAACTGTACATTCTAATTTTGAAAAATCATTCCCACTACATTCTGTCGCCAGAAAGGAGAAACTGAAACAGTTAAAAAAGCAGTTAATTGGACAACAATCAATATTTTTATGAACAGTCGACAGAAATAAGGAAGGCTGCAACTGAAGCATTGTACCGTGTGTCCCAGATAATTGCACAAAAAAAGAAACCTTATGAAGACGGGGAAATGATAAAACAGGCGTTTTTAGAAGCTGCTGATTCGTTATTTGCCAACTTTAGAAATAAAGACGAGATAGTTTCAGCTATAAAATCTATGCAACTTTCTGCTAATACAGCGATGAGACGTGTAGAAGTAATGAGCAATGATATTTTTTTACAGTTAAGAACTGACTTAGATAACTGTGTTTATTTTTCACTTCAACTGGATGAATCAACAGATGTCGTTGACACTGCCCAGATGGCCGTGTTCGTCAGGATGGTTTTTAGTGATTTTACGATTAAAGAAGATCTTTTGAAGTTTATTCCACTGAAAGGACACACTACTGGACAGGAGTTGTTTTCTCATTTAAAAAATATTATTTCTTCAGAAAAAATATCTCAAAATCCATTAGAACCCTATGACAGCAAATATCATGTAGAAATAGTTTCTACCCTAAAGAATAACTTCAAAAATCGTTTTAAGGAGTTCAACGAAATGGCTTTAGTAGCGCAGTTTGTTGTTTCACCCTTTATGGAAATTGATATCCAACAGTTTGCAACTTGTGTTATGCAGAACTTTGGCGAAGACATCGCTGCACCAGAAATGGAAGTAATTGAGTTTCAAAATGATTTAGCATTAAAATCGTTAGTCTCAAGTACCAAATGTATCTGGCCTATTGTAAGTAAAGACAATATTCAGTTCTATGCCGTGTTGCCTTGAAAGTGAAAGCATTATTCAGTTCAACCTATTTGTGTGAATCTTCTTTTTCTAATATGAAGTTTATTAAGAACAAATATCGCAATCGACTTACAGATGAACATTTGGATAATTGTATTCGAATGACTGTATCAAATTATACTGCAAACATTAAAAAAATTATCGATGAGTCTGAGTGTCAGCCTTCTCATTGAACGTGCTTTTTTATTTTTCAATGTTTATGTTCATGGTAGTGCGTTACTTTTTTGTTGTTATTATTAACTATTTTTAAATCTTACGTGACATGCCGTTGTGGCTGGATAAAAGTTTGTGTTTATTTTTTAAACACCTTCGTTTGGTAGGTTGGAATGTAGCTATGAACAAGTACGTACTAGTAATATTAGTTATTTTGTTATTAGTTTATCAATAGTACCTATGTATTACCAGTTAAATAGTAAAATAAATACATATAATGATAAATTAACTGTGGATTATTTCATTTACGTTGCGTTACGTGGCTTCCGTGTGGGTAGTTCGCTGTTTATTCCAAAATTAACAAAGTAGCTCAACACATTGAGAGGTTAGCAACCACTGGTTTGGACTAATGAAAATAATTTTAGTAAAAAAGAGTAGTAAAATGAAAATAGCTTACCGGATAAAATAATGGCTTGCGGATACCCAGTCTCCGACTGTTGTCGAACGGCTTCTTGGACAACCTTGTTCAGCTGTGGACTTAGTGCTATGCTTCTTGTACTGCTCAGTGTCAAGGGATTTCCAACGTCCCTGTATGGATTCACACAAAGAAGAATTGGACCTACGTTAGTCTGGAACGAAATATTACTAGTTAGTTATAATTTTTACTATTCTAAATCTAATTTGTACTTTTGTCATTTTCAAAAGATGTTATAAATGAAATATTTAATACGCGAATAAAATTAGTAAAATCTTAATATTGAATGATTCTTAAAGAATAAGTTATGCCATTTTCCCAGTTTTATTTTATTTTACACCCTTGAAGAAAATTCCAAATTTATGATATCTTGACAAATTTTATAAAAAATAACTGCAAATTCTGATTAAAATATTCTAGCAGACGTTGACATAGTTAACAAAGAACGTGTAACATGTAAAAAAATAATATTTATATGTAGATATACAGGGTGTTATTGAAATACACGTACATATTAAAATGGGGAATAGTATGTAATGACCAAAAACGATTGGCACCAATTTTAACTTCAAATTCTAAAATTTAAATATTGGGGAAGAGTCCCCTTTTCCGACCTACTAGTTTCCATATTTAAAGAAGTAAAATAAATCGAAATTGAACTTACCCATAGAAATTGCACTGTTGCCGTAGCAAAACTTAAAATAAAGTTTATTACAGTAATTGTTCAAAATGCCGTCCATTATTATTTACACACACTTGCAATCGTCTTTCCAAAGAACTTTGAACATTAGAAATTAGTCTTGGATTTTGTCGTAGTTCCTCGGCTACCGCATTAACTTTATTGGTTAATTGTTCAACACTATTAATGGGTTCATTATAAACCAGTTGTTTCATGTGACCCCACAAAAAGAAATCGCATGGATTTAAGTCCGGAGATCTCGGAGGCCACTTAGTAGGTCCATTTCTGCCTATCCACTTTTGAGGAAATCTAATGTTCAAAAACTGCCGTACGTTTAAATCAAAGTGAGGAGGAGCGCCATCTAGTAGGTACCACATCCGTTGCCTTAATTGTAACGGTATCTCTTCTAGGAGTACTGGCAAAATATCTTCTAAAAAGTGGAGATATCCTGGCCCATTTAATCTGTTCGGGAGAACATAAGGCCCGATTAAATACTGATCTATTATGCCAGCCCAAACATTTATTGAAAATTTTCTTTGATGCCCAGTTTCCCTAATGGCGTGAGGATTTTCATCACTCCAAATATGCGTATTGTGCATATTGAACACGCCATCACGAGTGAATGAAGCCTCGTCAGTATACAATAATATTTTTAGAAAATCAGGAATATCAACACATTTTTAAATCATCCATTCACAAAACTCCACTCTCTTTTCTTCATCACCTGGATATAAGGCCTGGACTTTTTGGATGTGATAAGGATGTAAACCTTGTTCTTTAAGTGTCCGCCACACAACAAATGAGGACACTCCAATTTCAAGACCTAGTCTTCTACAACTTAATTGAGGCCGGTTTTCAACAGCTTCCAATATTTCTTCTTCGGCCGCCAATGTTCTTTGTGTTCTTGTTCTCCCTCGATCTGCATTGACACTCTCAAATTTTCCATGGTGAACAGTTGAAATAAACGTACGACAGTCCGGAATTCTCCGATTTGGAAACCGTTCGCGATACAGGATTTGTGCTTGCCGAGAATTTTCTCCAGCTGCCCCATAAACCAGCACTATATCCGTTAGTTCAATATTCGTAAATAGTGGCATCGTAAAAAAATATTTAAAAGTAATCGTAACAACACTTTTTACCAACTTGGAAATGACGCGCTCGTGTTAGCCAGATTCGTAAATCAACTAAAATTTTAATAATCTATAGTTTCAAAAATGTATAGTTTAAAAACAATCATTTATCAAATATTCTAGTTTTTTGATGAGGGTAGTAAAAACCAGTCTTCGGAAATAGAAACTAATTCGAAAATCTTGGCAACATGGTTATTTCTTACAAGACTAGTTTTCTTATCATCTGACAAAAACTTGCATATTAATTACTGTTGATGTTTAAAATAGGTAAATAAACCTAATTTATATAGGTCATTCTCAACATATCAGTGAAGTACGTTTGTTTTAGAATTAATTTTCAAAAATTAATAACTCCCTTAATAAGGGGTATTTTTAAAAAATAATATTTTTCTACATTCAGTGGGGATCTGCGCAATACCCAGTTTTAATATGTACGTGTATTTCAATAACACCCTGTATAGTAAAATAACATTTTTAAATTGAGGTTGCCGCTTGGGAGCTGAATTATTGTATATATTTTCAACAATATGCCTCCGGGTTTTCTAAAAACAATTTCCACGCTTTCAATGATTGGAATAATGCAGAACAACCGTTATTCTATATAGATTCAGAGGCGGTACAATCGTATTTTTTAGACATGCTAAAATTTGTACTGAATCATTATATATTCATATAAAAACTACTTTAAAATGAACCGACAATGCACTATCATTTTCAAAATTCAATTAAAAATAAATTAAAATGAAATTAAACCACACACAACAGTTATCCGTTACTGGTAAACCCATTTGGTTACTAACAGCAATGTTGCCAATAGTAGAAATAAACAGAAATTTTAATTTAATTTAGAAAAAAATCGAGTACAAATTTCGTTGCGCTACAAATCTAACCTTATGAGTTGAACATTATATTTTTTCTACGGCTATTACATAATAAAAATTAGTCAAAATGAGAAAACGCTGTTTTGTATTATAACCTCAGAAAAAGGTATATTAAGGCTTCTTTCATTAGGAATATTAATTAATATAAAGGATGAGTCACATAAAACTCTAGAAATGCATATGTCTGAAACCAGATAACATTTTAAAATTTAAAACTATTAAAAGTCATTTGGTCGCTAGGGATGCGTGATTATCGAAATAAATTATCGATCATTGAAAATAATCGATTATTTTCGATCAATCGATTATTTTCAAACAATATATTTTTTTGTCATTTCCTTTAAAATCGACTACTTGATTATCTTTGAAAAATCAAAAATAATCGATTAATTAAAAAGCCAATTAACCGATAAATAAGTGTTTACAAAATATAATAAAAAAAAGAATTATCGTTTATTTTAAATAATCGTTTATTTTAAATAATCGTTCATTTTAAATAATCGATTATTTTCAAATAAACCATTTTTTTTCGTCCGTGGAAACAGATTATTCGATAATCTTTAAAAAATCGAAAATAATCGATTAATCAAAAATATTCGGTTAATTAAAAAGTCGATTAACTGATAAATTAATTTTCAAAAAAAAAGAGAGAGTTATCAAATATTTTAAATAATCGATTATTTTTCATCGATCGATTATTATCAATAATCTATTTTATTGCATATCCTTTAAAATCGATAATTCGATTATCTTTGAAATACCGAAAATAATCGATAATTCCAAAATAATCGCCTAATCGAAAATAACCAATTAATTAAGAAGCCGATTCTATGATAAATCGATTTTAATCAATAATCTATTTTATTGTATATCCTTTAAAATCGATAATTCGATTATCTTTGAAATACCGAAAATAATCGATAATTCCAAAATAATCGCCTAATCGAAAATAACCAATTAATTAAGAAGCCGATTCTATGATAAATCGATTATTATCAATAATCTATTTTATTGTATTTCCTTTAAAATCGATAATTCGATTATCTTTGAAATACCGAAAATAATCGATAATTCCAAAATAATCGACTAATCGAAAATAACCAAGTAATTAAGAGGCCGATTCTATGATAAATCGATTTTCCAAAAAATAAAACGAATTATCGATTATTTTCTAATCCTTTTTTAATATTTCCTTTAAAATTGATTATTCAATTATCGAAAATAATCGATTATTAAAAAGCTGATTAACCAATAAATCGATAATTTTAAAAAAATAACCAAAATATCGGTTATATAAAATAACCGATTATATTCAATCGATTATTTGCATATAATCAAATAATGAAAAAACCGATTAAACGAAAATCGATAATTTTGAATAAATCTACTTTTTCTTGTATTTCCTTTAAAATCGATTAATACATTATTTTAAGAAAACAAAAATAATTTATTAAAAACAGCGGATAAATCGATTTTTATAAAAAAATATCAGAATTATGGATAAATCGATTATTTTTGTAACCCCTATCGGTCGCTTGCCTTTATCCGAGCATTAAGCTCCAAAATTTAGAGATTCGAATTTTTTGATCCCGTTATCTTTGAAACCGCATTCGATTATATAATAAATAATAAATATTGCTAAATTTTGGATTTTTTTAGTAAACGAAAATTTTGTTCGAGTTGTTTAGGGGTTTGTAATGTAACATTTTATTAATGTGACCAACTCCCGTAACTTTAGTATTTTTTTTGCTTATACTAGATCATATGGTGCGTTTTACTTTGTTTTAAGACTAAAGATTCAAATGTCACTTTTCGATTTGACCGCAAATAAGATGAACCTTGAAATTTTAAGTAGGTCATCCTGTATTTAATCTAATATTCTTATAAAAATACCTTATAAAAATAAAATTTAGCTAGAACTATGAATATTTACTTCTTATTTATCTACCAAAAAGGGCTAAAAACCACCTCTAGAAAACATTCTTATAAAACTACTTTTTAAATACAAAATTTCGTTAGCAACAATGCCTTTAATTTAAATTAAATGTTCAAAATTTTACCTTTTTGTAAATTTATGTAAGTAATATGAAATCTGATTTCTGATGCTTAATGTTTATTGAAACCCCTTAATGCGGATCTGAAGTATTCAGCCCAGAGAATCATGGCGCTTTATGTCAAAACGTTAATAAATATTTACCACTGAAAACGAATATATTCATAACATTAGTACTTGTATTATAAGTACATACAATTTTTCAAGATACATCGTGGCATTTTGAACTTGAAATTGAATAACTAGAACACTTTAAATTGCTAAAATACCAACAAATAAATCAAAAAACAGCTGTCAATGGTGATTAAACTCAGGTAAAGGTGATCGATGGATGGAAAAATCGGAGCAATTCGGGTGGCGTCGTGCAAACAATGATTTTCAATTGGTGGGTTACTTTGGGTTAAAATAGACAACATGCGCAGTGTGCAATGTTACATCTTCGGTCTCTTTAATCTAAGGTCGTGTTCGATGACCAATAAGTAGTAGGTACCTATAAGAGTGTACTCACGTAAAAGTTGGATGCTTGAAATCGCGCCTGCAAACATTTCATGACTGCATCCTCGGTAAGCGGTCCATGTAGATGTATTAGGTCCTCAAGGTTTGAAGACGTCTTGGTGAGCACTTGAGGTCTTTGTTTTTGAGTTACTGGAACCTAAGAGAAATAAAAATAAATAATATTATTTTTAAAAGATTAAAAAATAAAAATAATATAAAATATCTGTTTTTTGTATTTTTTTATGTGTTTTTCTTACTTCAATAATAATCCTAGTACTATTTTCGGCCTGAATGAGTAACAAACTGGATTAAATACAAAATATTTATTTATAAAACAAAGACAAGAACTATTTTTGGTTCTTCATAAGAATAATTCATTTTTAATTATATTTATGTGTACCAATGATGGAAAAAATATATAATAACAAAGGAATTTATGTAGACCATTAATTAACATAATATAATAATAATAATAATAATAATATAAGGTATATTACACAAGAATTACATTAATTATTTATTCTAAATACATATAAGTGTAAATAACCTAGTAAATCCACTAAGGCTAAGCCAGCACGTGGATTTGCCATTGACACTTTTTTTTCTCTTATATACCTATTCAATTACATTTATATTTATAAAATTTCAATAAAATGATGAAAATAATAGTTATTAAAACAGATATATTGAATCATATTAAAAAAGAATAATTATAAAATAATAATAATAATAATAAAAATAATTATAATCGATTAAAAACATTGAAATTACAGGATAAATATATAAAAATTAAATATTAAAAACTAAATACATTTATTTAAATGAATATCACAATTTTTTATACTAAGAATTGCATAGGATCGACTACGGCGTGAACTTCATGCCTATTCATTTGCAACATGTGTCTTTTTATTTTATTTTTAAAAATATTTACGGATTTTGTTTCTCTTATATGTACCGGCAGATAATTAAATAGTCTAGAAGAGTTATGTACAAATCCCCTTTGGCTTGTTTTTGAAAAGTAGTCTACATGAACGAGATTATTAGTATTTGCCCTAGTTTTATATTGATGGTCTATATATTTGAGTTAATTTTTATTTTTATAGGTTTCGATACACATTTTTAGAAAATAAAGTTGCCGTATATCTAGAAAACCAGATTCCTTAAATAGATTATCCGAGGAGTACACTCGAGGCTTACCTAAAATAATTTTAATAAATTTTTTTTGTATTATATCTATTTTTTTTATGTAGCAAGTCGCAGCTGCACCCCATCCAATTATTCCGTACGAAAGTCTAGATTCTATCAGTGCATGGTACATTATTTTCAATTGTGGCAATTCTAAAATACTCTTTAGCAATCTAAATTTGTACATAAAACTTCTTAAAGTATTTGTAACTTTTCCAATGTGAACATCCCATCTCATATGACAGTCTAAATAAATGCCCAGATATTTTACAGATTTGGAAGATTGTATTCGGATTTCAGTACCATGATTATTGATGCTCAAGAGATTGTATGTAGGTAGAGTATTTTCGTAACATGCAAATGGCAAAAAGTGTGTTTTCGAAAAGTTGATGGTAAGTAATTTCTGATTGAAGCAGTCAATTAATTTATTTATATCAAGTTCTACCGAATGTTTTAGATCTTTCCAACTAGACGATTCATAGTAGATCACAGTATCATTTGCGAAACTAATTATTGTTCCTGATGATGGTAAGTGTAAGATATCATTTAGATAAATTGTAAAGAGTACTGGACCCAATACAGTTCCCTGTGGTACTCCGTACTCAATTATTGTTTTATTACTAAGAGTATTATTAATTTCAACATGTTGTTCCCTACTGCTTAGATAGGTTTTTAACAAATTATAGGATACACCCCTAAAGCCGTAATCAAACAAAGTTTCTAGCAACTGCTTGTGATCCACAGTATCAAAGGCTTTCGCAAGATCTAAAAATACTCCCATACTTGCCTTTCCTTTTTCTAGGCCTAAGTGGATTTTCGACGATAGAACTTTTATAGCATCTGTGGTACATTTGCCTTCTCGGAAACCGAACTGATTTTCCGATAATAATTTATGTTTCGATAGAAACTCTATTATTCTGTTTTTAATAGTTTTTTCAATTACCTTAGCGAAGTTTGATATAAGACTAATAGGTCGATAATTAATTACCAATTGTTTATCTCCAGATTTGTAGATGGGTTTAAATATGCCTGTTTTAAATATAGCCCGAAAATGTCCTTTACATAAAATATTATTTATTAAATGTGTTAGTGGTTTAACAATGTATTCTTTAGTTTCTTTTAAAGTTTCACTTGTGATTTTATCATCACCTGGAGATTTTTTAGATTTTAAATTATTTATGTAATCTAATATTTCTTTTTCTGTTGCAGGTTTCATAAAGATTGTGTTACTATTTTTAATGGTTGGTAAAGGGTTAATTTGTGGTTTTGAGATTTTATTGGCATATGTTCTACCGACAGATGAATAATGATTATTAAATATGTTTGCAATTTCATAAGCATTTGATGTTAGTCGATTTTCGTTTTCATCTTTTATTTGTGATACTTGACAACAATTTTTATTGCCACTTATCTCTTTTACTGTTTTCCATAAAGCACTCGAATTCTTAGAATTGCCTATTATTTTATTTTTATAGTACGTAATTTTTGTGTCTTTAATAAGTTTATTTAAGTAATTTCTATAAATTATGTATTTATTTTTTAATTCTAAATTTAACGGATTTTTTTTGTAATTTATAAACATTTGATCTCTTTTATTAATACTATACACAATACCTTTTGTGATCCAAGGTTTCCTTTGTACTTGAGTGTGTTTGATTTTTTGTATATTAGTGTTTTTATCTATAAGTGACTGATATCTGTTTACAAATAATTTTGCATATTCATCTACGTTTTCTATAGAGTAAAGAAAGTTCCAATCGTAGGTTTTTAGTTGTTTTTTTAGATTAGTATAATTAATATATTTTTTGGTATTATTTAAATTGTATTTTGCGGAAACATTTTTAATGTCGATAGGAATATCAACAGATACCATATAGTGGTCAGTAACTGATAATTGTATTGTTGATGCTAACACATCTAAATTATCTTTTGTGTTTTTCAAAAATATATGGTCTCGTTATGCAATTTATAAGAGAATTAAAATTAAATTCATAAAAATTATTTAGATATTCATAGGTATCATTATCTTCATTTAGAATGTTAAAATTTATATCGCCTATTACTAGATGATAATTACATTTATATTTCTTTATTTTTTGTAAATATTCCCTAAATTCTCTATTAAATATTTTTTTGTTTGTGCTTGGTGATCGATATATAGCTGTTAAATAAATGATTTCCCCATTTATTTCAATATAAATACCTATAATCGCATGAATTAAAAAAGTAGGTATTTATAAAAAATAATACATAATTTCCAATCCTCTGTAATATTGATTGACAAAATGTAATTGTTCTTCGATCATAATGTTTATTTTTATTTCACAACAAAGTCATACATCTAAGGGTAGCTACATTGTTTGGAATCATTATATTTTGGGTAATATAATTGGTTGAATACTTATAGATATTATTTTTTATTACAATTTTTACCGCGAACTAGTGTTAAATTATTTTTAAATCATTGTTTGATCTTTTAACTTAATATTTTAAAGATAATGTTGTTCAATGATAAACAGATTGTATTTCAAATAGTTATTTAGGTGCAAATACAAAAGGAGTTAAAAATACAAAGCATTTTTAACCTTAAAAAATGTATAATAAATAAATTAAGTACGGCGCTGTACAAATTTCATCTATAGGCGTTACATTTAAATATTACAATAATATGTCACATTTTTTACGATGTTGCTGTGAAAAAAAGACATTTAATTATAAATCAAAGTAAAAACGTTGAAATGGATTCACAGACTGTGTGTAAGTATAGCGAACAGACTGTATTTTGCGGGATCTCGCTTCGCTCGTACCGCCAATCTTTAGTCGTTACACAAAATAAGCAATTTAATAACTGGTTATATAAACAACTATTAAAAGTTTGAAAAACGAGTCACAAACTGGATTAAATTCAACTTTTTCGGACAGCGGTTTATCTGACAGACCAATCAACTTTCATAGCAATAAATTTGTCTAAATAACAGAAAAATACTGAGTCTACCGTAACTAAATATGATTGAAAATGGACATTACATTATGTTAAAATAATTATCTTTCTGTTCAACATTTGGTTCAAGTATTTATGCAAAATTATGTGGCATAATATTATAGGTTATGTTATAATAAATCATCTTTTAAAGATATATAATTAAGTCAGGTATTCAGATCTGACCTTAACCACATTTAATTTTAACCGGAAATGCCAAAAGTTGAGTAATTACCTATAGTAAAATTAAATGTGAAAGAAATATAATTTACATTTTTTTTTTAATAACGAAACAAAGTTAAGGGCGGCGTATTAACATATCTCCGACTAAGTTTAGCTGGACAATTTCGGGAAGTTTTTAAAAAATCATTAACACGTTGACTGCCACGGCAATTTTAAGACATCTGGCCCAAAATGATAATTTGATTTAATCACATTATTTTATTTCTTGAATTTGAATTAATTTTTATTATATTTTTTAATAAATTTTCTGTTCATACAAGCCAGCATTGTCTTTTTGCTCTTTTCCCAAAAGCCATCTATCGATATTTTTCAAGTTTAATCGTAGCTGCACCAAAATGGCAAGTAAACACAGAACGAGATAACTCGTAGTTGGCGTCCTAGATAAGAATGCAATCTACGAGTTATTTCGTAGTTGGCAGTCAACGTGTTAAAGGGGGCAAAAAAAATCAACTAATTATTAAAAAAAGGTTTAATATATTTTAATATTAGGATAATATCCAAAATAACTGCCGTCCCTTCTTAATCAAGTTGACACTAGTTAACTAAATAGTAAACATTCAGTTTCATGGACAAACATGGCTAATTTTTTTCTTTATTTAATGTTGATTTTAAAAATGCAAACACAGATAAGATAATTGGCAGTGGTTTAAGAGCAGAGGCGTACGAATTTTCGCGACTGCAGATAAATAAGGTAAGAAGAAACATTTATGATGATAAAAATTACCGTCTGAAATATGGTGATTATAACCTATTTAGAATCCATTATCGAAGACAAAGAATAGGCACCTGATATAAAAACAAAGGATATTACCCAAAAAAATAAAAACAAGTAGTTTAACTGATTAAATATCCATAATTATGTAAAGGAGAACACATTGGAATCTAACGAAAAAACAAATAAATGACAAAATACGAAGTATACAGAATATCAAATAAGAAATGTTCAGTAGTTTTCAGGATTGTTACGGATTTATTTTTTAAAGTGTTGCAACCTGTAACAAAATTGTGTAGCACTGTTCACCTGCGATTGATAGATGGTGATAGTGACAGTTGACAGCAATAATTTAAAATACCGTTGATGCATGCGACACACCTTTTGTCTAATTCGCGATTTATTTCTTGAGTTGTAATTCTTTTCATTGGTTTAAATCTAATATTGTTAGTAGTAGCTACTAGATGACAGGTGCGACCAAATTTTTAACTAATTTTATTCGAATAAATTGGTATTTTTGGCTTATAGTGTACTTTTTTTGTATAGTTTGTTAAATATGTGTTAAAAAGCAATGAAATTGCCGATTGGTGTGCAGTTTCTCGATAAAATGTGTAGCATTCTACACAATTGTGCAGCTTGTAACAACCCTGGGGTGGTTTCATCATTTGTATTTGTAATTACTATAACCAGATAATATCGTTTGGTATAGTCTATTTTTATGTATGAGAGAGTATTAAAATAATAAAGCGTTCGTAATCCATAGGCGTACCACTTCTTTTAGTAGACAGTTAAAATATTTTTTGAAGTTATTCCTCGAGTATACACTTATATTTTCACCTAATTAACCTGCTTATAACTTCTAAACAGCTGAAGGTAAAAAAGTTCAATTTTTTCTAAAATGTTTTATTTTTCTACAAGGTATGTTAAGAACATTGTGTCAAACGGGTTATGTAAGTATAAGGGTTTAAACTTTGACTTTTAAACAACGTTACGTTCATAAATAATAATTTTAATATAAAAACTACTTCTTACCTACAAATACAAATCAGAATCGAAATCAGAAGATGAACTGTCGCAACCAATATTTACAATGAGTGGTTCGATCATTTCATCAGTAATATTCTCCAACTTCCACATTTTCTCTTCTTCTTTAATAGTATGATTTACTGCCTTTTCCCAGTTTTCAGGCTTCACATTATTTACAGCCTCCAAAAACAACTGTTTAACATCACTCATTTTAAAAGAATAATTTTTTCTTAAAACTTCTCCCTTTATCTATGCCCATATCAGTTCAATCGGGTTTACTTCGCAATGATATGGTGGTGATCTAACCACCGTCATCCCACGATTTTTTGCAATTTCATCAATTTCATATTTTTAAATTTCTCCTTATGAAGGGAACACAAATGATACAGTTCTTTTCTCACAGAACCGGCATGGAACTTAATATTCTTTGCATTTAGCCAATTCTGTAAATCTTTTTTTAACCACTTGGTTGTGGGAATTTTTTCTATAAGTCTCGAGTGATAACTTGTATTATCCACTACTATTATACAGTTCTGAGGAAGAAGATCTATAATTTGTTCGAACCACTCTTTAAAGACGTCAGCATTCATGTCCTCATGGTAGTCACCGGTACGAGTAGATTCAAAAGTCAATAAACCACCTTCAACAAAACCGTTTGAACTACCGATGTGTACTATTATTAGTCTGCGCCCCTTTCCTGATGGTGGATTTAAACCAGTAGATAAATTATTTAAAAAAGCCTGTCTTCGACTTGTAACAGTTTCATCTTGCCAAAATTTATTTGGTTTATGTCCCTCGTTGATCCATGTTTCATCTAAATAAAATATATTTCTTCTTTGGTTTCTCATTTCTTTTATAGTCCTTAGGTAATTTCTTCTCCATACTACAATATCGCTTCTTTCTATTAAAATAGACTTTCTGGAATGCTTTTTCCATAGAAAACCTATTTCTTTTAAAAGTTTCCATAGTGTGTTTCGACTCATTTAAGGGTAATCCTGATCATCTCGAACCGTGGCAAGAACTTTGTCTACTGTCGGAAATTCTTTTCTAAAGAAGAACGCATGCACTTTCCTTCGAAGTCTTTCTTTCAAAAGATTTTCTAATTGAAATTTTGGTTTTCCTGGAGCTTTACGTGCTGTTTGAAACTCGCCACATTTCTCTTTAACAACTCTGTAAATCGTAGATTTCCCAACACTAAGCGTACTACTAACTAATTCCACTGTGTCATCAACACTTTTACATAAATGTTTGTCTGTAAATGATTTAAAACAATTAAATATTAATGTTTTTTTCATTAACTGTTAAAGGACCGATTTTTTGTCGTTTACGCGGCCCTTCCAAATTTTCCATGATCACACTAGAATTCACACTGCACCTTGCAAGTTGCAACTAAACGACATTTAGTAAACTGTCAAGAATACACAACTTGGACCTCCTTACTAAATGGAAAACCTATAATCGCATTTTCGGTGAAATTTGTTGGGAAGGTATTTATCTACTTATAATTCGATTACTGTAAGAAATTCATTGAATTAAAATAAAACAAAATTGGCAAATATGTACTTATTGAAAATAATCTTAAGATACAGCTATGTAATCTTTAATACACAGGGCTTTTGGCCTGTCCAAACCTTTTTCTATTGTTCTGTACAGCTTATGTTTATAAAGGACCAATAAAAGACCCAAAACTTGTAATAGCTCAGGTACATTTATTACAATTTTAGGAAATATTTAGATTATTCCGTAAAAATATTTAAAATGTAGTAGTTTTACATTAGAAATGCTGTTTTATTACTCTCTTATACATAAAAATAGACTATAGAACATTACAAATTGAACATTATGTAAACTTACCACTGGAGCAGGTATATTATTGACAGCAGACCTCGGTGGTACGACAGGCTGATGGGCTGTAGGTGCGGACGTCAAAGGGGGATTGGGGCCTCCTCCTCCTCCCTTTAAGGCGGCCGGTTGTCCTCCTTGGACATGGAGCCGATTTCTTAGCGTTACAAGTTCAGTGCTTAGACTACGAAGGCGCTGCTGTAGATGAACTGCCTCATTTGAGGAGGATGCATCTGAAAGAGAACAAACCAATGAAACAATATCATAACGATATATGTGGGAAAATATGACCAATCGAGGGAATTTTAATACAGAGTTGCTAAAGTATCTCAATTTTAAAGTAATAAAACATGTAAAACTAATAAACAAATAAAAAATTATGAACCTTCTTTTAATAATCCAATTTTAGAAGCAGAATTATTTAAATTTAAACAGGGATTACGGTATAATAAATTTTTGTAATAGTTTTCGAAAATCTCACGCTCGTTCTTAATAAAGAAATATCGTTAAATAATAGGCACAAAGATATTTATTACTTAGCGTTAGTAATAACTATGTAAAACAATAAAATAATAAGCAGTATATAGAACGTTAAAATATATATTAATTTAAATGAATGCAAGCCTACACGATCTAGAACAATCGTTAAGACAAACAAGCCAGATGGGAATATTATTCCCATTAGTATGCTTAGTGTGTTGGTGTATTTCTTAGTACTAAAAATTATAATAATAGATTGGCAACAAGCAATCGTAAATTATCGGATACGTACTACACAAACGGCCTTTGGATATGTATAATTACGAGTAAAGGCCGTTTTCTAATTCTAGTTAATTCCTAAAATAATGTTGACTTGTTTTCTTTCTTTTCTCTGTGATTTTTATTTTAGTTATTGTGCAATTATGATAATTGTCTATACATATATAAGTAATAAATCTATTGACAATGATTTTATAGTTGTTCTTGTATATACCGGGTGTCCCAGATTTTTTTGCCCAGCGGATATCTCGGTTATTTAATGATATAAAATTGTAAAAAAAAATATGAATAATATTTGTCTACTAGCCTTTTAAATTCCACTACATAAAGTTATATTCATCAATCCACCCCATAGGAACAACCCCAACTTTTTTTTTTTTCAAATGTCACCCCTATATTTTTTTTCGCTGATATAAATACTCAATTTGTCCCGAATACAACGATATGATTTTTGATATATTTTACAGAGTCATAAAGCCGGTAAAGACTAAAAACCAATGTTGTGGTTAAAGTCATTAATAATTAGTTTACATTTTATCATTTTATTATATTAAAAAATAACAAATCCAATGAATAGGTAAACCTCTTAATATGTTTTTTAAATAATTGAATATTTACAAAAATTGTTCGAAATGGCCCCCATTACTTGCCAAACATGCTTCAAAACGTCGAATGAGTTCACGAGTACATGACGCTGTAATCATTTCTGGTGTAATGTTATTGCAGGCTTGTACTATTTTATTTTGCAAATCTTCTAAATTCAATGGCTGTGTTTCAAATACCACGGTCTTCAGATATCCCCATAAAAAAAATCTAGAGGCGATAAATCTGGTGAACGCGCAGGCCACCTCAAAGGGCCGCTGTTTCCGATCCACTGATTTTCAAAGCGTTCGTTTAAAAATTGGGTAACTAAATTACTATTATGTGGAGGAGCTCCATCTTGTTGCCACCACATAGCACCTCTTTCTTGTATTGGAATTTCTTCAAGAAGTTCTGGAAGGTCATTTTCAAGAAAGTGTAAGTACCTAGCACCAGTTAACGTACCTTGAAAAAAATAGGGACCTATCAGTCGTCCCTGAAATAATCCACACCACACATTTACTCCCCAGATGGTCTGAAAGTTAGTTTCCCTAACCCAGTGAGGGTTTTCAGGAGACCAATAATGCATATTGTGACGATTTACAGTAGCATTATTGTGAAACCTTGATTCGTCACTCCACAATATCTGGTTCAAAATGTTGGGATTTCGTTCCATTAAATCTTCAAAATATGCTATTAATGTTATCCTTCTTTCGAAATCTCCAGCTCTAAGTTCCTGATGCAAATGAATTTTAAACGGATGAAAATTATAGGATTTTAGGATTCTTTGTACTGACGACTTACTAATATGAACCTCGTTAGCTAGGTTTCGCGTCGATATCTGGGGATGTACTTGCACATAAGCTAATACATTAATGCACATTTCTTCAGTTCTTACAGCAGCAGCATGTTGACGATGTTTGTCTTTTCCTGGAAATGACCCTTCTCTCATCCTAGTCTCAACATAAGAATATGTTTTACGTGATGGTTGTCGGCGCTCAGGAAACCTCTGTTGATACAAGTGTACAGCAGCACGAGAATTTTTTTGGCACTCACCAAAAATTAAAAGCATATCAACATATTCGTTTGGAGTGAATGTAAAGGGAATTTTGTCTGTTGTTTATAGCTAGCGAACAATTTCAGAAATGGTCTAAGCATATCGTTAGTTAGTTATAGGTAACAAAAAAAAAAAAAACAAAAACGAAGCAATTCTAATCAAAATAAAAAGAAAATACCAGGTGATACAAAATTAATGACTTTAACCACAACATTGGTTTTTAGTCTTTACCGGCTTTATGACTCTGTAAAGTATATCAAAAATCATATCGTTGTATTCGGGACAAATTGAGTATTTATATCAGCGAAAAAAAATATAGGGGTGACATTTGAAAAAAAAAAGTTAGGGGTTGTTCCTATGGGGTGGATTGATGAATATAACTTTATGTAGTGGAATTTAAAAGGCTACTAGACAAATATTATTCATATTTTTTTTTACAATTTTATATCATTAAATAACCGAGATATCCGCTGGGCAAAAAAATCTGGGACACCCGGTATATGTATAACGGATTGCTAAATCCATGCACTAATGGGTTTATTTTCTTTTTAATTACTAAATTTGTTTGAGTATCTAGACATTATCTTTAGAGTTGCATGTTTAAATCATCTGGAAGTTGCAAACATTAAATACGTTGCCATCACAATACAATTAATTCTTCAATAAAAGAGAATATCACAAATGGCTTTAAAGTAGGTCGATTTTGTTTTTCAAAGGACCCTTTTCTATTATATCCTAGCTGTATATAAGTAATAAGTTTCGCATGTTTTAATTGATAAATCATTTAATTGTATCTATATAAAATGCAAATTAGGTATGGTATGACCAAATTTGAAAAGATTTGTTAAATGGTGAAATTTGGTAAGTAAAAAACGTACAAAAAATACTACTTTCTAACTGCTATTGGCCTGATTCAATAGAGGAAAATGTCGTTGTGAAGAACACGGAGACGTGAAGAGAGTGCAGCAGCAATGCCAAAAAGGCAACAAAGTTACCAACCTAACAGTCATAAACGTCAAGGGAGATGGCGAAGAAGGAGGAGGAGAAAGTAGAGAAGGAAGAAAAGGAGGAAAAGGAGGAGAGAGGAAAAGGAGAAAAAGGAGAAAAAGGAGAAAAAGGAGAAAAAGGAGAAAAAGGAGAAAAAGGAGAAAAGGAGAAGGTGCAGATGGAGGAGAAGGAGAAGAAGTGGAAGAGTGAACTATATGCAACACACAAACTCCTGTAGAGTATAGTGTTGTCAACGCTTCAACCAAATGCAACACACAATACAATCTAGTGTAGTGGGTGTGAAATATTAGGAAAAATCTTAGAAACTCACGGAAAATCTATGCGCCGGTAACACAAACCTCTAGAAAATCAAACAAAAGCACAGAAAGTCATAGAAAATCAAAGAAAATCCTAGAAAACCTTAGAAATCCCTAAAAAATCACATAAAATCATAGACAATCTTTGGAAATTCATAGAAAACCACAGAAATTCAAAGGAAATCATAGAAATTTCTAGAAAAACCATAGAAAATAATAGAAAACCATAGAAAATCTTTGAAAAATCATAAAAAAATTAGAGAAAACCGTATAAAATCTTTGAAAAATCATAGAAAATCAGAAAAAACCATAGAAAATCAGAAAAAACCATAGAAATTCAAAGAAAATCTTCTGCTTCAGAAGTATTCAATTTATATTGTTAGCACTATACATGATGCAACCTATACATAGTAAAGAATGTCAACTGATACATGAAGGAGATGACGTATAAACAGGGTAGATGACAGACACGGAAAGATGAATAGGAGACGTTGAAATAACTTAGAAATCATACACACAACAGTGGGATGAAAAAGATGAAAAAGAAACCATTGGAGAAGCTGAGGAAGAAGAAGAGTGAAACGTTGAAAGGGTGACAGACAGTCGTATATTCGTAAAAAATCATAGAAAATTAAAGAAATCCATAGAAAAACATAAAATGTATTGATTCGAGAAGTCAAAAAGGCCTAAACATTGGAGGAGCGCTGAAGAATACTTAAAAATCATACAGAGAGCAGTGAAGACCTAAGATGATGAAGAAGAAGAAACCACTGCTGAATCTGAAGAAGACAAGGAAAAGCGAAACGTTGAAAAGTGGACAGACAGTCGGATATTCGTAGAAAATCATAGAAAATCAAAGAAATCCATGGAAAAGCATATAAAACTTTGAAAATTCGTAAAATTTATTGATACGAGAAGTCAAAAAGGCCCAAACTATGGAGGAACACTGAAGAATACTTAGAAATCATGTAAAGAGCAGTGCAGACCTAAAACGAAGAACAAAAAACCACTGGAGAAGATGCTGAAGAAGAGGAAGGATGACAGATATTCAGATATTCATAGAAATTCGTAGAAAATCACAAAAAAGGAATAGAAAAACATAGAAAATAGTAGAAATCTTTAAAGAGTCATAGAATACACGCTGCTGCGTTGTCAAAGGGGCCGTAGTTAGTAAGTACAGAAATTGTAATAACTAGGAAGTCGAAGAAGAAGAGACATTGTTTCTCTAGAAGAAAGGCAGCAGCCAAAAGTTCAGTATTGCGAATAAGTCTAAGAAGAACGCATAGGCATCGTTCGGAATCATTGTTGTTACTGTAATCGTACATCAACGTGTATGCGATCAATATATATATTTGTTAAAGAAGTGTGTGTTTCATTTTAGTTATAGCATAGAGATTAGAGCGTCTCTTGAAATTAAAATTGAATTAGTTCTAACTTCCACACTATATACGTATCATCTACTTGTAAGAAAACATAAAAAAGTGTAAACTAATGTTGATTTCTTAATTATTTTAATTTAATTATCAAAAACTTT